TTCATCTAAAATCACCAGCAATCACCAGTCATTCATCTAAAATCACCAGCAATCACCAGTCATTCATCTAAAATCTCCAGTAATCACCAGTAATCCATCTAAAATCACCAGCAATCACCAGTCATTCATCTAAAATCACCAGTAATCACCAGCAATCCATCCAAAATCACCAATAATCATTGAAAAATCCATCTAGAATCTCCAGTAATCACCAGTAATCCATCTAAAATCACCAGTAATCACCAGCAATCCATCCAAAATCACCAATAATCATTGAAAAATCCATCTAGAATCTCCAGTAATCACCAGTAATCCATCTAAAATCACCAGTAATCACCAGCAATCCATCCAAAATCACCAATAATCATTGAAAAATCCATCTAGAATCTCCAGTAATCACCAGTAATCCATCTAAAATCACCAGTAATCACCAGTAATCCATCTAAAATCACCAGTAAATCCTTAAAAATCACCATTAACTCACCAGTACATCACGTCAAATAGCCATTGGATCCCATCCTTCTCCAAACTTCGCCAGCGCAAGAGGAGAGTGGCCTTGGTGAATCGTTAAATGGGTTTCTGAAACGTTGAAGGAAAAGGTGTAGCAGAGAAGAAACTCCATCATGTTGTTATCAGTTATATATATATATATAACTAGTTAAACATTGTTTAACAACACATATATGAATAGATTAGATTATATAATCAGTTTTTTTTAAAAAAATATACCCTCTGCTTATGACAAACAGTTTGCCATGGTATAGATGGCCCATAGAAATAGATGGTTTACCGTGCTTAAAAATGGTGATTTTCCATGGCTATGTTAAATAACCAGAGGGTATATATATATATATATATCATGATTATATAATCTAATCTATTCATATATGTGTTGTTAAACACTGTTTAACTACTACTTATATATATATATATCATGATTAATCTATATGTATGACATATGTGTGTTGTTGAACATTGTTGAAGTACTCCATAATATGGTTCATTACATCATATCACACTCTTAAGTTTTACAAGAATAGGTTGACCAGAATCAATCAATCTTCACCAATATCTATAAATATACATACCCTCTGGTAATTTAACATAGCTATTGAAAATCACCATTTTGAATGGGAAAATCCACTATTAATGGTCATTTTCAATAGCTATTTTGACATAACCAGAGGGTATTTCAGGGGGACATGCTGCGGCTTGGTAGGGCGGTTTGTGCCTTTATCTATAGAGGGACAGCAGAAACTATTCCAGAAAATTTCAATATTTTAATGGTTGATGATTATTATAGGTAAATCCACCAAAATTAAAATATATATATATATATGGGTAAATCCTCTATCACATATATATTTATCTAATGGTCCAATATATGCCATCATCAATGATCCATTTCCCAAATCATAAATGCTACATGACTGAAACATGGATGACGAGGTCCCGTGCCAAAGCACGTTCGGTGTACGCCTTCAAGACCAAGGGGTCCGCAGGCAACCTAGCGCAGGAGAATTGTCGAATGGGATGTGCGTTGTCTATCATTATCTAAACAAACATATGTTGTAGATAGACATATATATATATATACATGATTAATAAAATGTATATATATATATATATAATATGGATAAATACATTATATACAAATAATAATAATAATAAAACTAATGTATATATATGCAAATTCACTTGCAATCAGGATTGATCCATTCTACATCCAGGTTCTTCACATTCTCCCAACATCCGACGAGTTTCCGTGCTTTCAGCACTTGGCGTACGAGCCGTAGCGAACTACCCACGAATCGTAAATGGGTTAGGTTATAACCCCAATGATAAGTGGATTTACCCAGTAAAAATGGTGATTTTCCATGATTATATTAGTTTACCAGAGGGTAAGTAGGTTATAACCACAGTTATAAGTGGATTAACCCTACTAATCCCATGTAAATCACTGGGGTTATAAGCCACTTACGAGCCGTGGGTAGTGAGCCACCAAGTAGATGGCCAATTTATGGAGCACCGGATCATTTGAGCGATCCTGTAAGGGAGAAAGACACCTGGTCCACCTCTGGATAGCACCTGGTTGCAACATGAAGCGCATACATACATATAATATATATATATATATATATATGTATATACGTATGTACATATGTTGAAAGAGCACGAATATGGATATTATTGGTTCCGTAGGAATATACTTATTATACTAATTTAAATCAACAATAAGGCTATATATGTGGCTATATGTTAGTGCTTTTTTTGTTCATAAATATGACAAGCCTGGCTGGTGACATGGAAAATCCTCCATCTTGTTTGGGAATTTCGTCTCTACACCACACTTTGTTGAAAAGCCACAGATGTGGCCAACTTTGTTAAGAACAATGATGATTAATTAACAAAAAAAACATGGAACGGGGTATATGGAAAATTGCCATGTTTAATGGGTCAATCAACTACAAATTGCCATTTTCAATAGCAAACTGTTAAATTACCAGAGTGTACCTCATTTTCAGATGACTTGTCAATTGATGTCATTAGGACAGGTGGCATAACACAGAGACGTACTCCCGAGTGCTTGAGTGGTGTCTACATGCAGCGAATCATACGTGGCTATCTGGAAAAATTCAATGAGAGCAGATGAGAGTAGATGGTTCATGCTTTGAACATGTGGATCTTCCTGTTGCCACATTAATAAATTTGCACGGCTAAAAGCTGAAGCCTCCGTTCGGTTCTGAGTCTGACAGGGTACCCATTTACAAGGGCTTTTTCACTGTTGTTTTCTTGGTAAAACAAACATCTGCTTACTGGAGACAAACACATGTTCTTCTTCGCCATCATTAAAACCAGAACAAACACTGTGTGTCACATTTACTATCATTGAATGGCAGAATGAAAAATATGAGATTTGTGAAAAAATACAGCACATATTAATAATTACATATTACTATCATCTTGCTCTCATGTACTGACAACATAGCCACCCCAGTCATGTTTGTGGGTTCATAATCCCATATAATCCCATCCAAAAAAAACAATGTCGATATATCCCCCTATACTCCCCATAAACCCTGTACATCCCTACACATTACACAGCTATAAACAATTTGCCAATCTTACAATGGATTACTTTGAGGGAACATCTACAGGAAACCATTTGTGTTTACCCTTGCTTAAGAACGGTTTTTGCCTCAACATGTTCCCATCATCAAATTCGCAGAATCTATGTTCCAAGTTTGTACATAATCTCACTTTAAAATAATATATCAATCCCCCATAAAAACTACAGGGCGAGGCCCCCAAACAATAGCTAAGTTGACACACATAACTTGCTCAAGTAACTTAAGTATGGTTTATGGAAGATATTACTATAGTCTATAGTCAATTCGGGTATTATAGACCAACAAACATTTCACGGGGGGGATTCACCTTGTATGTAACCAAAAATTTGATGGTTTATCATCCTCTTCCCTATAAAAAAATGGCCGGAGGTATCTCCCATTTTCAAAGAAACTAAAATATGGAGATATCTTGGGGATATCTTTTGAATACATGGTTGTTTCCTAAAATGAGGCTTCCCCCCAAATCATCCCAAGTTAGATGATTTTAGTATGGAAACTTATGGTGACTTGGGATAGCGTCATTTCAGGAAACCTCCATATAGAGTTATGGCCCTTTACCAATTATATCACTGAATCTAAATGGAGGATAATGAGGTGGATGATAATATAGTTATTTCATAATCATAGATATATAATGATATTATAGTTATTGGATAATGGATGATAATCATATGTTTTGGTGGCTATCCACTATATCTCCACATCGGATGGATGATATGGAAATTTTCCTACTATCCATTTACCTACATGATTTTTCATAATATATGTCAATATGTCAACTAGTTTACCTACTATAAATCTTAGCCGCATAATAATGGTTTAAAACCCATAGCCCATAGATCTGACGGGGGAAAAACAACCAACTCACGGCCGGCCCCCACGGCCTGAGGCAGAGCTTCTTGAGTTCTTCCGCACTTTGCACGTTCCTAAAGGCTCGATCTCAGGATCTGGATGACTGGGGATTTCGCCACGGTTACGGAAGTAGGATTTCCAGCAACCTTTAAAAGGTGTTGGAACGTGGCCATCAAGTTCTGGGTAGGTTGAAACCAAAGATGTGAAAAATGGATTTAGTGCTTGAATGGCGTTACAACATGCATTGTTTTATGAATGGGATATGTGATATTGCTATATAATCATGTTGATACGAGCATGATCGTTGCGTTTGTCCCAAAAATACGGGATGCCGCAAGTTACGGCGCTTTGATTGCGGAACATGCCTAAAAAACAAATGGATTTAGGGCTACCCTATTTTTGTTCCATGTGCTTTTCAATAATGACAGGACGCTAGTCAACAATGAACCATGTTTTTTTCACCACCATTTTGTTAAACCAACACCAATGTTTTTGTTAAGACAAAATACTGAGTTTAACCAACCTTCATGAGGATGTAACAAACCAAAAAAATGCTTCGAATTTCAACTCATAGAAACATCACTCATCAGGGTGTAGAAACAATGTTTGTTGGTTTATATTCTCAATATTTGTGACAAAAAATACTAAAAATCAAAAACGATGGTTTGCTGTTTGAAATCCTGCAATTTCTGATGGTGAAGTCCGAGTTTTGCCCACTTTTTTTCACCACAGCATGGTGAGTTTTAGATGTTTGTAGCTTAGCAAACCAAAACAAACAAAAACATGGCGTTTCGTCATCTCAAGTGCCACATTCACCTCCGAACTTCTCCATTCAAATCATGATGGCTGAAATTTGAACCATTTTTCATGGCCAAATCATGTTGTGAATGTTGGTGGTTTCAACCTACCCCCCTGAAAAATATGAGTCAGATTGGATCATCATCCCAACTTCCATGTTGCTTGGAAAAATGCCCATTTTCCGAACGGTGATCTCCTTGCATCCAATTGCACCGTTCGCTAGCCTGTTCTGCTAAGGCGCTGATGAGGGAAGGCAACGGCTCCACTGGGGCCACAAAGCACCGCACCACGGTCCAGTTGGGTGCTCATGCACTCCCTCAACAGGGCGTGGGCATGCTCGATGAGAGGATTCAGGTGATGGGGTTGATGATGGTGAAAAATGGTTGATGGTCTATGATTGTGATGATGATTATTTTCATGGTTATTTTCGTGATCAATGATTGTGATAATGGTTATTTTCATGGTTATTGTCATGATCAACGATTGTGATAATGGTTATTTTCATGGTTATTGTCATGATCAATGATTGTGATAATGGTTATTTTCATTGTTATTTGCATGATCAATGATTGTGCTGATGGTTATTTTCATGGTTATTTTCATTATCAATTTGTTGTGATGATGGCTATGTTCATGTTCATGGTCTATCATGGTTATTTTCATGATTTATGCTGATTTAATGGGATTTAATCAAGATTTGAACGTGATTTAATGGAATTTAAGAATTATTATTGACGGGATTTGATGAGCTACGAGTATTAAAAGTTTAATGAGATGTGGTGGGTCTGGTTGGGATACAGCAAATAAAATAGGGCTGTGGGATATGATGACTCGTTAAATTGGATTTATATACTTGGATTTAGTTAAGTTGATTTTTTTTAACTTACTATAGATCCTGGTGGTCTTATCATGGTGACATTGATAGGAATATCATGGGGTCGACCATCATGATGGGATGTGGCATTTGGACATCAGTAGTTCACTGGGAAAGTGGCTTATGGTGGCCATTGGAAACCCACGATTTTTTTGCCATGGAGGTTTTACTGAGAAAACCACATCCAAAAATCCATAGATTGGTTTAAGGGAAAATATACAGGAAAACCCCATGATCTTCATGGGAAAATCTATGGTTTCCGGTTAAGATTTTCCCGAAAAAAAAAACAAAATTCATTGAGAAAATGGCATGAAAATGGCTGATTGTCCATGGCCACGTTTGTGATTTTTCGGAACATTCAATAAACTCCACAGCTGCAGAGGGATATGATATACTGTGGCTGGCTGTTGGATCTCATGAATTTCATGTAGGAAAAAAAGCACAACTAAATAACAATACCCATAGGATCCATGTATGGTATATATGCCAACATTTGGGGTATATTAATATTGATGGTAAATGTTAGCATATATACCATACATGGATCCTATGGGATATATAACTGAAATGAGTTCGTCAGTTGGAATTATTGTTCCCAATATATGGAAAAATGAAAAATGGTCCAAACCAGCAACCAGTATAATAATGGGGTAGCTGAATAAGCCTTTCGAACAATCAAAAGTTGTCATGTAAAAAAATATCCATGGCGCCTGGCGGGTTTTGTTCCCTGTAAACGTTTGTCACAAGATTCCACGGGATTTTACTTGGCGAAGTTGGTCAACTCGCTTGACGAGGGTGACTATGGGGATGTAACTATACGTAACTATAGTTAGTGTGGTTTATACAACAATTTATAGGGGCGACCTTGTATATGATACTGTTGGGAAATCAAGCACTTTACATTCTATGAATGATTCGATGTATTGAAATATGTTGTGTGTTACATTTTTCCAGCAGTGCTTAAGTAAATTATATAAATTATAACATATATTAGTACCCTCTGGTAAACATTTACATAACTATGGAAAATCACCATGTTTAATGGGAAAATCCACTATTTCGACTGGGCCATTTTCAATAGCAAACTGTTGACATACCAGGCCGGGTAACTCTTGTTGTTCCTGGACCAACTCGCGGCTGGATCCTATCTTTACTCACCATGGAATGCCAGAGAACCCGGCTGGATGATCCCGTGGTCCCTACACGAGTGGTTCGCAGTGCAGATCATTGGGACCCGAAAACTTACCACTGCGACTGGTGGTTGAGCTCGCCACCCCAGGTAACCCACTGACTAGTGTGATTAGACTATTAGTGGTATATTATGGTATTATAACATATTATAACATTTATATCCATTGATGATCTGGTTGGTGGTTTTGAGCTCGCCACCCCTCTGAAAAATCATGGAGTGAGTAACAGGGATGATGAAATTCCCAATATATGGACAGTCATAAAATTCATGTTCCAAACCACCGACCAGTACAATGTACGATGAGAGGAATAATCCAATGATATCCAATGTAAATACACTCTGTCGGATTTTCACGTAGAAGCGAGGGCTGCCTAACAATACCTGGCCCGAGGAAGTTAATGACTAACCTGGAAACTGAAAAAAATAAGCCAAAAACGACTTCCACGATAGCTGCGCAGAGAGTATATATGGTATATTGACAATGATGATCAATTCAACCGTTTACTTCATCCAATCCCATCCAACATTCATTATTTGTCCCACCCGCCAGTCATGTGTGCAAATATCCCTTACAAAACATCATATGCAATCCCAATATTCAATATCCTTTACAAACATCCATCAAACATCATTCAATCCCATCCCATCCCGCCAGTATTCCACATCACAGGGCTGTTCACAAACCTGTTGCATCTGGGGGAAACCATCCGCCTCACGTGCATGTTCCTCTTGGAGTCCGGGATCTGGAAACGATCCAAGAAGGCCTTCACTAGCCTTGCGGGTTCCCACCGGGTCGATAGCACAGCGTTTTACCATGGTTTTTCCGCGGCAAAACAGAGGATTTGACCAAAAGCAATACGGAAAATACCCATGGTATTGAGAAAACTACACGATGTAGAACTTGTCCTGATGTATCCAGCAATACCCTCTGGTAATGACTGTTACAGTTCGCTATTGAATACTATTGAAAATGACCATTGAAATAGTGGATTTTCCCATTAAACATGGTGGATCTTTCCATAGTTATGTAAACGTTTACCAGAGGGTAATCCCCATGATATCCCTCTTTCATCACTATATCCCCATTTTACCACCATCGGAGGCCAGCAATGACGATTCAGGGACGGCAAGGCGCAACAAATTTTCTTCTCCGCTGAACTAGAAGAAATGATGAAACTGGAATAGTTTCGTTGAAATAAAGAAACGGAACATCAATGATTGCTCAATTTTACTTTAATATATTTTAATCACATGTTTCATGAAAATAATAAACATGACATCCGTCATCACGAAGTTGAATGGTTCAACATTGAAAATGACCCCCAAGGAAATCAGTTGTCAACCGTAAAAGGGATAGGGAGGGAACAAAACAAGTGTACAATGGCGTAAAGTAACGTAAATTACCAATAATATAAATACATGTGTTGGTTTTCTCTGATTTTTCCGGAAACAGTTCTAGAGCGCTCTAAGCGCTCTACGTGTTTTTGCCCACATCAAAATTGCCATATCTTGGGTTATACCTGGTATAACATGTTTGTGTTTTTTTACAAATGGAGGTTTCCTGAAATAGTGGTACCCCTAAGTCTAAACCATCCAGCTATTGAGGTACCTCCATTTATCTGGGTAAATTATAACAACCTCACTGTTCTCCCTCACTATAATCATGGTTAGTGAGGGGTAACATCCCCAAGATAGCCGAACTTTTCAGGTTAGTTTTTTTCCATTTCCATGCGCAAAAGGTAGGTACCTTGCTGCCGTGCATCGTTCCGCCTTGCGAACGCAATTAATTAGGGTACAAAAGATATTAGCCTTGGAAATCCGGAAGCCAGGGTGCCTCTGTGCGAATGACGGCACAGGCCTGTACAGCTGCCTTTAGCCAAGCTTCGGTTTCCGGCTCTTGCAAAGGTCCTAACGTCAGGTTGTGCTGACGGACTGCAACATGGAAACAATCGGCTACTGCACCAGCCAACGCAGCTGAGAATGCTGGTGGGTACTCCTTGAGTACAGCAGTGCGGAAAGCACCAGTGTGCGTGTCTCGACCAATCGCAACTTGTTGGGGTTTGACAGCTTCTGGCAGCTGCCTTCGATATGCAGATTGTGCAAAGAATGGGCAATTGATGGCAAGGATACCAGTAGGCTTCACAGCTCCCGCGCCCACCTCCATTGGCAAACACGGTGTAGGCGCACGTTGGGGAGTTGGAGCAACAGCTGGACCCAAGGTGGGGTCCAGATACTCACCTTGGATTCATCTTCTGGTTTCCACGGATGTTCGCTTAGATAGACACCTCCATGCTGGAGCGTCCAAGCTGCCACAATGATCCCTTGAAGGAAAAACTCCGAACCTTGTTCTGCTTGTCTCAACTCCCGGGTCGTAAGGCCAGAAAGACCAAAGAAGCGCGTGGCGCTCCTGAGAGGTCGTGGCCAGCGCCGCTTGACTTCATCCGGCACCGCATCATCTGGTTGATGGTGTCTGGCCGCTGAGAATGTCTCGCAGGGAGACTCCAGAATTGTTGCAGAAACACGTCCTGCCTTGTACAAGGTCGTGAGAAACTTCCATGTAGCATGAGTAGCCTGCAGATTGCCATAAAAAATGGAAACAGCTGTGTCCAGAGACAAAACTTGGACTCGATATCCCTTCCCATACGCAAACTCTTCCAGCTTGGCATGAATGTCAGTAGCTCGTCTCCGGCCGCTGAACAAATGGACCACCAAGAAGAGCGGCAGGGTGGTTTGGCTCTCAACACTACTGGGAATGCTTGTGACATCCGGTATCGTGTCAAATCTGATAGCCCTCACCTTTTCCAGCCAGGCGTCTTGTTGCTCAAAAAGGGATGGGATGTGCAAGGCAGTCTGTGCTCTCTCTTTGGCGTTGGCTGTGCCAAATTTGGGCAGCCGATGAGGAAAAAGGCAACCCTGCTCAGCATCCAGGCGTCCAATCTTCTGTCTCAAAAAGGCTGCTTCAGAAAGCGCTTGCATCCTTGGAAAATCAAAGATAAAATCGGCGAAAGCATTGTCAACTAACGATTCTGCTTCACCATCCTCAAATTGTGCAATGACATCTTCCAAACATCGCTCACCCCACCCAATGTAGACACTCTCTAACCACTCAGGGTAGCCAGGGTCAGCTGTCGCTGCCACATCCAGCCAAGCATCTGGTAGTTGGGAAATGATTGAAGAATCAAACCCTGCATCGCAAAAACGTTGAAACCATCCTACGGTCACTGCATTAAGGCACTGCCAATAGGCGGTCTTCTGTTCTTCAGCATCATCTGGGGTTCGAATGTGGAAAATGGTGGCTTCAACCTGTGCGAGCTTCTGCTTTGCAAGGAGCAATTCATTGCTACGGCTGTCCTTGGGCTGCATGTGTGGCCCGAGGGCTTGCAAAGCCTCAGTCCGATGAAGTCCCTTGGGCTGGCCTGCATATACAGGTGTCAGTTCCTCAAGGACTCTGAAGCCTCGCTTTTGTAAATCCTGGAAACATTTGTTGACTTTCGTCTGCCTTGGGATATACGACAAATGCTGATACAACCTCTGTCGGCTCCAAAAGAACTTAAGGCAGGATGGGCACGTGGGCCCGTCAATAAGATGTCTTTCCAGCGATCCAATCTGATGGGCCTTGCGTTTGTGTGTGGCCAAGCCTTGTGGTGTGGTAAAACAACGACCGCAAAAGCACTTGTGGCCTTCGTCCTCATCATTTTGGTCAAACGGAAGGTCTCGGAATGTTGCACAGGTGTGCAACGTTTTGACGATCTGCCCATGGAACCTATGCATCTGTTGCATCATCTGCTCTTGCTTTTGAAATCGACGAAAAGCACCCTTAACCCGTTTCTGCCACTCCGGTGTGCCACTTTGCCAATAGTCGAAAAGAGCAGTCAAATCGTCAGGATCGACAGGCGTCGTGGCCTCTGGTTCCAACTTGCGCATCCACTCCAAGTCAGCAAGGAGGCCAGCAATCCAGGATGTCTGACAAAGCGCTTGCTCCCTATGGAGCAGGTGTTGCAGATCGGATGGGCCGTGCTCCCAAAGCCTCTGAGCGTAAAGCAATCGATCAGTAGCCAGGAGCACTCTTCTTGCCGATGTTAATTAGGAGTGAAGGAGTGGGTTTGAGGCTGCAAAATCGAAGGGAAAGAGGAAAAAACAAAAAACAAAGAACAAAAATGCATTTTGTTTCCGCTATGTTGTCTAAAATTGTATGTTTGGGAGGGGGGGCAGGGCGGTCAATAAATTCAGGGGTTAGTGCTTGCCCCATGTGTGCACATGATCAGACATGTTATAACTTCTTAGAAGATTTTTTGTGAGTGGCTGCACCCTCACAATCACAGTTTTGAAGCTATGTAAAATCATTGATTTGGCATCCCATGTCTTGTTGTGACACAGAAATGAAGCACACTATCTGTCTGTGCTTTTTTACAAGGAATACTGTGATATTACCACACGTTTTGCATAGTGTTAATTTAACAATTTTTGAACCAAAACTGTGGAAATACCACACCTTTTGCACAATTTCGAAGCCAAAACTGTGGTATTATCACGCTTTTTACAGAGTTTTAAAGCCAAAGCTGTGGTATCTCCACATTCTTTGCATTTTCCACACAGTTTGAAGCCAAAACTGTAATATGTCTTCATGTCTCGCATTATTACCACACGTTTTGCGCAGTCTGAAACCTAAAACTGTGATATGACCACATGTTTTGCATAGTTTTCGAGGCAAAACTGTGATATTGCCACCAGTTTTTCATAGTTTGGAAATCAAACCTATGATGTTTCTGCATCTTTTGCGTAGTTTTGGAAGCAACATTGCGAAATTACCACATATTTTGACATTTTTCTTCAATTTTACATAGGGTGGACCACCATTTTATCATGAATATGCTGTTTTTCCTGCAGTTCTTACACATTTTTGACCCCAATTTACCGACCACCCCTTCGGTAAATTGGAAATTTGTTGTGGTAAGTTGGCTTTTGGGCAACCATTTACATTTCAAATATGGTACAAGCCACGCGGAAAAGAAAAAAACATGGCTTTCATCCCAGTGCTGCACCAACCAAAGGCAAAAGGCCTGGCTGTACCCGCAAGAAAGTGAGCACAAGAAATGTGCACCACGTGCGAAATCCAACGCTCCAGGACGTGGCTGCACCCATTCAAAGCCATGGAACAAAGGTCTGCACCAAACCAAGACATGCAAGCAACATGTGTTCATACCGAGAGATCAGATCGCATTGTTTCTAGCAGTTGCATTGTATTGGGCAGGTCCCAAATACGCTTGTGTCCTGTGGTTAACTTTCGTGACCAGCAGACGTATCAGCGAGACACTGTTGCTTCGCGGAACAGACATACGAGTGCAAGGTGGAGAAGAGCACGACGCAGGACACATCTTGTTCCAGCGGCGGCCGCAGGATGACAGTCTTGGAGGCTCAGGCAAACTGGGCGCAGAAAAAGTGGTAGCAAGACTCTCAAAGGATGCCATTGCTGGGATCCAACAATTGTGTTCTGATGGTTTGGAGCATGAGCTGCGTCCAATACTAGAACCCTTCAAGGTGGCTGTACTCCTTATTTTCCAAATGAAACCGTTGAACAAAGATCGTTTTCAACTTGACACAGATTCAGAGAACTTTGTTTTTGCCACCGCGTCCAAGAAACAGGGATGCAGGCCAAATATGTCAAGGCAAAGTGTTTCGTAAGCTCTCAAGGTGATCAGGAAAGTGATGTTTCAAATTACTGGCAACCGCCGGTACAACCCCACAAGTAAATTTCAAGGCAGTAGGGTTACAGTGCAGGGAGCTACCCGGCACACGAGCGCTAGCCTCCTGCTTTCGAACAAACATTCTGATGAGAAAGGGCCTTCCGAACATGTGATTTTAGAAATTCAACAACGCTCCGATGCAAGAGTGTTCTGGAAACATTGTTACTACGCTGAAGAAGAACAAGTGGAAGCTGCTTTAGAATATGGCGCTGCGCCAAGTTTGTTTACAAAAGGCCTTCCAGAGGCGCTTCCAACTGAAGCAGCAGTGCCTAAGAATTGGTTCGCAAGGATTGCTTAGTTTTACATGGAAAAGGCCTGCCACGTTCTCCTAAATGCAGGCTTTGGGTTGCTCTTTGATAATCCATTGCGAACCGTACAAAGTAACTACTCCTCTTGGATCAAGGCCTCCACGTTTTCGACCCAACGCGCTGAAGGATGGACAAGGGTAACCAGCAACGTATAAATCTATGTTGTGAGGTTTGGAGGTAGAGCCACCCAAAACCAAACTCCGTTCAGTCATGTCCATCTCCAAAGTTCCAACTTCGTGCTTCAACTGTGCACAGATACATCGATACAATTTTTGCTTGTCTTCGTCAGTTTCAACTGACCAGCACACACTTTGCAATTTTGGCAGCAAACCTAACAAGGCCAGAGCAATGATTTCCGAACCCAGACCTGTGCAATCACTGGCCACTCTGATGGACCCAGTGTCCATTGTTTTTTTTCACAAGCTCAGCGGCATCAGCCAAAGAGCGCACAAGTTTCCTTGGTGATAACTGGTTTCTTTCTTGGCTTGCCTGGTGGACCTTTATCTTTTTGCACATTGGAGCTTTTGATTTTTCTTCTTGTCAAGGACTTCATCCAGCACGACTCCACCTCATGCCATGGCTTCCTAACTCACCGTACTTTGATTGCAGGTCAATAATATGTGTTGTGTCTCACAATACTTACGACTATCAGGAAAGAATCTGCTGCTGTTTCTATTAGCTTTTCCACATCTTGCCCGAGACCCCGGCTTGAACCTCACAGACCAGCTCAAAGGCTGAGCTGCGGCAGCGGCGTGCGTGTAAGGACCCCGGGCAAACCCGGGGTCCTTACACGCACCCTGGCTGGTCTGGCTGTGTGTAAGGACCCCGGGCACGCAGCGTTGAATGCACCCCGGGGTCCTTACACGCGCGCGTTGTAGCGGCGCCGGGGTCCTTACACGCGCCCTGGCTGGTCTGGCTGTGTGTAAGGACCCCGGGTTCCCCCGGGGTCCTTACACGCAGCCCGCTAACGCAACCCCCGGGGTCCTTACGCGCAATCTGGCTGGTCTGGCTGTGCGTAAGCAACTTTAACGTCGCCCACTCCTAATTAACGTCGCCCACTCCTAATTAACGTCGCCCCAATTAACGTCGCATACTCCTGTTCTACTACCAGTTAGGAGGCTTGCAGGCCAACCAACAGTCATGCTTGAGCACTTTGAGTTGGCATGACAAGCACAGCGCGCTGACTACTTTTTTCCCCAAGTACTGTAACCGTCCCCAAGGCCGAAGGTTTCTGGTCAGGAAAATGATGGTGCTGACGTCTTTGGACAACACACAATTCATGAAAGCCCCACAACAAGAATGAGGTATAAGCCATCATTCCTCACACAACCTGCTTCTCATCATTGTAAAACTAAGCACTCCTTGCGCACTGCTTCTCATCTCGGCGTCTCGGTGACTAGACAACAACATGTCCAAGAATTCTCTGTCAGTTTTGACAGTTCGTCCCTTTTTTTTAAAGTGTTCTTCTCTGATTCCAGACACAGCACCATGTGCGCGGATGTCAATGCAGAAGTTTCCCATGAGTTTGCGCCTCTGTTGCAGTGATCTTGTAAAAAATTGTGCACGTTGCTTTTCTTCTCACACATCTCTGGAGAGAAGTGTATTTTTTCATCCTTTTCTTGACAGCAGGCTTGCAAAATCCAATGGAAAAAACAGCCGACTCAGCTTCGAGCAAGCCTTCGTTCATGACCACACCTCCTTTCAGAACAGCATGCCTTGCGCACTCCTCGCGCACCAATTCTTAGGCACTGCTGCTTCAGTTGGAAGCGCCTCTGGGAGGCCTTTTGTAAACAAACTTGGCGCAGCGCCATATTCTAAAGCAGCTTCCACTTGTTCTTCTTCAGCGTGGTAATAATGTTTCCAGAACACTGTTGCATCGGAGCGTCGTTGAATTTCTAAAATCACATGTTCGGAAGGCCCTTTCTCATCAGAATGTTTGTTCGAAAGCAGGAGGCTAGCGCTCGTGTGCCGGGTAGCTCCCTGCACTGTAACCCTACTGCCTTGAAATTTACTTGTGGGGTTGTACCGGCGGTTGCCAGTAATTTGAAACATCATTTTCCTGATCACCTTGAGAGCTTCCGAAACACTTTGCCTTGACATATTTGGCCTGCATCCCTGTTTCTTGGACGCGGTGGCAAAAACAAAGTTCTCTGAATCTGTGTCAAGTTGAAAACGATCTTTGTTCAACGGTTTCATTTGGAAAATAAGGGGTACAGCCACCTTGAAGGGTTCTAGTATTGGACGCAGCTCATGCTCCAAACCATCAGAACACAATTGTTGGATCCCAGCAATGGCATCCCTTGAGAGTCTTGCTACCACTTTTTCTGCGCCCGGTTTGCCTGAGCCTCCAAGACTGTCATCCTGCGGCCGCCGCTGGAACAAGATGTGTCCTGCGTCGTGCTCTTCTCCACCTTGCACTCGTATGTCTGTTCCGCGAAGCAACAGTGTCTCGCTGATACGTCTGCTGGTCACCAAAGTTAACCACAGGACACACGCGCAATACAATGCAACTGCTAGAAACAATGCGATCTGATCTCTCGGTATGAACACATGTTGCTTGCATGTCTTGGTTTGGTGCAGACCTTGGTTCCATGGCTTTGAACGGGTGCAGCCACGTCCTGGAGCGTTGGATTTCGCACGTGGTGCACATTTCTTGTGCTCACTTTCTTGCGGGTACAGCCAGGCCTTTTGCCTTTGGTTGGTGCAGCACTAGGATGAAAGCCATGTTTTTTTCTTTTCCGCGTGGCTTGTGCCATATTTGAGATGTAAATGGTTGCCCAAAAGCCAACTTACCACAGCAAATTTCCAATTTGCCGAAGGGGTGGTCGGTAAATTGGGGTCAAAAATGTGTAAGAACTGAAGGAAAAACAGCATATTCATGATAAAATGATGGTCCACCTTATGTAAAATTGAAGAAAAATGTCAAAACATGTAGTAATTTCGCAATTTTGCTTCCAAAACTACGCAAAAGATGCAGAAACATCATAGGTTTGATTTCCAAACTATGAAAAACTGGTGGCAATATCACAGTTTTGCCTCGAAAACTATGCAAAACATGTGGTCATATCGCAGTTTTAGGTTTCAGACTGCGCAAAACGTGTGGTAATAATGCAAGACATGAAGACATATCACAGTTTTGGCTTCAAACTGTGTGGAAAATGTAAAGAATGTGGAGATACCACAGCTTTGGCTTTGAAACTCTGTAAAAAGCGTGGTAATACCACAGTTTTGGCTTCGAAATTGTGCAAAAGGTGTGGTATTTCCACAGTTTTGGTTCAAAAATTGTTAAATTAAAACTATGCAAAACGTGTCGTAATATCACAGTATTCCTTGTAAAAAAGCACAGACAGATAGCGTGCTTCATTTCTGTGTCACAACAAGACATGGGATGCCAAACCAATGATTTTACATAGCTTCAAAACTGTGATTGTGAGGGTGCAGCCACTCACAAAAAATTATCTAAGAAGTTATAACATGTCTGATCATGTGCACACATGTGGCAAGCACTAGTCCCAGAATTTATTGACCGCCCTGCCCCCACCTCCCAAACATACAATTTTAGACAACATAGTCGGAAACAAAATGCATGTTTGTTCTTTGTTTTTTGTTTTTCCTTTTTCCCTTCGATTTTGCAGCTTCAAACCCACTCCTTCACTCCTAATTAACATCGGCAAGTCTTGGGTCAGCTTGCTGGGCACGTCGGAAGACCTCCGCAGTCGTAGTGGACATGATGGCCTCTTTGGTGAGACGTAGCACTTTTTGCAGCATACGCAGCAGAACTGCCTTGATCTTGCTCATTTGCCGGTGAGTTGCGTAATCCAAGCACCTAGACCAAACAACAATTTGCTCTCCACCAAGGATCGGAAGAGCTGCAGCCTGGTACTCTCAGGCAGATGGCGGTTGGTCAGGATGGGTTTGGAGATCAGATTGAATGCGGCCTGAGCTTGTCCGACCCTGCTTCGAATTTCCAAGTCCATACGATGATTTGCCGCAAAAATCGTACCAAGGTGCTTGTATGACGGTACATAGTGCAAAAAGTACATCTTGTCACCAATCAAGACTGAATCACCTGGCTTGGCACCTAGTTGAAAGTGCTGGCGGAGCAACGGCGCTCCTGTCCCTCGAAAGGAGACAACAGCGCTAGTCTTCCCTTTGTCCATATTGAGCAGGAACCCATATCTGTGGAAGAGTTGCACAACAAAGCTTAAAATAGCCCTAAGGGCATCAGGCATCTCATCGGCAGTTCGTGTTGCCCAGGGGATTGCTAAATCGTCGGCCCATGCGACAAAACTGCCTGGAATGTCCAATTCCTGAAGGATGTCATTGAACGCTTCTTGAGAATCAATCCAGGTCTGTAGGTGATGCAAAATGTCTGACATGAGGACATGAAAAATACAATCTGCGAGCGGGCTGCCAGGTCGTGTGCCACGCTTGGAACTGCGGAATTGGTGCAATGCTGTGGCGACATCGACATCAAGTTGAGTCAGAATGTCGTCGAACTCCACAGCCGCATTTGGTTGGCAGGCATCACCATCCCCATGAAGGCACACGGACTTCCAAGATGCCATGATGGCTTGCAGGTAAGTGCGTCTTTGCAGTGTTTGGCAATCGGCTAAATTTTTTCGCCATTTGCGCTTAGCGCAGACCAAAGCCCAAGTATCTGCTGACATGGTGGTTTTGCGCGGATGCTTCTGGAAGCAATCAGTCTCTCGCCTGGTACAGGCAGCAAGCTCATGTTGTAAGATGTGAAAGTGTGTATGCACATCTGTATCAAACCAATCCTGCAAGGCCTGTTGGGTTCTCAGGGCTGCCAGAGCTTCTTCACAAAACTTTGGGGGACACTTGGGCATACCTTTTCGTGGTCGTGCTTGGACAGTCTCGGAGTGCCACATGATGGAGACACAGGCTGGTCGGTGGTCATCCTTCTGAAGTGAGACATCGATGTGCGTATCAATCCAAGACCGACAGGTCAACAACGGCCATGTCATATCAACTCCAATGACGTCATTTCTGGTCCAATCGCCATTCGGATGACACCAAGTACCTGACGGACCGGTGTGGCATGTCGAAAATGATGCAGGGATAAAGAGATTTTGACTGGCAACAAATTGGCAGAAGGCGTCACTTTTGGCCGTGGAAATCTCAGAATCATGGTCGCTGATGTGTTGGTTTGGGCAATCTCCGAATCTGCAGTTTGCGTCCGCCAGGAGCACCCTGGGCCAACCATCATATTTCTTTGGAACTGCCTGACTAACCTGTTGCCAGAAAATTTCAATGGTGTCAATATCCGCCCCACTATGCGGTGCATGGGCAGCAACAAGAATACACTTGAGGCATCGGGCATGCACTTTGATGATCATGAAACGGGGATCTGCAGCAACAACTGCAAAATCATTATCATCAAACCAACCCTGTCCATGAGGCTTGCCGTCATGCTGGAAAGCAAAAGGCTGTTGTTTGGCAAATCCCAGCAGAATGCCAAACTGTCCTTTGCAGTTTGCAGGGGCGTGCCACAAAAAATAATCAGGGCTGTGAAGGCGCATACTGGTCCTAAGCCGGGTCTCTTGCAAGGCAAAGATGGAGATATTGGCTTGTAGAAATTGTTTGGTGATTGTCTGCAATCTGGCAGGCCCCAAAGGATTGGGATGGTCTTCATTGGCCTTGCCAGATCCTTGTGTCAGCGTCAGTACGTTGCAGGTAAGCAGATTGAGCTTAACTGTCACAGTGTCCGCAATTTGGCTACTTCCGTAGGAGGCAGTTGAACCCACGGCAGACGGTTCAGGCGTGGTCTGAGGCTTAGCAGGCAGAAGCAAAGTACTATCAGACCAGTACTTGTCAAAGGACGGATGCTGGAAGACCCAGCCCCATGACAAGGCTTGGACAAAGTGCCAGTTGGTCAACATGCAAAAAATGGTGTTCCAATCCTGCAAGGGGAATCCATGGGCTGCACACAGGGCAATCGTATCAACAAGCTCGTTGCCTGGGTCACCACTGTGGCCCGGAACAAAGACATGGTTGCAGCAAACTTGCCACCGAGTATGCATGATGCGCAGAAGACTGCGTACTGCATGACATGAAACCTTGTCTTTCTTTGCTTGCCAAAGTCCTTCTGCTTGTTTACCCACTGAAAGTGCATCAAAGAAAAATGTGACACTTGGCTGACATCCAAACACTTCTGCTGCAATTTTCACCAGGTCATAAGCTTGCTTAGTGGCCAGTAGCGCGGCTCGAACTTCAGCTGTGTAGGAACCAAACTCCGGAGTCGGAAGATGTGCAGACACAGCTCCAGCAAAGAGCCAGCGGTCACCTTGTAATACAAATGCCGCAGCCGCAGCACCTGCGGTCCCTTCCTGTTTCAAGTAAGAGCCATCATAATAAACAGAGACATGATCGATCGGTTGGTCGCATGCATACCATTCAGCCCTAATCCAAGGCAAGCATTGCGGGAGCCAATGTGCATGGTCCTGCAGGCAGACTTCCAGATCAAAAACTGGCAGCGTGAAGTGCGAATCAAGCTTATCAAGTGCCTGGCTAGCTTCCTCAAAGCCAATTTGCAAACAAGCCGGCTGGTTCGCTGGCTCGGCATGCTTGGGAGCACTCATGGGTGTCCTTTGCAGGAGAAATGTCATGTCAGCATCATCCGCATCAGCAGCTTGCCGATGGGCCCTCTGCGCATTATCATCAATGACAAGGACAAAACTAAAGCCAGTCCAACTCAACAAAGGGTGGCCAATGCGAATCCGTTGAAGATCATACCAAAGTGCACAGGGTGGATTACCGTGCGATGGCAAACAGGTGTCTTCATAACCTGCCGCTCTCACAACGTGCTCAAATGTAGTGCGGTCAGGTGTGGTGATGGCTCTGCGGACAGGTTGGTATCCAAGATTCAGGTCAATTGTGGAAACAAGCGTCGTCGACCAGGCATCATTGGGAGCCTGGACCATTATGACATGTGCCGCAATTCCTGTCTCAAGCTGTGGTGGAGTTGGCTTAACTACTTCAATTTCAATCCCAAGGCCAGGATGGATGGAATCCTGCCAAATTGATTCGAGACGCTGTTCCCAATCTGTAAAATCTTCAAACAGGGTTGCTGCACGTGGATACAGGCAAGTAGGAAAATGGAAGCGATGATCCACAAACCACACCATCACCTTGATTGAAGCTGATTCACCCTCCCATGTGAATGCTGCCGTTTCAAATTCAGAGTGCAGATCTCGTACAAACTCCGGGAAAAGCCAGAGATTGGGTCCCTCCGGATTGAAGGTAGGCGTGTTGGGATTGAAGGAGCAAGCCGCAGGCTGTGGCTGTCCAGGTGCCGCTTGCATGAGCGCCAAATCCTCAAAATGCAGCTGATCAATGGGATCGCTAGTCTGTGCTGGCTCATGTGGTGCTTCAATTCGAATACTGAGACTACTTCCTGATACAATGGCAACAGCAACTTCCTCATCCAGCAATTGTCTGTCTTGAAACAACCGACATCTTCTGTGAATGGTGAATTGTTCAAGTTCCATGAGCCTTGCTACAATGGCACGGTCAACCTGGGCTGGGGCGGAATATGCGCCTTGAACAATTGCGTCATGTGGTGAACCTTCCATTAGGGCAGTAAACACGGCTGCAACATTCTGTTCACGGGCACCTTGCACAAGAAGGATGTGACAAACACTGGGTTGCACCAGGTGCTGAGGCGGTCGTGGCTGCACAATATGTATGGAAAAGCTACTACCACGTTCCATGAAGTCAACCCAGGCGGCGCGTAGGTCTTCAATCCAGGTAATGGGATTACCATGCAATTGGATGATACGTGGTCGTCGACATGTCAGGCGCCGATTATGGTGTATGCACCAAGTGGTAACATGCATAGTCAGTTCATTGTCCCACACCCCTCGGGTACCTTCTGTATGGAACAAGTGCCCTAAGGGAGGGATCCAATCCTCTTGGCCATCATGTCTGGGAAGTCTGAGGCGGCGTGGCAAATCAGAAGCCGGTCTAATGATGGGGAAACCCAAGTCTTCGCCAACCTCGCCAGGCCTACATGTCATGACATTTGCATCAGGAGAGTTCTGATCATGAGTGCGTTGAGCAATTTGGATGAATGAAACATTGTCTTCCTGGGCGTCAAAACTTCCTTCAGCAGATAGGTGATGCGCATCCATCACAGCTGCCATAGCTGGTGCCCAGAGCGGCTGATGTGAGTTGAATGAATCTTCATCATCTGACTGCTCATATTGCGCTCGTGTGGTCACTTGTGCAACAAGGCAGAAACCTGAATCAAGATCCTCAATGACTCCAGGATTAAGGACAAGCCGTCGGAATGTGACTCTACAACGTTGGATGGCACAGAGATCCTGAAGACTGACCTTACGTAGGACCGCAGTAACTGAAACTTGCCTTCCGATCGAAACTGCAACATGTCGCAGGGCAGCATGCCTTCTGCCCTGTCGAACAACCGAAATGATCCCGGCAGAATGGGTCGCTATCGGCCTGTTTTGTTCCAGCAAGAGATGAGCCAGAATGGTTTCAGTAGCAGTATGCGGTGGTGTGGGCATGACAAACTTGATGTCAACGGAAGAAGAGGGGTCAACAGCATCCTGCCAAACTTCAAGAATCTGCTCGAACCAAGCATCAAGTTCTGCACCTATCAGTCGAACTGGTCGACTGTTTTCACATCTCGGGCTGCGTGAGTGATCAACAAACCACGTTGTGATATAGGCAACAAATCCTTCTTCTTTGCACTCAACAAAGCTGTGTTCATTGAAAGCACTCGCAAGGTGACGTTTCCAATTTGGCAAGCAAGTGTCATACACTTGGGAAGTCAAAGCTCTTTGCGAGATGGGGTGCAGGCCAATGGTATCCTCCGGGATGCTCCTGAAGGATGCATGTTTCTGAGTCAAGGCCAATGCTCGACCTGATCTTGGCTGAGAAGTGCAATCAAAAGTAGCCGCTGCTTCATCCTCATCAACTGAAATCGCAAAATTCAAAACGGCATCAATGGGAACCGTTGAATCAAGAGGAGGCGTTGCTACAACTCGCAGATAAGTGCCATGTTGAATTGTTCTCACACGAGTGTCTTGTTCCGGCCACAAACTGAGGTCCCAGTATACAAGGCATCTGTCCCCCTGCAGAAAGCAGTAATTAAACAACTTTGCAAGTCGGAGAACATAGGCACGTGTGAGTTGAGGCACAACTCTATGGACTCTTCTAGTGACTTCTGGTGCACGTAAGAGACCAACTTGCGACCCTGGGAAATGCACTTCAGTATCCAAAATGATCAGCTTCTCAGCTGAGCCTGGCTGCAGATCATTGACATGTTGCAGGACTACCGACTCTTCTGCTTCATGTTGGCCTACTAAGGCACACTGCACATGGTGAATACCAATCAAATTTCGAAGGTGTTCACCTAAAAACCTCACTATCTCATGCAAAATGGCATTGTACGTACCCCAGCGGATGAAACAGTGAACCACAGGGCGCCCAAGTCTATACACTTGAACCCCTTGCCATTGCTCAAATTGCGTGGTTGAATCAGGCAGTGAGGTGTCAGTGAGGCGCTCGGCTTCATCGTCAAAGTCGTGATCATCACCCCCTTGGTCACTAGATCTGCGGTCAGTGCCAACAGTCTGCTGGTGGCCATCCCCATTCTGTTGCGCAAGTTGGCCAGCATTACTTGAGTCAGAGGGTGTAGAATCCGCTGCTCTTTGGTTGATCCGGGGAGTGATATGTGCAGCAAATCCATGTCCATCCAACATGTAATGAGCAGGCACAATGGAATACGGGATCAATTGCCAACCAAAAAAGAGATTGCATCGATGTGTGTTGCATAAATGCGTGATGTCAGCAGCAGATGCAAGACCTAATCCACTCACTTCATCTGGCAAGGAAATAGCAACTGCAAAAGGACGTAAGGATCCCTGTGCGGTCTGGCGATGAACTGTGAGCAAGCCGGCATAACGCTCTGCGTCTGTCCCTTGCACAACCAGCACATCCGCTACAGCTTGTCTTTGCAAAAAGCTGCGGTCTGGGTCCGGTAGCACTGTGAAGAACTGCACATCTTCATTGGGTTGAATCATGTCTCTCCATGAGCTGGCGATTTCACGTTGCCATAAAACCCATCTGTGGTCCAGTTCGACAAAACGCGGCACAGCCCAACGTGGGAAATGTAAATGATGCACATACCATGTTCGAATCAAGAAGGTGTTTTCCATCAAGAAATCATGCGGCAAAGCTAGAAAGCCCGGTAGCCCAAAAATATCAGTCACAAACGCAGGTGGCGGCGGAAGGTGAAGCTGATTTGGCGGGGCATTTGGTGGAGCCGTGCTTGCAGCCGCAACTCGTCTGGGAACATTGGCATGTTCATCAGTCAATCGCACTTCACAGATCCTTGGTCGTGTTCTCTGCTGAAATCGGTTGCGCTCAGGTCGAGCAATGTCACCAGCGGGACAACTCTTCGAAGGCTTTTTGATCCATGGTTTTTCAGACCAAGTAGCTAGTTCAAAGGTGTTCATGTCAGTGCATTGCATACTAAGCTCATCTTCCAATCCTATGTGAATGGAAGTCAAATCATGAAATTGAACTTTTTTGGGGTGGACAGCAAGGGTGTCACTGGTCTTTCGGATGCAACTGCGCAAAGGGGAAGAATCCTCAAGAACAGCAAAAACACGGTCAAGTCGTCCTTGCTTATCATGTACAGCTCCTGCAGTTGGAGGTTTCATGGTTAGCTCGTCAAAGGCATCACAGAACACACTCCATCCTAACTTCCAAGCTGACATGACTGCATCAAAAGGGTTGAGATAGTTGTACTCAGTCTGGATCGAATGGTGCCAATGCAAAAATTGTTGGGAATCAAAATTGCTCAGCTGATAATGGCATGCTGCACGGTTCGTTGGCTGCGAAACGTAGGCATCAGCTATCTCAGCTGTCTGATGGGCGTCATGCAAGCTATGGCTCTGCACTAGCTGTGCACCGCCTACAATCAGGCGTTCTTGGCATCCGATGGCGCTCCAGCAGGCCCAGGCCCACCGAAGGGCTGCATGGATCGAGGGCGCTTCTTTTCTCGCTCTTCGTCTTCCATGGTCAGATCTCCGCTGTCGTCGTTGATCTGGTGCGGAGTCTCCGCATTCAGGACTGCGGCACAGTGTTGCAACACCGACTGGAGCTGCCCCTGCAGTTTTTCCTCTTCGGTGTCGGCATCTGTGTTCCCCTCGTCCTGTTCCGCTGTCAGCGCCGTGAGTGGTGGCATAGCCGCCAATGTGGCTTGGGAGGCCTTGACTGAAAGCGCCTGGATCTCCTTTCTGGCAGTCTCGATGTCCGCTCGTGCCTTGGTGGCGGCAATCTGGAACGTCTCTTGTTGCTTTTGATATTCCTGCAACTGAGTCTGCCATGTGGTGACCGCCTCTGTGATATGCTTGATCCATCGTGTGCGGTGGACCTTTTTTGATTCCAGAGCTTCTGTCAGTGTTTTCTGTGCCTTGCCCAGCGTTTTGGTAGCAGCATGTAAGTTTTTGGTCACAAACTTGCTGTTCTCCTTCTCTAGGCGCTCGATGTCCTTGTCCATTTTCTCGATGAGCTCCTGGGTCTCTTGAGGCGCTGCATTGACTTCTGGATAGGCCACTCGAAGTGCTGCAACACACTCCTTTTTCTGAGCCAGAAGTTCCAGGTTGTTGGAACTGGATGCCGATGCTGTGGTTGGCATCAAATTCTGCGCAACCCCGTCCAGAGAAGGCCACGGAGGTAGTGTTGTCGCAAGGGGTGCAAATGGCGAAGTGCTGTAATTCGCATGGTGTGGTGCTTCTGCACCCATCACATGCGAGGCAGCATCTTTGTGCTTGGCCTTGTTCTTCCCAGCACCTTTGCCTTTGCCTTTGCGGCTCCTTGGACTCTGCGATCTTTGGGCAACCCGTGGGCTCTTGGAACGGCTCTGTGATCGGCTGGTGTGATCCTGCCAGTTGTCCCAATCTTCCCATTTCTCCCAAGCATATTGATGTTCTTGTGGCGGCCATGCATCCCTGTATGCTGTCGCCTGTTGTGTTCTGGGCGTCGTGCTGTGGCGCACACCTGTAGTCCAGTGTGCCTGGCACAGCGCGCATGTTTCGGCCACTTTCTTGTTGATGCGTTGGCAATGTATGCAACGCCAAGGAAAGAGGTCTGTCTCCATGGTTCTGCGCTGCTTCTTGATCTCTGTACTTATCCTCCTCAAAAAAGACGGATCTTTGGAATGATGCCCTGCAAATGTCCGGTAAAGGCGTTGTAAAGCCGATGGGCCAAGAACTGTCACCCGTTTGCAGTGCAAATGCCACGTAAATCTGGCTCGAGCACGTTGACGGCGCAACCGCCGTTTCTGGGTGGAACTCAGCAATGGAATTTTGCAAAAGGTCAAAGCCGACAATCAAAATGAGGAACAGGAGCAAGAAGGAGCACATAAATTGTAATCTGTTCGAAATTAAGACACCAGGGATAATCCAGTTCAGTGTCAAGGAAAATACCAAAACTCAGGTGTTGGGTACACCTGCAGAAACCAAACAATCAATGACACAAATCGATGTACCTATCCAGGAAAATCAACTGAATTGTACAAGGAAGGTGGCAGAGATGTGTTGTAGCACCAGCGCAAGGCAATGTGTGCTAGATTCAAATCCAATGAAAATATCCACAAAAATTGGAAGGCTGAGAATCCAGTAAGGTGGTCGACGAGGAGCAAGTCAAACTCGAAGAGCCAGATACGGAAAACCAAAGCCACCAAGATTTGCCACAAAAAAGGGTTTTACCAGGGTAACCCTAAACCTCAAGGTCCAGAAATGCGCAAATCGGGCACCCGTGGGAGAGTCTGTCACAGGACTCCCACTAAGGTGATGGCTCAAAAAACCCAAAGCAACACGTCGAGGGGGAGTTTTGAACCAAAACCTTTTTCAGGTTAGTGATCAAAAAAAAACAACGATAACTATGGAATACTGTATAACTATATGACCAGTAGCCATTTGCCATTATTAGCCACTATTATAACCATTAGCTTAACCACATGTTCCAAATATTATCAGCCATAATATTACCATTAGCTCATGGTTATAATATAGCCATTAGCCATTATGACCGTTATTATGGACAGCCCCAAATGTTTCATGTGAACCGGAACTTCCAACGTGGGTCCTTAGTGCACTTAGGTCCCCAACGTGGGCAACGCACTTGGTCTAGGCAAGGTGGCCGACATTAGGATGGTTTTGTACCTGCCGGGAGCAGCGGTAAACCCAATGCCATAAATCAATATACCCTCTGGTTATGACTAACATAGCCATGGTATAGATGGCCCATAGAAATAGATGGTTTACCTGGGCTTACCGTTCTTAAAAATGGTGGATCTTTCCATGGCTATGTTAAATAACCAGAGGGTAAATCATCCCCAAAGATGGTGTATTGTTTCAGCAGTTCATCACATTACTTGATATATCTTGATATCACTGAACAAATAGTTCCGGATACTTACCGTCGCAAATGTGGATCTCTACGAAAAAGATCTGTATTTAAAGTCTCTTTTCCACCCATGATTTTTACATCATAAATATATCATAAAATATCATAAATCTACATCCATTGTGCATCCATTCCGTCTAAATATTTTTGCATCATCTTGAAATGGGAACTGGACCACGATGGCACAATTGTGTTCCTCCAATATTAAGCCAAACAGATGTGACATGCCTGTGCTTTCTGCAGCCAGATGTGGATGGAAATTCTCTGGTTCAATCCCAGAAACTATCCTTTTTTAGCTGGTGGTGCACTAATTCATAGAGCTTTCGCCATAGCCAATTGCGCATCATTCCAATTTTACTCCAGAAAAAAAATAGCGAGTCCGATTTTTTGTTCAAAACAGCTAACTCAGTTGCCACTTCCCCCATCCGTCAACTTCCGTCAAATCAACTGAATCAACTGCGACGATCAACGGGTGCATAGGCGTCATCATGGCTTGCATCATTGCGCACGCCAAAGGATTGTCCTGCAACATTCACCATCCACCGGGATGAAAAAAAGGCTGGAGGCCGGGGGAATTTTCATGGGATCGGACAATCAAACATGGCATGGCGAAATCCCCAAACGAAATCGAGGTTTTACATGGTTTTACATGGTTTTACTGGGAACAAGATTGGATTATTTGGATTCAATTAAGGATTAAATTGGTCATGTTTGTTTGATGACACCACGTTTGGTGACACGGGATGGTCCCCTTTTTTTTCGAGCCAACTTTCAGGATGAAGATTGACAAAAATCAACATGTCCAAACAAAAATGGGCTCGTTCATGTTCTGGGTGAGGCCGCCAAGTTCGATAGCCAAGTTGACATAAGTGGGGTGAACTATATAGCTGGTTGGTGGTATACCTACCCCCCTGAAAAATATGAGTTAGTCAGATTGGATCATCATCCCAACTATTAGGGAAAATAATCCATTCATGTTCCAGTCACCACCAACCAGTGATTATTAACCATTATCAACCATGATTAACCATCATTAACCATTATTACCCCATACTAAATGTTCCAGTCACCACCAACCAGATAGGCTTAACGGGGAATACACCTATGCTTCATGTGACCTCTCCGGCCACTCGAAGGAAAAACCCCTCGGCCGTCTGAGGAGTTGCGGGTGAGTTCTCGTCTGGCAAAATGGTTTCTGAAAAAAAATCACCATGAGAAATCACCATGAACAATTAGCATGAACAATTACCATCAAATCACATTATATAAATCTGGGTAAATTATAATATTTCACTAACCTGAATTAAGGCCATATTTGGGGATGATTTCCCTAAAATAAACCATGATTCCAGGGTTCGGGAGAACAGTGAGGTCGTGATGAAATTTACCCAGATAAATCACCATGTCCCTTAAAAAATCACCGTTTTGATTTTGAACACCAGCGCCGTCCTCGGGCTTGTCTGGGTAGACATCGCTGCCCATGGGCGGTTCATCCACCACCAAGATCGTCCTTCGCTGACAGGGATGGCAAGGGATGGATGTGGCACCGGGGGGTCATGAAAAACCATGGTACCCGGCCTGGTAAACATACAAAAAGCTATTGAAAATGGTAAATGGCCATAGAAATAATGGATTTACCCAGCTAGATAGCATGGTGATTTTCCATGGTTATGTTAGTTTACCAGAGGGTATACTCCCTGAAAAATCTGAAAAACACATGGTTAACTGAGGAAAAGTACTACTTGTTGATGTTTTTTAAAAAAATGATACCCTCAAAGTAGCCATTTTTTCTAGAGGAACTTAACTGTTGATGATTTTAAACAAATCAAATCTAGTGGTTTTCTCAGAATGTTCAATGGATTTGGTGATATACTTGGGACATAGTGGGATATAAAGCGATATTAACGGACCCCGATGAAATATGGAGGATGTGGGCACGTAGACCTGCCAACAGAAAGGAAAATCCCCGTGATAACTTGGCGTTTAACCATCAAAACTTGTGGTTTCGATGGGGTAATCGATTATAAATGGCGTATTCGGGAGATACTTGGTTTAACCATGTTTAACCATCAAAACTTGGCGTTTTCCCATGGTTACAATGGGGAGATACTTGGGATTTCCCACGAATTCTATGGGCATATCGTGGGAATATGGTGGTTTTATTGGGATATCATCCTCATTTGTGTTCAGCCCATGCACCATGTTGGAGCCAATAAAAGCAGTGTTCAAGACGGGTTAAAACCATTCATGAGGGATCATATAACCATGATGGTTAATAGTGGTTAATAATTCATAATGGATTAACAATTATGAAACATGACCAACCATTATTAACCATTAATAACCAACGAGGACCATAAATAACAATGAAAAAACATAACATAACATATCAAACATGGCTTGCTGGAAAACGCTGTCGATGATTTTGAGAACTCAACTATCTGGTTGGATGTTCCATGAAAACCATGGAAGAAACCTCCATTGAGAATTATCCCATATCTACCTATGATGCTCTTATGATTTTTCCATATTTACCTATCTGGTTGGTGGTTTTTCGCCACCCCTCTGAAAAATATGACGAACCGTCAGTTGGGAATATGAAATTCCCTATGGAAAGTCATAAAATTCCATTGTTCCGAACCACCAACCAGATGTTCATTAATAGGTGATTAATAGGTGATTAGCTTAATGTCAGTATATCAAACAACCATAATTAATAGATGATAATCACCATTATACATATATATGTATATATGTATCCCTTAAACCCCAAGTATTACGCCGTTCTTAACACCACCTCCTGGACCCAAAGTATTACGCACTTTACCAAGTGGACCACCAACCAGTTATCACCATAATATCACCATATAACCCATATAACATCATATAACTATAATCAAAGCGGTTTATCACCATCATATCACCATAACTAACCGTCAAAGCGGTTTAACAAATTCTCCCATTGCCATCTTTGACCGCTCAAACCGCTGGGTTCGCTGGTCCTATTGGGATCCAACTGGCGCAGGAGCCACGCAGCGCTGGCGGAATCGCACATCAAAAAGATGCCTCGATCGCCGAGGAAATCCCCAAAAAAAACAAGTTGGATGGGATTTCACCAGGAAGAACGGAGAGAATTAGTTTTCCTGAACATTTTAGATACCAACCAAAATTACCTACCTTAAAAACCATCAGAAACAAACATATACACCAAACAATATTTAAAATTGATTGTATTTTTGTTCGTTTATATGTTTGTTTCTGATGGTTTATGGTAGGTTTTTGGTTGGTAGGTAGGTTTATCGTGGTTGTGTAGTTCGGCATGGAAATACAATTTGCTAACAGTTCGGCCAGTTCTATTATGAGATTACAGTGAATATGGTATATTTAATTGCGCTATAAAATTTGCTGGTTTTTGAAAAGGTTTACCAAATGATCCATGGTAGATATATCGACGGTTACCAGGTAGACATAGTGGGTATGGGAACAAATCTGAGGAACATCACCTGACTGGGTCGCTGACTAGCGGCCTGGTCAACGTTTACAAAACGAACTGGAAAATCACTATTTTTAATGGGTAAACCATGGTAAACCCACTATAAATCACCATTTTCAATAGCAAACTGTTTGTTTACCAGGCCGGGTATCTCCACAGGGAGAGTCATTTGAGAAGCCTGGCAGACTATTGAAAGATTTCGCCATGGGAAAGGCGTCAGCCTCAGCATGTATTGATGGTTAAATCAATCTAAGAATCAGCATGTATTGGTGCCCCTTTTTTAGCTAAGCTAGCTAGCTATCTAGGTTAATTTGCAGATTTATGACATAGAATGGTTACATGGGTGAAGAACTTAAACTATATATATATATTATACATCATGATAGACATCCATATATATAATATTTGCACTATAGATCTAAACTATATTAATATAAACTATAGATAACAATTTGTCATATGATATACTTTTTTTTATGTATACCTACCATCAATATCCATAAACCATTAATAGAAATCCATCGTGAAATCTCAACCGAGCCGCGTGGGAAGCGTTTCAAGTCGTGCAGCGCACCTAACGGCAGAATGGATTGTCGTAGGTTGCTAATTTAGCCACCAAGAATGCTTGGGATTTGTAAGTATATAATGGAGATATCATAGGAACATAGGGATATAATGGAGATATCATATAGGATATCATGTGGAAATTGTCATTTCAGCAACAACAACGAATATAACGGATTTTGTTGGGGATATGGAGACATATATATAATAGGAATATAGCTGGGTATAATTTGATAAAACATTCCCTGCAAACTAACTTGGATGTGGAAAAGCCATGGTTTCCCTCGGAAGATGATCGCAAATGGTTGGTTTACAGGAGGGCAAAATCCCAAACGAAAGAATTGATGAGAAATTATATTGTTGCCCATGTTCTGTGGGCTTACTAACCACAGTCTACTCATCAAACTGGAGGAAAACTTGGATTTTACCCATCAAACTTTGATTTTACCTCGCACAAATTGGGAAACTAAGCAGCATAAACGCAGTTGTTTGGGTGGAATTACGATTCTGTCAACAACGCTGACAGAATGTTTTGGAAGAGCAAGAACTGCATGGTAAACCTCAAACACTTACAGCGTTCAGAAGTCTCACCTGTCAACAGCATCGCAGAAGTACAAAATCTAATTGTCTTGCTGATCCGTGGCTAATCTCAAATCGCCCATCGGAAAAAAAAAACAAACTTGAAACGGCATCTGAACAGAACATCCACAAAAAATCAATGCAGCAATGAAAAGCAACCATACGCCACGGTATGCCCAAACAAAAACTATGATTATTTTGGTGGATTTTAGAGGCGTCCTTGGTGACACCCCAATCAGAAGCTCACTGAGGCCCAATCAGAAGCCTGATCCACCGATCAGTGATCAGGTGTTTTACCCCACATCTACTCATAAAAAACTGGTCGGTGGTTGAGCCGCCCCTCTGAAAAATATGAGTTCGTCAGTTGGGATGATGACATTCCCAATATATGGAAAAATAAAATTCATGTTCCAAACCACCAATCAGATAAGTTCCATTCAAAATAAGTTGTGTACCCATCGTAGCAAGACTAAGAATACTATAAGAATAACTTAAACATCCTTTTGAGGACTGTATTGATCACAACCACGACAACAATGACAAGGATGACAAGTAATTTGTAATTGTCAATGATGGTGATGATCATGACATGATCAGGATGATGTTGCTGCTGATTATGATCATCATGCACCATCACAGTCTAAATCATGACTATTGCTCCTAATACAATTAATCGAATAAACAAGTATATACTTTAGCGAACTCGAAAAAGAACTTTCGCGAGGGTTCCCAGCATAAAATGAACAGTCTTCACAAAGAATAACTCCTCACTAAGGACCTTTAAAGACTGATAACCTATCATATATTTATATATATATATAATTAATAATACGTACGTATATATATATATAATATATGTATGTAAATGTATTACTAATTACAATATCACAATAATATTACTAAGACTCTTTAAAGATTGGTCCCCATATTTATTATCTCAGCATCCGCATCTGCTGTGCCGCAAGAGGCGCGTTTTCGCTTCTTCTCTGCGAGGCGTTTCTTCTTTCGCTCGAGATTCAGCTTGACCACCTGGGTTGCGGAGCTGGAGAGAACGTGGGAAAACCCATGGGAAGGTCCAATATGGGGATTCTTGGAGATTCGGGAAGAATACGATAGGGAATTGATAGTTGGAACCAAGGGTCATGGGATATTTCATGAAATATGGCGATAAAACGCATTGGGGTCTTAGATTATTAGATGTTCCGAGGATAAGTGTCATGTCCTTGCTTCTAAATATAGGGTAAGGTTGAGATATCGCATGTCGTGCAACGACGGATGGGAACTTGGGAACTGGTTACCTGGTTTCAACCCATCTGATCAACGTCAATTGGAAGCATCAAAAAATGGCTTACCCGGCCTGGCAAACGTTTACAAAAAACATGGAAAATCATGGGTTTTATAATGATTTAATGGCATTTTATAGTGATTCAATGGGATATTAATGGGATATACCCTCTGGTGAACTAACATAACTATGGAAAATCACCATCTTTTGTAGGGAAATCAACTATAAATGGACCATTTTCAATAGCAAACTGTAACAAATTACGAGAGATGGTAATCTTGGTGATACCCTTTTAGAAATTTCACATGGCTATGGAAACAAGATGTACCCATTTAGTTCGATGATTTATCCATCAAACATGGTGGTTTTGTATGGCAAACTCTGAAATTTACCAGAGGATAAACAACCACTTTGAATCCAACTGCCAATTAGTTCACCTGTGAATTTCATCGTTAAGCCATGTAAAACACATTTGTTTGCACTTACATCCTAATACCATCCGGTAGTCAAACGTGGCACATGAAAAATCCATCAAACTTGATTTTCACAGCTTGAAACCCCATTGATAGATGATTCTCCAGCCAACCACGTTGATATCCGGAGGGTAAGCAATATTCCATTGATATCTCCAAATATTCCATAACATTCCATAACTATCCCGTTACATGTTCATCATATCGCCATTAAAATTCAGTCAATCGCACCATTGAATCACCATCAAATCACCAAAAAAACAGCGGTTTCCATAGTCATGGTTTTTTTTACCAAATGGATGGTTTATAATGGGAAATCCTATGAACATGAATGATTTGGGGGTACCCCTATTTCCACTTAAAATCTTCATTAATCACCATTCAATCACCCTTTTTATGCCATCACATCTGCACTAAGTCCTACTAAATCCCATGAAAAATCACCACGGAGTCCTACTAAATCCCATGAAAAATCACCTTGAAATCCCACTGAATCTTCATGAATCACCATTAAATCACCATATTTTGATGCTGAACTACCCCCTTTTTTTAAACACGCTGCCCTCCAGGTTTCCCTGCGGCATATCTCAAAGACTCCACCGCGGACTGTGCCGGCCTCCATGGTGGTTTTTATCAGATGTGGAAACACATATAGGTCATATACATATTATTTTATCACATGTATAGGTCGATCTTTGCTAATAGGTCTAACATAATGTCTATCTTTATGTATAGGTTTATCTTACCACAAATAGTAGTAGTATAAGATAGTAGTGATAGGTCATATACTATGTTCTATCTTTATGGTCATATAGGTCATAGGTCATATAAAAAATCAAGCGAATAGTAATAGTATAAGATAGACAAAATAGTAATAGTATAAGATAGAACAAAATAACACATAAAATTAAAAAATACTAGTATAAGAAAGTAGTACAAATTGTTTGTTTAATCCTTAAGAATATACATATGTAAATATATATATATATATACAATTATATACATATAAACACATACGCAGGTTTCCTAAAATGGGGGCACCCCAAATCATCCAATTTAAGCATTTTCAACAATGATATGCCAATATTATCATATCAGTTCATACCATAGTACAATCATGCCAGTATCTATTAACAATCTGATCCTATCAGTTTAAGTTAAGTATCAGTAACATAGATTAGACATAGTATTATTGTACCTGGTTGGTGATTTCAACCCCTCTGAAAAAAATGAGTTCGTCAGTTGGGATGATGACATTCCCAATATATGGAAATTCATAAAAATCATGTTCAAAAACCACCAACCAGGTACTTATCCTATCTTGTCCTCCCATCACTTTTAACAAAAACACATCAACAAAAGTCGCAAACCATCGATCGGGTGATGAGGAGTCCCAACATAACGGCCTTCGACCTTCGGCGACCCGGTTTTCACAGGTAAGTTGCTGCAAATAACGCTTGGCTAATTGTGGTTTATGGTGCTAGTGGATATGTCTTGGGGGCACCAACTCAAAAACCCTCCCGCAATCATAGCGCTGGAAATCTGAAACAGTTTTGACAAATGGAGGGTTTATTCATGAGAAAATCATCTATGAAATGGGTACGTGTTTTCCAAAATTGTCGGTTTATGGCATTGGTTATAATCTACAGTCAATAAATGAGGACTTGTTATATCTTGCAAAGTGGGGCCCCCTAGCATGATTTACAATGCTTTATGATTCTTCTAGCTATACTTAATGTACAATGATAAGTCAACATGTAATAAAAGTGGTTAAACATGTACTAAACTAACTAACATGTACATGGGCCCCCTAACATGTTAATGGCTGTTTAACGATCTTTATAAAAACCCAGGTTGCAACTGATGAGATGACATCCTGCTGGTTGATCATCGGTGGTTATGGTGGGCTGTAAGGCTAGTCCGAAACCGGGTAGGTTTTTTAACCAATCAACAATGGCTCAGTTGACTGTAGCCAGATATATCCCAGATATAATCCCATTCTAGTTTTTTTGGGGGAAGATTTGGTAATCTAGGGCTTCATGAAGGAACTTTACACTATGTTATCAATCAGATTTCAAAGCCGGTTGTTTGATGAATAACATCAGATGTATCCCACATAACTGGATGATTGTATTCAACTGGTGAGTAGTCCGTTAGCTGCCCTGCATGGTCGCCCTTAATAACAAGTGTTGTGATTGACTGGACATCTAATTAAGCATTCATGTTCGATTGCTACAAGCACTTGATGATTTTGTCGCAGAACTGATGTTTTTTAATACAGATAGCGGCTAATCACATTACACATAAACATATATAAACAGAACATACGCCTGCCCTCGTCACAACATGACATTGTCCGGTCATCCATGACCTGCTGAATATATCCTCCCCATTTCGTAAGTATCCGATTTGGAAAAACAACCTGGCTGATGTCCGATATGCCATGATATCCCATGATATCCCATGATATCCCAGTATACCCCATAGTTTTGTGTTACATAGTTTCTATGCTTGTTACATGACAAGCGAGGCCTTTTCAGTCACAGGACTCTCATGGTGAAGGTGGACCCGGATGATGAAGCTGTCCGAAATCTGATCCTGGAGATGCTGTGGCCTGCCGAAACTCCTGGAAGTGTGCCCATGATGCACGGAACCACACCCTTCTGGGATCCAAATGCCCATTGCAGACGCCAGCCCAAGCGCTGTCCGCCAGACCATTGAAAGGCTGGAGGACCGACAGACGTGGACAGGCCCAGCGCAAATTGTGCTAACGCTTGGAGAGTGGTATCTCCTCGAACTACGTAGTTTCTATTTCTATGGTATGTGTTGAAATAATCTATATACCATTATTTACCCTAGTCAAATTCTCTATAATATATAGCTGGTAACATCTGAAACATCCAAATACATTTGAAACATTCAAATACATTTAAACCATCTATGGTATGTCTTACATCAAACAATATATTCTAATAAAACATTGTATCATTATTATATAATGATATCCTATTATTCCATGATTATAGTAGTATATCCCATCATAACAGTTTCTATGGGATGTGTTACCTTAAACTGTCATAAACTATGTCTACCGCATCATAAAATGCTATGTGTATCTCTCATTTTCTTTCATGGTTATGGTTCAAAACCCGTGACTTACCCCCAAAATCACTAGTTACCCTCTGGTAAACTAACATAACTATGGAAAATCAACATTTTTCATGGGTACATCAACTATTTCTATGGTCATTTTCCAGTTCGCAAACTGTTGAATCACCATTTAGAGTGGTTAAATCTCCATTAGATCACCATTTTGAATAGTTTTTTGTATGTTTACCAGAGGGTAATGGATTTTTCTTTCGTCGGTAAAATCAGAGGTAACAAACGACCCATCCCAATTCTTCCACGTACGAAATATCACCACCCAGTCATAGGTTACATACCATAAATCCAATAGATCTACCAACTAACTGTATGTCACAACTGGTTGGTGGTTGAGCCACCCCTCTGAAAAATATAAGTTCGTCACTTGGGATTATGAAATTCCCAATATATGGAATAATAAAAAATGTTCCAAACCACCAACCAATATATACATATATATATATATACATGCCAAACTGATAGGTTTTGAACCATCCCATATCAGAAATTGAAAAATATTAAAAATCTGCTATTACTCATCAATACTTCCACTATTCTCCATGTATTATCACCATAATCACCATAATCCCACTATTTGACAAAGTAACACCACCCATTGTTTACGGCTAAATCATCTACAAATCATCTATTAATCCATCTATAAATTATCTGTTTATAGGTAAACCATCTATTATTTCTAGGTTCATGATAGTGAAATTACTATGGTTATAGTTACTACTATGCTTAATGATACTAAAACCAACATAAATCAACTATTATTCATAGGTTCATCACTTGATGATGAACCACATTGAAACAAATAGTTAATCTGGTTGGTGGTATACCTACCCTTCTGAAAAATACGGTTGTTTAACATAGCCATGGGAAAATAGGTTCCCTATAGTTAATTATGGCTTATAACATTTTATAACTATAAATCCATCATCTATGGTGAAAAACAGCTTCATGATAGTTAATCTGATTGGTTTTTTCTATGGTTATTTAACATAGCCATGGAAAAATCCCATGAAAAGCCATGGAGCTTAATGAAGGAAAAACCCTCACGACGACATCCCGACGTTTCCCCCGCGGATTGGCGGCTTGTTCTGCTCCGCCGGCATGTCCACGTGCGTCCCAAGGCCACGGCCGCAGGAGTAGCTGGGCGTGATGCGGCGACCCTTGCCTCGATCCGCAACGCGGTGGCGTCCCCGTGCCAAAAGGGCCATGGAAAAACGGTGGAGACAAAGGCGCAAAACAGAAGGAAATTTGGATTTTGAGCTACTGAGAATGGGATTTTACATCCGTTTTAGCCCATAAATCCTGAGTTAGATGATGTTATATGTTCTCCCAAAACACACTTTAAATCCCATACAAACATCATGTTCGCACTTCTCCTAGTTATCTAGTTGGCCATAAGCTCTGGGAATCAAACGTGGCTGAAAAATACTCATCGAAGTCAATGGTACCGGGTTTTTCCAGCCACGGGTGATGTACGGAGGGTCCCTAACTTTGCATTCAATTCGAAATTATCATAATCATCATCATAAATCATAAAGTTTCATCATTAAAATCAACATTAAACATGTCTCATCAACATTAATCATTACCACATTCAATTCAACATTAAATCAACATGTTTCATCATCATAAAGTCTCCATATAACCAAGGACAAAAAACGGATTCTCAAACGATGTAAATCCCCACAGATACACATATATGTATATATAATCAGAATGCATTTTTCTAAAAAAAACTAGTAACTAGTAGTATATCTAGTGTAAATATATTATGTATATACTATATAATTATACTGTCTATATAATATGTATATATATATATATGTATGTGTGTGTCTATATTATTCATATTATCATTATTATCATGTGTATATATATAAATATACATAGAAGAACAACAATTATTGAATGAATCCCTACATTTCTTGCACCACGATGATCTCCTGGCACCACCCGTTTTGTCCTTCCGTTTCGGAAACCGAGCCGGTGTCGAGGTGCAAAAGGCGTAGGGAATGCCGAGGGTATTGGAGATGCGGCCCACGCTCAGCACCACAGGCAGCGCTGGGCAACAAAACACCAACCTAAGATCCGGAACTGATGGGACATAGGATCTGGGCCAGTTAGTGAACCAGATCTGGTTGGTGGTTTTTCGCCACCCCCCTGAAAAATGATGGAGTTAGTCAGATTGGATCATCATCCCAACTATTGGGGAAAATAAGAAATGTTTGAAACCACCAACCAGCAGATAATACATGGATTATCAATGATTAACATTGGGTTATTAATATAAAAGTTACTCAAGTAGAATTAGTACAGTAAGTGGAGTTAACCAACTAGTACTGATTGGGTTAGTTCATGTTGGTTGATACTGGGGATTACTACTACAGTTAGTGGGTTACAATCCATTTACGAAGAAGGAATCGCTAATCCCATGGTCCATCTATGTGTGGGGTCTCCTGGTGAAATGTAAAGTGAGTAGTTGGGCTTATGGTTGGAGAATTGCCCAAGTGTTGGCAGACCATGATAAGGAAAGGCTATGATAAGCATAATGACTGATATTGTTATAAAGTGAGTAAAACATGAAACCCGCTATATTGTCATGGTTGGAGATCGTTGCAAACCAATTCTGGAAATACTGTGCCAATGTAGCAAATAAATATTCACTTGAAACTGACTATAACTGATAGCTCTTACTTATATCATGTATTGCAGCAAAGAACTGTCAATGATCAGTTTGACAATCTTGATATATACTGGGGAAATGACACTAATTCCCAGATCAGAAAGCAGAACATGGAGCATTTGGTGAGCCCCCAAAATTCAGCATGTTTAAAACGCACGCAGGGATTCAGCAAATTATTCTTGGAGTTGAGTAGGGGGATCCAAAACCTGATCTCCCAATCAAGTTTAACCCATCAAATTTGGTGTATCTGATCGACTGAAACCTGATTTCAGCTACAACAAGGTCACAAAATCGGATGGTTCCCGGGTACTACCCATCAATACCCATCATTTAACTTTAGATTCATTTAATGCCCATAGTTCATGCTGGTTTGTACCACCCATGTTTTTTGGTTCTTGAGGTTATATCAACTCATGGTGGTTATGATGGTAAACCACACATCGGATATAGTTGGCTCTAATATCCACCGATCCTTTCATAGCCTATGACATCTCATATTAAATCCTCACTAAACCTGGTCCCCATGGAAAATCCCCCATAAAATCACAGATCCCAATAAAAATCGCGTCAAATCCCTTATACAATCCCAAACAATCGACAATCTCCATTAAAAATACTACATCACCATGAAACTCCCATTTTGGGATCTTTCAATCACCCCAAGCTGCACCACAAAGCGCGCCGCCCGATTTTCCGCGCCATTTTCCCCCGCTGGTTCCCCGCTGCTCTCATCATCAAGGTCGATGCAGAACTGAGCCTTGGAGCAGGATTTACCACATAAAATAGGGAATAGGGAAGTTGACTTATAAGTTGGTTAACTATGGTTAATGGGGGTTTGGTTAACATGTATATGATACATCAACTATAGTTGGTTCATTATTGGCAATAACTATGGCTCATGGAAGTTATAAACATTTATAAACCAACTTAAAATGATAAATAACTGACAATTTATAACTTGCCACTTATAAAATGGGAACTTAAGGAAAATTATATATGTTTTTTATACGTGGTAAGATATAAGTGGTAAGTTATAAATGGTAAGTTATAAGTGATTTATCACATTACCACATAAGTTGGTTACCATCTGGTTATTTCACATAGCCATGGAAAATCCCTTATAGCCATGGAGCTTTATAGCTGGGAAAAATCATCTATAAATAGGCCATTTTCCATGGCTACGTTAAATAACCAGGGGGTAACTCTGGTTAATGGTGGTTATAAAAATGTATAAATCAACTTACAATGTGGGAACAATGGCATAATCCATTTTTGAGATATTGACAATTGATAGGATTAAAAATTTAAAAAAATGTTAGAATAAGAATTGATAATTGAGATATTCACAAGTGATCATGTACAGTTTGCAAAATACTTATTTATCAGATAAGCAGTTTAGGATAGGTTTGTCGCCAACACCATACTTTGGGATATTATAAGAATAGTAGTAATAGATATTAGATATATATATTTTATAACATGGTAGTGCTAATAATAGCACCTTGGTTTCAACAAACGACAACAGCCCAATATGGGGCTTTTAAGCCGCACACATTGTGTGTCTGAAGTTAGGGGATGAAACCAGCGAAAAATACAGGCTACACCTGATTTGCAGGCTATAAAACTCAACTGGCTGGTTGTTGAGCCACAACCCCTCTGAAAAATGATGACATTCCCAATATATATATATATATATGGAAATTCATAAAATTCATGTTCCAAACCACCAACCAGTCATGTTACTATCCAAAAAACAATTCACCCAATGTATGATGGATTTCAACAACATGATAGTTCTGGGGCATTAAACCTATGAAGCTATCGTTCAAAAAACAGCAACAAATGGTGCATTTAAGCAACAACAATAGGGACTGGACCGAAAAATCCGAAAACAATCATGGACACCATGTGCTTTACCAAAGCTGAGAGATTTTTTCACAAATAACAAACCTTGGGACCATCAGACAATCACTGCGAGATGTTTCGAAAACGAATGTGGTACATCGCATGGGCTTGTCAAAAAATAGGGGAAACCATTGGATTTAGCGGTACATGTTCCGACGAAGCCACATTTGGAGATGATGTTCTTTTTTTGGGATAGGTGATGAAAACGGCCGCTTCAAAACACTTACAGGTGTGCAGACCGTTTTTCTCTTATTAAGCCAGCCATTTCAAAGTTGTTCAACATCACTAAGTTGAAAGACATTAGATAAACAAAGGAAAATCCAACCTTATAATTGTCTGTCTTGTCAACCATCCACCAACCATCATTTTGCGGATTGTATCACCATGTTAGCAGGTCAGAAAACATCATGAAGCATCATTGAACATATCATAAGCATCATGAACACATCATGAACACATCATACATCAAAACATCAAACAACTAACTATAAACTAACTACTAACTACCTATAAACATCTATAAACCGTGTTTCTTTCTTGGTATCTACCCATAAAGAACCCCCCAAAAAAACGGCCGTTTCCAGAGATTTTCAGACCGCACCTGAAGCTCTGCGGGACGAGTCGGGATATTCTCAGGAGGCACCTCCTGTGCTGACTCCGCTGATCACATGGCGTTGAGATATGGACCATCGTTCCATTGAAGATCTATAGATTTATGAAGGATTTATGGAGGATTTATGAGGATTTATGGTGGGTTTATGGTGGGTTTATGGATATTTATGGAGGATGTATGGTGGATTTATGAAAGATTTATGGTAGATTTATGGTGGATTTATGGAGGATTTACGGAAGATTTATGGAGGATTCATGGAGGATTCATTGTGGATTTACGGAGGATTTATGGTGGATTTATGGTGGATTTTTACCGTGGATTTATGAAGGATTTATGGAAGATTTACGGAGGATTTATGGAGGGTTTATGGATGATAAATGGAAGATTTACGGTGGATTTACAGTGGATTTATGGAGGATTTACGATGGATTTATGGAGGATTTATGAAGGATTTATGAAGGATTTATCCACCGTAAATCCACCATAAATCCTCCATAATTCCACCATAAATCCACCGTAAATCCACTAAACTAACACTAAGAGTGTGTAAAATCTTCAACTATGTGATGTGATGTGTACACTTCAAGGACTAACCCCTTACTAAACATCAGGACCCACTCACTCACAATCTCCATATTTTACGACATTTTACGACCTATAGCCTATAGTACTTTACGAACTCCAGGGTAGGCTGCTGAAAATTTCTTTGGAGGTCCATAGAGCTACTGGTTCAACTGTGCTTCAATGGCATTTAAATATGCGGAACGGGCCCAGCCATTTAAACATACGGATGGAACTGGTGTTTCATACTACCTCCGGGGCCTTGCGGTCTGGCCCGCCCTCCACATATTTAAATGGCGTTACCGTATATCTGAAATAAAACTCCCTTCAGTGCAAACGACTCATAAGAACCCTTTCGCATGAAGTCTGTGTGTAAAAACTTCTGTGTGTAAAATTGTTTGCGTGTAAACGGATCTGCGTGTAAAAGCGTTTGTGAGTAAAGGGATATGTGTGTAAAGGCGTCTGTGTGTAAAAGCATCTGTGTGCAAAAGCGTTTTTGTGTAAAAGTGTCTGCGTGTAAAGGCGTCTGTATGTAAAAGGGTTTGTGTGTAAAAGCGCCTGTGTGTAAAAGCTTCTTTGTTTAAAAGCGTCTGTCTGTAAAAGCATCTGTGTGTGTAAAAGCTTCTGTGTGTACAAGCTTATTGGTGTAAAAACTTCTGTGTGTAAACGCGTCTGTGTGTAAACGCGTCTGTGTGTAAAAGCGTCTGTGTTAAAAGTGTCTGTGCGTAAAAATCTCTGTGTGCAAAAGCGTCTATCTGTAAAAAGTTATGTGTGTGTAAAACTATACGAAATATATGATGCAAACTATTGTCTTGTGTGTGTGATATATTGTCTTGATACTACTTTTCTCGTCTGCTTATAATACATCTTTAATATATTGTTTTGTAATATAGTGTCTCCATACTAACAACAGAAGACTCTGCTCCTCTACGCTCTCGGGCCATCAGTCGTCTAGTTTTTTGATTTTACACTATTCAGACCCGTGCATTTGAAGATTTCCACACTAAAGAGACTCAAAGAATTGTTTAGGGAGGGGTGGATCCCCCACACTAATCAGGATACTACATTACATCAAATTACAGATGACTGTTGTTTCAATGCCCATGAAACATGAAAACATGTGGACACATGTGGAGACTGGTACCCTCTGGTAATTTAACATAACTATGGAAAGATCCACCATGCTATTAATGGGAAAATCCACTATTTCTATGGCCATTTTCAATAGCTTTTTGTATGTTGACCAGGCCGGGTATATCCCAAATATCCTGCAGGATGCAAGATACACCCGGGATTCCAAAAGTTAAATCCGACTAAAAGTAGCGCGAATTTTGACCCTTTCATTCCTGAAAGATATTTGTTCATGACCTTTCTCTAGTGGTTGCAACCTGCAAAAAAAGGTACAGTCCAGGCCTCCAAATCGATGACTTTCTCGGCCGCAGTGGTGAGGCACTTCCTATCCGATCCAATCCCGTTCTGACAGTAGAATTGGGGGGTGCCGTTCGTCACATCCGAAAAACATACGCTACAGTTGTAGCCCGAAATACCAGCTATAAGATGCTGTAAGTCAGTAAGTCACCCCATTTATAGAAGAAGAACCAGATTTAAAATCACATTAATCACCATGTATAACTGGTAAAAAAAAAACACAAAACCACATTAATCACCATTAATAACTGGTATAACTGGGGCCTGAAGTGTATTGTCAAAATACCATCAGGACATGATTGGATCCCCAGGGCAGGGCCCAAAATTCCAAATACGTAGAATCTTGGATCCGATTTTCTCAAAGTCGTGAGTTCAATCAGCTTTGTGAATGATTCTAGTTCACCATAGTTCACCATGCAATAATTTGTGTGGAAGATATCACCCGCAAAACTGGGTTAACCTTAGGTACTTTAGCACAAAACAACGAAGTGACTGGTTCTGCTTTCCGGCCATGGGACAACTCGTCAAGGACCAGCGAAGATCTAACATCAACCCATGTGCTTTTTTTAATGGGGGAGCCTCTGGTAAACGTTTACAAAAAAAAACTATGGAAAGATCCACCATAGAAATAGTTAATTGTCCGATGAAAAATGGTGGATCTTTCCATAGTTATGTAAACGTTTACCAGAGGGTAAAGCATCTATAAATGGACCATGTTCATCCATGTTCAGCGTTAGATTGTTAGATTATTGGAAGGTCAAGTTCATTGTAAAGGTGTATATCCATGTATATCCTGAGCTCTATATTGGTACAATGTTTTGATCAATATCCCAGCGGTATGGTTCCCACTAAGGATGGTGAAGTTTTATCTTCCTCTGCAGTCGCTATATCCCCACAAACAAGTTCCTAAAGCTCAGGGTTCACTCAGAATCTATCCCATCACAATAACGTTATCGTTGTTTGCGATTTCGGCCACATGTATCAACCCATGTATATATTCATCATGCATCTTGTAGACATGATCCATCATGTTTGGTGAGATATACTTCCTGATCGACATCAGGTTATTTACATGCCGGTCCACGCTGAGTTTATCGATATTATAAACATATCCGGCCCGATTTCTAAAGGTGAATATGTGTAGATGATGCCGCAGTTTGTCGAATTCCTCTTAAGGATTTCATTGTGGACCCCACCTCCTCAAAGAATAACTGCTTGGTGGTTTTTCGCAACCCCTCTGAAAAATCATGGAGTTCGTCAATTGGGATGATGAAATTCCCAATAGATGGAAAGTCATAAAATTCCATGGTTCCAAAGCACCAACCAGATAACATTGCCTGTAGATTCCCCAATGGATTTTCCATTGGGGCCAACACATCATCGACTCAACAATTCCTCTTCGAAATAAATCTGGCCATGGGAGCCGTGAAATGTTCCACATTGTTCCACTATATTTGGTGTGTCTTACGTGTCAATCAGTTCTCCAAACTGAATATGATAAATTATGATATCCATACAATTCACAAATATCAACAGGATGTAACAAGACTTAAACACATGTATACACATAAATCTCTGCATCTAATCCCGTGTTTTCTGTGTCAGGTTTGTTTTTTTCTACATGTCCCGCCAAACGCACCATGAAACAACGCTCATTAGGCTGCCTGTGAGACGCAGAAGAATCTTTGGTACCTGCGACATGACTGGGCTGTGATTCTCCGCCGACCGTGTCAACATATTCCCTACAAGGTGGTGCCCCCTAGATAGCTAAGTTGGTGAACATATCTCCAATAACTATGGTTTATTTATAGGTGATATGTCTATAGAAAAAATATATGTGTTACTGAACTCAAGGATACAATGTGGTGCCCCAGCAAGTCATAATTTTGTTTGCAAACCAAAGTAATTATAAATATATTATATCATCTACTATATAAACATATATAAACCCTAGTCATTAGAGTTATACACCAACTTAGCTATCGGCTGGGGGCAGCCCTTTGTACACATACCATAAGGCCGCAAATCTTTAAAGGTTCGGCCAAATTAAGACGGGTTTGCATGGAAAGTTGTGTAACCAATTTGGGGGCTGAGAGATTGTTTCCATTATTATGAGAATAGTTGGTTAATAATAGTTAATAATAGTCAATAACCAAATTTGTTTTATTATAATATAGTTCATATTCCATTATTGTGAGAACACACATCCACAAAAATGCCATACCAATGGGGAAGGTTCCCAATGGCGTACCCCCAAAATCATCTCGACCATGAGGAAACCCATGGAAACCCATGGAAACCCAACTTGGGATCCTTCATGACATCCCATGGCTTCAGAAAGCCTCAAATAGTTCACTGTCTTTTTTGGGTACCCAACCTGGTTATGACTAACAGTTCGCCATGGTATAGATGGCCCTAATCGAAATAGATGGTTTACCTGGGTTTACCGTTCTTAAAAGCCTGCTGGATCAACCTTTTGGGGTATGTTGTTTTAATAAACCCGAATTCGGAGCAGCAAAAACATCAGGCCCCTGTACTGGAATGATCCGCCGGAAAAACGACTGGAAATTCACGACACCAAATCCCATGAGCTTGGATGTTCCTCACTGAAATTGCAAGTTTGGAGTGTTGAAAATGTTTGGAACTAAATGCATTGAAAACCATAATGTGGTTGGTATCATGGTTGGCTATGTATTAACAGTTTGGGTCATAACTTTTAACTGTTTGTTCATCAAATTATATATTCCATCCCTGATTCTTGCGGCTGGTTATATACTAACCCACATTTGTACTTCCCCCAAAAATAGGTTGTTTATTCTACCGTGGTTAAATCACTAAAAATAACCATCGGTCATGATTGGTTGAGTCCCGATTTCTGATCGAATAGTGAATGATATCCTTCTGGGTTCGATCCCAAGTTGTTTGGCGTTCAAAACCCCTATGTTCCTAAAATCTAAAGCCATCTTCCGCTGGTTCACAGCCTCCACGTTTGGTGGGGTCTCACCTTGCTAGTTTGGACATACGAGGTGTTGCCTCCGTTACAAGTTGGTTAAAACAAGTATAGTAATTACATTATATATCTATAAACCAACAGTTTGTGGAGTTACTATACCTACTTTATAAACCAACTATACTTAAACTGCTTGGTTCTTCATCTGCTATATTCTTCAACAAAAACCTAACAGTTTGTGGAGTAACCAACCACCTTAGCTAATGTCACACCTGTCACAGAGAAGAAGCGATGCAAAGACGTCGCTTGGTTGATCACCTCGGCAGGATTCACGGCGCCGGAGATCGTCCATTGCCGCGTGTCCATTAAGGGCCTAAAGGGTGTCGTTTGATTACTAAAGGGTGTCCATTAAGGTCTCAAATCCCCTATTATTGGGTCCGGAATTCTTTGGGGAATTGATGTGAATTGATGTGTCCCGGAAAATTTGAAGTTTCCGGTTCTGTCCGTTTTCCTTGCTATTTGCCACATTTTGGAACTGGAAGCTGCCATTTCGACGGTACTGACTACATTTTGTAGTTCGAACCTTTCATTGTCTATGATATTTGCAAAATTTTGGTGTTCCAACTGTCGATGAGGCCGTGGCTTAGGGCTTATTGGGGGCTGGTTTAGGGTTAATTTTATGGTTATTTCAGTTATCTCAATGTGTTTAAACCTTAGCTTTAGCATGTTTTGGCATTCCTTTTTGGTACTGGTTTCAATGTTTTTTTAGAGTCGAGGTTGGTTTAAGGTCTATTGAGGGTTTGGTTTAGATTCTATTTACTCTCATTTTAAAGTCAGAGGTTGTTCCTTCCCCTATTATTCCCTATTAATCCTTGATCTCCATATCAACATACATCAACTGGATCATCAGTTTCATTACAAATAGTGGATCCCTACAAGGTGGATCCAGGTATGACTAGATTTGTTTATTGGCCGAACTATCGCAGTATATCTACTTTTTTACCACTGCAAAGCTGGTGATCTTAGCGTCTCCACAATAATCTGCCAGGACTTAGTACCTGGATTGAAGCCATGGCCACAAGAGCTACCCACCGCAAGCTGCCAAGCCTCGGCTCTCCGAATGCGCAGGTGTCGGCGATGGAACCCGCACCGACCCGCACGAACCAAGGCACCATTGGAAAAATTGGCGAACCATGGTGCTGGAATATGAATCCCAACATTTACCCTGAAAATCACCCAGTTATGTAGGTAAATATACCAGCACCATGGTTCGCACCTGGGTTGGAAAAACCCACATCTCACTTGCTTTTCGTGGTGCCTTTCGCGCGGGCTTCACTCAAGTTGTTCCAAAGTGCGCTGCGATGAGAGGTTGGGTAGATACCCACGGTTCCACGAGAATTGAGCGGTTGAAAAAAAAACGCGAGCCTCGTTTGATCTTTACAGAAATAGCAGTATAAACGTGGAAATATTGAAACACGATATCCCCATTATTTTCACAATTAATATTGATTCATATATCACATATCCATATATTATCCTATGTTCATGTTATAACTCGCCATGTGAAACGCTTCAGTTTTTTCGCCCTCAAGCCACTTATAACTGGAGAGTCTTTAATGATATGGTTCACCTCTACAGGAGTTATGGAATACCAATTATACCATCTGGTTATTTAACATAGCGAACTGGAAAATCCATGATCAATGGAGCTTTATAGCTGGGAAAATCATCTGTTTCTATGGGCCATGGCTTCCATAGCGAAGTATAACTGTTAAGAGCCATAACTGGAATACATTTCCGGATAACATGTCTGGTGATTTCCATCATATGCAAATAGAAAAATACATCATAGATATACCCTCTGGTAAACGTTTACATAACTATGGAAAATCACCAAAGATATTTGTTGGTTGGTTTACAGTTCCCATTAACTATTGTGATTTTACCAGCAAAAATGGTGATTTGACGGAATAAATCATGGACACTAATTAGTTAGATTCAGTTACCCTCTGGTCAACTAACATAACTATGGAAAATCACCATTTTTTAATGGGAAAACTCACTATAAATGGCAATTTTCAATAGCTATGTTAAATTACCAGAGGGATCCAGAGGGTATATCCTATGATCTATGATATTAAATGTTATCATTATTGTGAAACATGGTGATTGTTATTAATGTTTATATCCTATGACTTTAAATCACCATGTTTCGGCTGAATATCAAGGTGCTGGAGCAGTCTTTGCCGCCGTCAACGCCTTCTCTTTGGCCAAGTCGCCTCAGTGTCCGGCGCCGTTTTTTCGTCGTAAAAAAGAAGTCGTTTAGAAAAAAAACATGGCTACAACTGGAACATACATGGCTTATGGTTTTATATGTGTTTTCATGTTTTATATGGTTTTTTCATGGGAAATCTGGGATTTCTGATGATTTATATGCTTTGACCCATGAATAGATAGAGATAAACTATGGGAAATCATATGGAGTTTTCACCGGCAAACATGGTGCCAGCCGAGATCGGGATTTTCAGCCAACAAAATTGGTATCTAACGATCTATAGTCTTTGAAAAGTCAGTTTTTAACCAATGAACATGATGGATATGTTTTTTTGGATGTTTTTTCCAACTCATGGCCATTGCAATCATTGGATATGCTGATGAACACCTCCTAGTTTTTCAAATGAAATATCAAACTCATTTGTTCGATTACGATAAAATTGTCCTTGGTTATATGGAAACTTATGATGAAACATGGTGATTTAATGTTGATTCAATTCTTACTGGTGCTAAGTCCGTAGAGTTGCTGGATGGGTTGCTGGGGGTTGCTGGGATGATCTGCTCGATAGTTAGCCAGTGGATCATTCCCGAAAATTCCCTACTAAGCACCAGTAAGATTTTTGTTACCTAGTTTAACCGTTAATTTTAACCCATTCTTTTTCGACTACCTGGCTACCTTGACCACCAAAATCAACAAACATTGAGGTACCCGTGGAGCCGCCGGCGAAGATCCACCCGGCGCACCACGAACATTGACCACGAATATGTTCTGAATCCATTATTAATTATCAACTAATCATATGAATATATTAGATGTTTTATTATATGATGATTCATCATTACATGAATGATCATCCATAATAATCATTAATGTGGATATATTAATACTATAAGGATATTATGGATATTACACATGATTCATTAATTCATTAATCATCCAATAATCATCCACATGAATATAGCAAGATTTTATAAGATGTTATTCATATCATCCAATGTTAATCATTCCATATCCAATAATCATCCATCACTATCTAATTAGTGGTTGAGCCACCCCCCGGAAAAATATGAAAGTCAGGTTGGATCATCATCCCAACTATTGGGGAAAATAAAATCCATGTTCCAAACCACCAACCAGAGATTTTTAACCATTATTAACCATTATTAACCATCATTAACCATCATTGCCCCATACTAAACCAATGTTCCAGTCACCACCAACCAGACTATCCATTCATGATCGATTTTTGAGATCCCTCCATATCTTCACATGGCTGATTCTCCGGCTGATCCACCACCGCAAAAAATCGTCCTCGTGGCCAATTCGCGATAGTTAGTTATCCATTAGGATCTATATAACTTGATCCATAATTTATCCACTGATCCATGAGAAACAATGATTTCTCCATTTTATTCTCCACGTTTTTCGTTCCTGAAAAAAGGTGGTGCTCCCAGTTGATAGCGTTCAGTTGGTGCCAAAAAATAACTCCAATTTCACTATAGGTTTATAGGCTAGGTGATATATCGAACTAGTATTCATGGGTTTTGTGTTAACCAAAAAAACATACGTCACGTTTGGGGGGCGTTATAAACTGGTTTATACACCACATTAACTATAGTTATACTTCCTATAAACCCTATATAACCTATATAGTCAACCATGTCACGTTTGGGCACCACCGAACGTAGCCGTAGGCTCCATGGGACTTCACCGGCGCCCAGTGACGATGCCAAAAGACCTCCTTCCGACTCAGCTGTGGCGCCCACGGCAGCGGCCAAGCCCTGGGCCTCAGACCCACCTGACGGTTGGCCAGTTGGACAGCGAGGTGGGGAGAACCACCGGTTCTAAGATGGCGAGTTTCTGGCCATTGAAATAGTTGATTTACCCATTAGCATGGTGATTTTCCATAGTTAAGTTAGTTTACCAGAGGGCAACTTAAGTGAGAAAGTGAGAACATGAGATTTTTTCGGGCTGACTTTCTGAAGATTCTGGCGAACTTAGTGAAAATGATGGCTCACTTTCAGTCAAATGTAGTAATGTGATATAAATCAATACCTTTATGAAACTATCCTTTTTAAAGCCATTGTGGTGTCCCATAGTTAGCTACATGGTTTTGTCAGTGAGTCAACAAGAACATGGTTTATGCTGATTAGAACAAATAGTTTCATGGGGTCATTATATAATTATAAGATTGCACATTTTAAGCACCCATGACTTTTCAACCTAAAAGCATAACACAGAATATATAACATTATATAACAAATCCATGGGTTTTGCCTGATTAAATCTCAATGTCTGGATAAGTCGAACTGTTGTGGCCAATCTGCTTCAGCACCTCAGGAAAGTGATAGATCTGCAAGGACTCATCGAACTGCTTCAGCACTTCCTCCCTCACGTCGTCCGGCAAACGCCTGGGTTTTGGCACTTGGCCCTCCTTGAGGGGACGATGTTTTGAGATGTGGGTAAACCCACTGAACATCTGGAGTGAAACCGGGAAATCGTGGATTTAACGAGGAAGTTCAAACGGAATTTGGTAACTATGATAGTTGATCTATAAGTCGGTTTTGACATGCGTTTATCCAAGAAAATGTGGCGATTTAAGGACAGAATGACAAAACTAGGATTAAGCGGGGGAGCCACATTGTAGGTGATTCTAGGCCTGTTTAGGAACATATCAGGTGCGGGATTTTCAGTAGTGCTACCTCCATCAACAAGTTGGAGGGTAAAACTCAGGCCCAATCATCAAGCCCTAGCTACTGACCCCCGATCGAGTTGATTGGTGATCCAAATCGGAGCGGAAATCCTACAATTCGCGGGGCCCCGAAACGTAAAATCTTTGTTGGTATATGTTACCTCATCTAACTATATAGAATACTATATATCCTCCATAATTCCGACAGTTATTGACTTACAGGAACCGACAGAATTATGGAGAAAAAAAACGTTTCAATTTACAGGCGCCGCCTGTCTATGATAGAAAAGTTACGAACCTTTTTTTTCCATAATTATTGTTTCCATAATTATTTTTTTCCATAATTCTGTCGGTGACTGTATGTCCATCGATTCGCAATTTGAATGCATTTTAAGGGGGAATATTGAATTATAGAAAATATGTGTCTAAAGATCTGGTATATGCCCCTAAGTCTTCCATTGATATACATAATATCATGTGATGTTCGCAATTTGAATGCATTTTAAGGGGGAATATTGAATTAAGGAAAAACAATTGCACCACCAAAACTCATTGTTGTACGTACATACATATGCGGGATGTATCCTTTTGCCAAGCCACCAATTGGGTTGATACTACATACTTGCATTTGCATACATATTTCCATAACCCCCCAAAAAAAGGGGTTTGAATTGTGGATCCATGACATGTCCAACAAGTGGAGCCCCAAACATTAATTATGGAAAAAATAATTATGGAAAAAATAATTATGGAAAAACCGGTCAATCTGCCCTAGCCCCCTGATTTTACAGGAAAAATCAATTATGGAAATAATGGCCACCTCCAAGAATTATGGAAAAAAAAGGTTCGGATCACTTCCGGGATATTTTGAACCCTTATGGGGAAAAACCTAATTATGAAAAAATCGGACGCAGGCGCCGCCTGTCTAAGTTGAACGTTTTTTTTTTTCCATAATTCTGTCGGTGACCATATTGTAATTATGAACCAATAACTACAGGACCCAGCTAAGTATGGACCCCACCAGTAGCACATGTGCTCTGACTGGTCCATGACGGCAATAGTAACACGGGCACAAACAGGCCTGAGACAGCAGTAGACCCGATTGTACAGAGTACATTTGGACCTCGTGAGAGAGCTTTTAAAGCCTTTCTGGTTGGTGGTATACCTACCCCTCTGAAAAATATGAAAGTCAGTTGGGATGATGAAATTCCCAATATATGGAAAGTCATAAAAACTCCATGGTTCCAGTCACCACCAACCAGCTTTACAATGTTCAGGGCCTTTGTTCTGTGTACATCAACACCCATTTAAGGCTTCGTAGATCCTCCATCCTGTCCTGGCTCGAAGTGGCTGAAAGAGTGCTTTTCTTGGCTAAACCTAGCAGCAACGGTTTGTTGAAGCCTTGAGAGCTTAAGGGCATTTGGACTTTCAGGCCGATAGCTCTGCCTTTTTCGCTCTTTTTCAATGTCCCTCAACGCCTCCATTGATACTTGAAAACATTGTTGCTCCCAATCATTCTGCACCTCATCCTGAAGGTGTTTCCAGTCGACTGATCTGCACGAGGCAACACTGATCGGTTCAAAGGATTTCCCTGGTGATTATATGAGCATCCCCAACATGTTGGCGTACGCAGCCATCGTTTTTTAAATCCAGGTAGTTGGGTATATCCCATAGTACTATCCCATGGTTATATCAGTTAAGTCATCCTGTTATATCATAGTATGTCCTATAGTCTTATCGTCTTAAATCCCTATTTTCCTGGTAAATCGACTATAGTTACTTGGATCACTCTATTTCCAGTATTATATAATTATCCCATCAAACATATTCCTTTTCTCAAATATCCCATGATACACCCACAAGACGTCATTCCATTGCATTCCATTAAATCCCATGAAACCAACATTGTATCTCGTAAAGCGCCATCAAATCACCATCAATCACTCATTAAGTCATGTTTCCTAGTGGAATCAGTAGTTTTTCTCGTGATTTTCCTCATCAGTCTACCATCTTTGCAGGTGTTTGCTAGGTGAAACAGCATTAAATCCCACAAAAATCACCATAAAATCATGAATTGGAATCCCAATCAATCAATATCAAATCCCATGGAATCACCATGAAATCCCATTCAACCACCATTTTGCACCAGCATTTTGCATCATACCCCCCCCTAATCTCCCTTCGGACCCTTCGGCCAGGATGCCAGCAGCCCAGTTCTCCGTTGCAGGGCACTGCTTTGGGCAGTCGCACTGAGGCGCTCAGAATGTTGCAGATGGGACCACCCGCATGGGGACCTAGGACTGCGAAGGGTGGAGAAATCAGATGGTTTATAGATGGTGTATATTAGTGGTTTATAAGGGATATATGGGGATATATCATATATATCTATAGTTGGGGTTGTAACCTATGATATTCCCACTTTGTTTGTATACAAAATCATTCTAAATGCCTATTGTTGATAGTTATTGACTGATGGTTATGTAAACCAAGTTAGGAAAATTAAATAAAATCATAGTACGTCTCATTCAATCACCATTGACCATCATGAAATCCCATTATAATTCCCATGATATATAATATATCCCTATAAATCCCTAGTTGTTGCTGGTTAATCCATAGGATCAAGGGAGTGCCCTTGGTACCTCCAATACCGAACTGAAAAGGGTTTATGAAGCAACCCTTTGCATCACGTTTGGGCACCACCTCGTGGATGTAGCGAAATGTGGATTTCGCTCAAGCAACAGCAGATTCAAACTGATTGAGAGAGAAAGAACATGGTCTATGGATTGGTGAACAAGGGATCGTTTTTTGAAGCTGAACCGTGAACCATGCCGAAACTATGTGTTGTTGTTTTCAGCATCATGTCGATGAACCCTTCATCCGAATCTGGGGAGTTAAGCAACAAAATATATCGGTAATTGTCAAAATTAGATATATTACCAATTAAACATGTAGGATTGTTTTCCATTGTTAGATGGTTATTGGATGGTTACTACTAAAATATTCCTACCTGGTTGGTGGTATACCTACCCCTCTGAAAACTATGAAAGTCAATGGGAAGGATTATCCCATATTATGGAAAATAAAAAATGATTGAAACCACCAACCAGCTATAAAATTGGCTGGTTAGGATTCAAACAATGACAGCATTCCCTTTGTCGTGGTCCCCTGGGTCTAGAAAATGGTTTGACCCATTTCCGTAGGACTTCACCAACAACCTGTGATTCTCTCCATGGCGATCAACATATGATTAATTAGAATCACAATGATCATTACAAGGTGCCCATAGTTAGCTAAGTTGACTTATAACTTGGTTCACTCTCTCTCGGGTTTATAGGAAATATAACTATAGTTAATGTGGTGTATAAACCAATTTATAACGCCCCCCCCAACCTTATGTTTATTGGTTAACAAAAACCCCATGAATACTAGTTCGATATATCACCAACAAAACCCAACACGTGAAATTGGCATATTGGAGTTATCTTATGGCACCAACCGAACTATAGATATGCTCTGGCGGCGGCTTCGAGGCGATCTATCTCCTCGATAGCCGGCTTCATCGCCCGCCGAAGCGCCTTTCCGGCAGCTAGGACCTCCTCCTCTGCTACATACAGGCGCAGGCGAAGAGGTGCTGCACTGTCCTGGATGCGCCTGAGCCGGGCTTCCCGCTGGGCACCTCTTTTGAGCGAGGAGAGAAATCTGCCAAGGCCGGCATGCAGTTCAATCTCACTCTCGTTGCCGGACGGAAGGAAGCAAAGAAAGAATCTGTGATGGAGCCCTCTCAGAAGTTGTCTATGTAGCTGCCAGCTCTGCGCGCGGATTTATATATACATATATATGTGATATATATATATATATATACCAACATAGCCAAAATTGCAAGAATAGTTACTCCTCCCGAAAAAAGAAACAATTTTTCAGATTTCTCGCAATTCTCCGGGTTGATTGGGGGATTCTCGCAACAGCCAGGGATTCTCGCAACTCTTTTTCTTTCCCCTAATTTTGATCATCCCCCTGTACATGATGCCTCATAGAGGTCAAGTAGAGATCATATGTCCTTTGGACAGTAATCTTTGGAGATACTCGTCTAGAATACCTACTTATCACTCCAACAAAAGACTCGTCGACCTGGCACCCGTCGACCAATGGTGATTCACACCACTCATGATCCAGGCTCCACTGTTCTAAAAAGCGGTAGCCATGGAAAAGCATATGCAGCTTAGGATGTATTGGGTACCTAGGCTCACAAAGCTGGACAGAAACCTGAGCCAATCTCTTGTTGGCACGCACAGACAGCAAACCCCTGCGAGCAACTTCTGCCGCAATGGTGCAATGTAGCCAGGCTCCATTGCTGTAAAGCAACCTGAAAAGCTCATTGGTGTTCCGGGTGACCACTGCAATCAAGGGAACTCTGGCGTCAAGGCCGGCCAAATGGTTAACCATATCATCGGTCAGGAAGCTTTCCATCCATTCCTTAAGTTGTTCACACATTTTAAACATTCTTGGTACACAAGCCAGCTTAAGTAACACATAAAGATTGTTTAAAACACATTTAAAGTCAAGAGACTCAATTGTGATCGAATTTATAGTTTCTCCCGTGGGTTTATGTTCAAGTTAAGTTATAATTATAAGTTAATTTAAAAAAGCTTAGTGAGTTTAGCATGCTTGATTTATATAATACCCAAGTTTCCATGAGCAAGGTGGTCGTTGCACCTTTTTGCCATCCTCCTTCAGGCCAGTCCAAGGATGTTTTAAAACCCATAGTGTCACGCCCAATTTTGGTCAGGTAGGGGCATTCCTCAATGCCAAACAAAGACAAAGGAAACAAATAAAAATGCAAAAGCAAAATCCAACCTATCAGTGCCCAAAAATACATAACACATATTATAAAAAAATAGAACTATACTTTTTAATGAGCATCTTTCCTGGACCTGCAATATTCCATCCATCGAGCTGTCATAGATTGGAACCTGGCATCCACACCACCACCTGGAAAAAGCATCTCAAACTTTTGCAAGACCACCAATGAGCTCGCTATAAAGTACTTTCCAGCACCTAAATGCCAGTTGTGGAAGATGTCCGGGCGAAATAGCCAACCAGGCATGCCTGTCTGACTTGGCAGCATCTCCACGAAAGGAGAGATAGAGTCCCAAGGAGCTTGTGCCTCAGAATTTCTGTAGCATGGTCGAACCTAAAGAGCCATGAGCCATTGCTGGAATATTTAAGCCAAGAAGCCGCTGCGCTGTACATGGTCGCTTCAAAGCTGGGAGATGATCCAAAATCTTCGAAAGGAAAATCGCGCACTCCTCCAAGACATAGATGGCACACTCCACCGTTCCTTAGGTACTACACAAAACAGTGAAAAGAAGCAATCAACAGGGAAGCAACCCACAAATTCAGCTGTGGCTCGACTTGGGGCAAGTGATCTCCAATGTCGTGCTGCTCAAGCTGCACATTGGTCTCCTTGCGCCGTGAATTAATTAAAAATAGCTTTTGTTCTGGTTAGAGATAACGATTTAATCTATCACTCTATGAATATCACATGTTAAATATGTGATTGTATCTTAAAAATCAGGTTTATGAACAGTAATTATAGACAGAAGTTCATTCCAGGCATTAATGACAGATTTATATTACATTAAGCAAAGTGTCAAACATAAATCGGTGAAACATCAGCTTAAATTATGATTTAAACTGCATTCAATTTAAAACAGACACTGGGTTATCTCATAAGTCTGATAAATCGGAATTGGGTTCATAAAAAATTGAAGTGGGTTAAATTATTTTTGGAAACATTAACATAAGTGTCGCTCCTCAAGGAGTTTCTGGATATCGTCTGCCGAAAGGTCTGCCGTCTCACTCAAGAGGTGGCGTCGCTGCTGGACAACCATGGCATCAGGAGACATTGAAGCCATTGAATCAACGACTTGTGCAGCACCCCTAACAAGTTCTGAACACGACCAGGACCTGCTTTGAAAGCGAGACACCATATCTATCACTTTGGGCCAAAAACACCTTGGATAGGCCAAGTCAGTAAGCTTTGGCATCATATTTGCATATTTCTGCGTTTCTGGGCAAGAAAAACCACAAAAACACAAAAAATGTTCATGTGTTTTTTTCACGTTTATTACGAGATACATGCTCAAACTCCGCTATTTCTCGCAACTTTTTCTCGCAACGAATCCGCTATTTCTCGCAACTAGTCCGGGAAATTCTCGCAACGAGTCCGGGTACGTATTTTCTCCGCTTCGTAGTTGCATTTTCTCCGGCCCCTTGAGCAACTTTTTGAATTTCTCCGGGTACATTTTTGTGAGTTACATGATGCTTTTAGCAATCCTTAAAATTACCTTCAAATTGCTAAAAATCTTTCAACTCAGTAGGTTGTTGGGAAAACACGCTTCCACCGGTCTGGAACCCTAAGGTTGGTGGAGCCTCTCATATATATACAAGCTTCAAGTATATATGCCTCAGACCATTCCTCTGGGTTCCACTCCAAGGCTTCGAATTGAGCTGGAGCATCCCAACCACATGCATCTTGGGGTAGTACTGGTTGACCTTGTCCATGTTTCTGGAGTTGGGGTAGGAAGCGCAGAATGCGAAGACCAAATGAAATTGGATATGACTGTGTGCCCTTCAGCCATCGATTGCCTTGGAATTGGGTCTTGTTTCCCTTCTTGGTTTTGGTTGTAGTTTTGAGGACGCAAGCTGCACGTGCTTTCTTCGAGAGAACACCTCGGTCCAAAATGTGAATCTCTTGGCTGTTTGCCCAGGCCCGATGGCGTTTCCTGGCCAGGTGTTCATAAAACACACAAAAAATAGAAATAAATCGTGAAAAAGTACTGATACAATTGCATCCCGATTTCATCATACTACAGAAAATTTACTCGTTTTTGTGAGAGCAAGCTGCGGGCTAAGGGCACCATAGTGCCTGCACCATCCTACTCGCCAAGCACGAACTCGAAGCATAAATTCCTCCCACCGGGGGTACCATGGCAAACGCGAGCTCGAAGGCTGCTCCGTTGCCCAGGTTCCGCCAAGACATGTAACTAAATACTGTAGCAGCACTACTCTGGAAAGAAGACAATTTCCAACCTCAGAACTATAATTGATCAGCACAAAGCAAGCCCCGAAAATCCAAAAAAAACACAAATCTACTCGAAAAACTTTGATCAAAATCTAAATTGCTGGCCAAAATGCCTGAACATGAGGCAAAGCACAATTTCCCCATGGAGTAGCTGGTGTGCGTTTGCTCGTGCCAACATTGATTGCAGAAAAGGAAGTGCAAACCACAGCAAATAGTGCCAGGAATCCAGACGGGTTGGCGTTCAGGAGCACCCATATGCAAAGCCTCAATAGCAAAGGGTGGTCAGCATCAAGTCCCAAAGTTTTGTTTGCTTTTTGTACTTTGAAAATTTCAAAGTTCTTCAGTGTTTGACGAGGCTCGCTAGGCCTGCTGCTGTTGTCATGTCGAAGCTGTTCTGCTTGCCTTTTCGTACAGTCATCTTGCCATAGTTGATGTCCAGCTGGGCAGTGCTGTAATAAGCAAATTTCGCACTTCTCCCGACATGGCCATCTCCGGCAAAAAAATCACACAGACCAAACGCCTGCAGGGACAGCTTCCATAATTATACCATTAACTGCACATGGTTGTTTTTTTCAGCATCCTGGCCTCAGGAACTGCTGGCATATTGCGAGCATAGTATGCCATCACCGTCAGCCACACAAATGCCTGCAGGGATTTGAACAAAAAAATGCACAAAAGGTTAAATTCTGGAGGGGATTACCATTTAACGTATTGTAAAGAATTTTTTCAAGGTTTAAGCTAAAGCCCCAGCTCCTTTGGCACCCGAAGAAGCATCATCCTCAAACAGAGCATGTCGAGCTCCTCATCAGTCTTCACGGCCCAATGCGCCATGGCTGCAATAGGTGCAATATTAATTAAGTTAAATCTAAGTCGTCTTGACTTTTATAATTATGAGTCCAATTATAGAATTTAGATTAATTAATTATAAACACAAACTAGCGTGGTTTGTGGGCCCAGTTTTTATGAAGTCCTTGAAGCCCAGACTCTGGATTACAAATTATACATGTTATTAATGACACAAATTAGTGTGGTTGATGGGCCCACTTTATATGAAGTCCATGAAGCCGAGACTCTAAATTACATGTCATTAATGACACAAATTAGTGTGGTTTGTGTGGCCTCAGTTTATATGAAGTCCCTAGAGCCGAGACTCTGAATTACAAATATGTTTTTAATGGAAATGCAGAGAGCAGTAGAGGTTACAATGAACATTGCATCAAAAACAACTTGCCGGCCGCACCATTCACATGCTGCCGGGTATGAGGTGGTTAAGGCCACCCCCATCAAGCAAAACAGCTACAGATAAAACATATATACTTTAAGCCCTACATCACATAATTCACAATCATCAAAATAAACTAAAATATGCATTCTTAAGTATCCAAACCTAATTCTCGCAACGATTTGTCAAATCGCAAGAATTTCTACAACTCCAAAAAAATATTACTTTTTTTTGGAATTCGTAATAATTTATATGTATTAGGCTTAGCTGGTATATATATCACCTATAAACCATAGTGAAATTGGAGTTATTTGCACCAAATGAGCTATCGAAAACGGGGGCACCACCGACCGTTGTATCTATATCGTACTGAAGTCGTCTCAGAAGCTACGAAAAAACACTTTTCTCAAAGATGTTCTGATCAACATCTCTCAAGTTATGTGTATACATGATTAATTATATATTATAATATCATATCTGTTATACATTATGTTCTAACTACCAGTAGTACCGCACAAGGCGGTGGCGGAAGTTTCAAAAATGGAAAACCTATAGGAGAGGTGAGTTGGTGTGACGCAAAAATGGCAGAGCGAACCTACTGATGGATTGAATCTACAGAGCTACCTTTCTAGCCATCCTCCTATCTACCTGTCTATTCATGTATCTATCGATCGATGTGTTTATTCACCTATCTATTAAACTGTCTATCTTTCTGTCTATCCAGCCATTCATCCATCCACTTACTTCTCTCTGTTAGTTATTTTTTTTTTCGTCCATCTCTTCATCGATCCGTGTCCACAGCTATTCATCACCATGTTCTTCGTTCTGTTTCTCTATCGACTCATCCATGCATCTGTCCGTCTACCTCTTCTTCCAGCTATCCATCCATCTATCTAGCTACCCATGCGTTTATCTGGTCATCGACGCTTCTAGCGATCTTTCGATCTAGCGATCTATGTGTCCATCTGTCGAGAAGACCCTCAGTTTTTAAAAGCTTTTGACTTCGAAATGTGCTTCGCGCCACAACACCGTGCACTTTTTCGACATCTCAACTTCCAAAAGTGCTCCGAGACCGCCAGTTTTTAGCACTTTTTACTTCCAAATGTGCTTCGCGCCACAACGGCGTGCACTTTTTCGACATCTCAACTTCCAAAAGTGCTCCGAGACCCCCAGTTTTTAGCACTTTTTACTTCCAAATGTGCTTCGCGCCACAACGGCGTGCACTTTTTCGGCATCTCAACTTCCAAAAGTGGTCCGGACCTGGTGTGCTTTGTACATTTTGACTTGGAAATCTGCTTCGCGCCACAACGGCGTGCACTTTTTCAACATCTCAACTTCCAAAAGCGGTCCGATCCTGAGGTGTTTTGTACCTTTTGACTTCGAAATCGGCTTCGCGCCACAACGGCGTGCAACTTTTCATCTCTCATCTCCCCTGATGTCTCCGCACCCGCCGCTTTAGCGAGCCTACTTTTCAACCCTCCGGAGCCACAAAACCACGAAAAAACAGTGTTTCGCGACTTTCCTACCTTTTCGCGCACCTGCATCTTCTTTCTTCTGATCTTTTCTCTTCTGACTCTTCTCCCTGCTGACTGCTTTTTCATCTCTCCATATTGTCGGAAGGTTGACTTCTAAACTTCCTTCGGTTAAATATATATATTAAAAAAAAAATATATATATATATATATATTTAAGTACCAGTAGTACCGCACAAGGCGGTGGCGGAAGTTTCAAAAATAGGAAACCTATAGGAGAGATTGGTTGTTGTGAATCCGGGATGGCAGAGCGAATCCACTGATGGACCGAAAGGTGCTTGAGGTCTCCTCTCTTTCTCTCTCTTTCTCTGACTATCTACCTACCTACCTATCTATCTCCTATGTATCTATCTATCTATCGATCTATCTATCTCTCTCTCTCTTTCATCTAATTACCTATCTATCTATCTATCTATCTGTCTGTCTGTCTGTCTGTCTGTCTGTCTATCTGTCTGTCTATCTGTCTATCTGTCTATCTGTCTATCTGTCTAGCTGTCTAGCTGTCTACCTGTCTACTGTCTACCTGTCTATCTATCTATCTATCTATCTGTCTATCTGTCTATCTGTCTACCTGTCTATCTGTGGTGCGGTGTCATTCAGTGTAATGTAGTGTAGTGTAATGTAGTAAAGTGTAGTGGAGTGTAGTGGAATGTAGTGTAGCGTAGTGTAGTGTAATGTAGTGTAGTGTAATGTAGTGTAGTGGAGTGTAGTGGAGTGTATTTGTGTAGTCGTAGGTGTAGTTGTAGTGTAGTGGTGTGTAGTGTAGTGTCATGTAGTGAAGTGTAGTGGAAGGTAGTGTAGTGTAGTGTAATGTAGTGTAGTGTAGTGGAGTGTAGTGGAGCGTAGTGGACTGGAGTTCTGTAGTTGTAGTTGTAGTTGAAGTGTAGTGGAGTGTAGTGTAGTGTACTGTAGTGAAGTGTAATGGAAGGTAGTGTAGTGTAGTGTAGTGTAGTGTAGGGTAGGGTAGTGTAGTGTAGTGTAGTGTAGTGTAGTGTAAAGTAGTGTAGTGTAGTGGAGTGGAGTGTAGTGTAATGTAGTGTAGTGTAGTGCAATTTAGTGTAGTGGAGTGTACTGGAGTGTAGTTGTGTAGTTGTAGTTGTAGTGTTGTGGAGTGTAGTGTAGTGTAATGTAGTGTAGTGGAGTGTAGTGTAGTGTAATGTAGTGTAGTGTACTTTAGTGCAGTGGAGCGTAGTGGAGTATAGTGGAGTGTAGTTGTGTAGTTGTAGTTGTAGTTGCAGTGTAGTGGAGTGTAGTGTAGTGTAATGTAGTGAAGTTTAGTGGAAGGTAGCGCAGTGTAGCGTAGTGTAATGTAGTGTCGTGTAGTGTAATTTAATGTAGTGGACTGTAGTGGAGTGTAGTGGAGTGTAGTTGTGTAGCTATAGTTGTAGTGTTGTGGAGTGGAGTGTAGTGTAGTGTAATGTAGTGTAGTATAGTGTAATGTAGTGTATTGTAGTGAAGCGAAGCGAAGCGAAGCGACATCTGAACCTCCAAAAGTGGTCCGAACCCCTGGTGTTTTTAACATGTTGACTTCGAAATGTGCTTCGCGCCACAACGGCGTGCACTTTTTCGACATCTGAACCTCCAAAAGTGGTCCGACCCCCCTAGTGTTTTTAACATTTTGACTTCGAAATGTGCTTCGCACCACAACGGCGTGCACTTTTTCGACATCTCAACTTCCAAAAGTGGTCCGAGAATGGTGTGTTTTGTACATTTTGACTTGGAAATCTGCTTCGCGCCACAACGGCGTGCACTTTTTCGGCATCTCAACTTCCAAAAGTGGTCCGAGAATGGTGTGTTTTGTACCTTTTGACTTCGAAATCTGCTTCGCGCCACAACGGCGTGCACTTTTTCGACATCTCATCTGGCCAGCTGGCTCCGCACCCGCCGCTTTAGCGAGCCTACTTTTCAACCCTCCGGAGCCACAAATCATTGGAAAAACACAGTGTTTCGCGACTTTCCTACCTTTTCGCGCATCTGAATCTTCTTTCTTCTGACTCTTTCTCTTCTGCTCTTCTTTCTTCTAATCTTTCTCTTCTCTCTGCCTCTTCCCTGCTATGCTTTTCATCTGTCCATATTGTCGGAAGTTTGACTTCTAAACTTCCTTCGATAATATATGTTATACACTTAATATGCATTTTATATGTCAATGTATATATATATAATATTATAATATACCTTATTACACTATTTTAAATAGTAAGAGTTGACCAAACTGCCATGTAGCTGCTGATCTTCTGAGCTCAGCGCTGAATTTGCACTGGGGCACGTGGTGAAGAACGCCATTGGGGCCTAGTTCACAGCAACCCAATCATTGCCAGTTGGGGACCAGGGGACTCTCAAAGTGCAGCTACAAAATTCAGAAAGATGACACAAATCATATTTGTTTTATGTGTCTATGTTTTTGATTGCGTGTTTCTTTCTTTCTTTGCCTGTTTGTTGGTATTTTGTTTGTGCTTTAGTGGGGTTAGTAGGGTCTAGGGACAAACAAAATGGTGGAATATCAATAATTTAGTCGGACAAAATAGGATGTTGTTTATCAGTGAGTCATAGTTTAAGTGGATTTCCTGCAATACATGAATATACCGGATATAGCCCAAAACAACAATTTTCCTTGGATGGGAATATGACGATGAACATCCCAGTCATTAACTGGTTCCTAACCCCTCTATAGCTGGATTTGACTGGGTTATAACATGTTATAACCATGATTATGAGCCATTTCGCATACCTGGGACGCACATCTTATGCCATAAAAATTATGAAATGGGAGGCGCCAACACCCGTCTTTTTCCGTTTATGGATCCAATCGGTCGCGATTGATCTCGCCAGTTCTGAAACGCACTGCTGCAATCGATAACATCTTTGATTCGATGATATCTTTAATTCGATTCATGGGTGTTCACCATAAAATATGGGATGTTCGATTCATGACTTAGGGATGTCACCATATAATTCATCTTATATGGTGAATATTCATGACAACCCTACTCGATTCATGATTTGACTTTTCCTCATATTCGATCATAAATCTTCATAAAATGTTGATGTTGCTTAGTAGGGAATGGGGGTTGCTGGGATGATGATGATGGGATCACTCAATGGGATACTGCTTGGTGGTTGAGCTCGCCAGCCCTCTGCAAAATATGACGAACCGTCAGTTGGGATGATGACATTCCCAACTAAATAGAGAAAAAGGACATAAAATCATAAAATTCCACGGTTCCAAAGCACCAAGCAGTAAAATGTCGATGTCGTTGGTTATCCCTGTGTTTGGTGAACATCTGAGAGTAAAGATTTCCAACCCCGCAGTTTTTCTTGCATAGGTTTTGCCGAAAAAAAACACGTGGACACGCCGAAATCCATGTGATTTCCGGAAAACGGAAATACCCTCTGGTTATTTAACATAGCCATGGAAAATCACAATTTTTGATAGGTAAACCATCTATAAATGGGCTATTTTCCATGGCTATGTTAAATAACAAAAGGGTAACATTTAAATAACCAATATAAAACCAATTAAAACCAGATATATCATGGTTATAATATAACGCATATTCACCAATATATATATATATATACTATAATTATATATATATATGTAATTATTTATATATATATATCGGTGATCAACCATTCATGGTGTCCTTTTTTGTCCGTTTTTTTTACAAACCCCAGCTGGGATCTGCCGTTCCGAAACAACGTACGTTTAACCGCTCTTTCGCCGAGCAGCCGTGGCATGCCTGGCCAGCTTATCAACGGAGGTTCCGGAGGGAAAATCATGCACTGCTGTGGGTTTCTCATGTCAACAGTTTGCTATTGAAAATGGCCATTGAAATAGTGAGTTTTCCCATTAAAAATGGTGATGTTCCATAGTTATGTAAACGTTTACCAGAGGGTAATGAAACGGGATATGATGGGATCTATCACTCAATGGGATATTCTTGTTCAGGGTTCTCCCATGTTTATGTGATTATCCTGATCCAGTTCCATAAATAAAAGCCATCATTGAGTGATGATTTTCGGATGGGATCTATAATCATTAATGGATAATCAGTCAGTGGATCATGGACAATAACTGTTAATGGATAATCACTAAATGGGGATAGTAATGGATAATCTTCCTTACATGGAGATATTCATCATCGAGAATCACACAATATTAATGATGAATGTATGTTGATGTAGTGAAGCCAATGCATTGTCGTCACCATCCCTTTCACCATGACTGTTCGTCATAGCAATCATCATCCTGAAAAGCTATACCGGAATCATAAACCTTTCGTTGATGGTTTGTGGCAAACTGGCTTTACCACACTTAAGAAATACAGTACCCAAATGCGAACCATGGTGCTGGAATATTTACCCACATTTACCTCAACAAAATCACCCAGTTCTGTAGGTAAATATACCAGCACCATGGTTCGCATATGGGATAGATACCTCTACCGGCTTCGTACCGTGGTCGCTTCGTAAAGAACGCTTTGTGCATTCTGTGGTGCCAACTTTGATCCCAGGAGAGTTTGATGCTTCTTTTGTTCGGTGGTGCCCCCCTTGTCGGAATCGCGTTCATTTAATGGTGATTCAATGGGATTTAATGGGATTCAATGTGATTTAATGGGATATATGATGGTATAGCCTCTGGTAATTTAACAGTTTGCTATTGAACATGGCCCATGTATAGTTGATTTACCTTTTAAACATGGTGATTTTTCACTGTTATGTTAGTTTACAAGAGGGTAACTCCAATTTCACGATGGTTTTTGTTGGTGATATATGGTGATATATCTAGATATAGTATTCATGGGGTTTAATAAACCACTTTATAACGCACGATGGTTTTTGTTGGTAATATAAAACTATAGTATTCATGGGGGTTTATAAACCAATAGACATTTCACGTTTGGGGGGTACCACCGAACGTAAGTATAGGCTGAAGATCCGTAGATCTGATTACTTCATATTACTTCCAACATATCAAGAAGTGTTGAAACATGTTGGAACAACCAACCCAAATGGTTGCCTTGCTTTAAAAGTTCCACCAGTGCCAGGTTCAACCTCCCAAAATGACCATTGAAACAATGGCTGTTTCATGGTTCCTGGTTAGTGGTTGTAACCATCTTGAAAAAAAGTAGTCAATAATAGTTATGGAATAATCAGAAAAATAGTGGGATTATATAATAATAGTGGTTAGAATACCAATAATATCTGGTTGGTGGTTTTAACCATCTTGAAAAATGATGGAGTTCGTCAATGGGAAGAATTATTATCCCATATACTATGAAAAAATCAAGATGTTTGAAACCACCAACCAGATTCTTTTTGTATGTTCAGCCCCCATTCACAACTGTATTCGATATATTCCAGGCTATTCCACGTCCCGCAAATGAGCTCAGTTTGCTAAGGTGCTTGGTGAGACTTGGGCTTTTGTTGAAGGGGCTTGGCATTGGGCACCACTTTGTGACTTGAGGATTCATGATTAAGTTAACAAATAAATAATAATAAATGTAATAAGGATTCGTCAATAATCTTTAGTTTATTATCAATGGTTAATTTATCAGCATTTATCAACCCATGGGTTCATACATATTAATAACCCCCATAGAGAAAACACCTAGAAAAACCGATGAATCTTCGGCGGCCCCTGAAGACGCCCCCGCCTCAGTACACCCAAACTGCGACCGAAGCTCATCGAAAGTCACCTACGGTACCATCGTTGACCATCCAAAACTGGTTAGTGGTTAATATACTGTTAATAATGGTTAATATAGGGTTATTATATGTTATTATATGGTTGATGATGGTTAATAATAACCTGGTTGGTGGTGCAATAATTAACCATCTTGAAAATGATGGAGTGAAAGTCAATGGGAAGGATGAATTATCCCTTTTTTTTGAAATCAGCAAGTACGATATCAGTAGCTAAGACGAGGATTTCAGCACAATTGGGTTTCACAGCAGCAAATTGGGATATTTCAGCAATCCATGGAGATGTCTGGTTGATTTATGATAGGTTTTTGTTTACATCTAAGCCAATGATTGGACATAGTGAATATATCTCTACGTGGCTAACCAAAGATATTGTAGTGCGCCACAAGCACATTTCAAGAAGGGTTACCCTCTGGTTATGTCAAAATAGCTATTGAAAATGGCCATAGAAATAGTGGATTTTCCCATTAAATTACCAGAGGGTAAATGTTCAAACTAGCATGCAAAAAATGTGTCTGTGTCTATGCTTTGGTGTGATGACATAGGTTTTTCGTAGTCCCAAATAAAAACACCTTCGGTCGTTGTGGCTGACATCCGAAAAAACTCGGCACCGCTCAGGTGGTGATAAACAATGGCGAAAAATTCAGGGTCGAAGTGTGAAAATTTACCAGAGAGTAAGTGAAATCATCTTTTTAGTCACCATTAATCACCATCATTAACCATCAATAACCATCATTAATCACCATTAGTTATTACCCTAAGCAGGTGACTCAAAAAGCACGATCTCCTGCAGCAGGTGGAGCTCAAAATCTTGGTGCTACAAAAATCCGTCGTGAATCCCGTGATGGCAATGGTAACTATGGGTTAATTAGTAGGTTTATACCCATATACCCATCACATCATATCCATAGTTCATGAGTTAATGGCTTTAAAAAAAACATCCATTTACCCATTAACCCATTATCCCATCATCCCTAGTTCCGAACTTCCCGACTTTCGGGATGAACCATCAAAATCACCAGTGATATCACCATCTTAGATCTTAATGTGGCACGAATGTGGCTCCTGGATAATGTTGTTTTTTGCTGCTTAGGACATACACTTAATGGCCCAACAAAAACAGTTAATAAATGGCTGCTTGATAATGATATCTAACCCTAGTTATAGGAGTTTTTTTCAGTTATATATATAACTGTTTTTTGGGCCATAACTGTAGCATATCAGCATTTAATTACAATCCACACCAGGTCACCATAAATCCGCAAGTCATCACAAAAAAATATGGGTGCTTTGTTTACCATAAACCATCCCCAGTCATGCTAGTTGTGGCAGGTAAGCACCACATGTCATCCCTATGAATTGAGCCTTAGTAGCTTTCAACCCCAGAAAAACCAGGGATTGTTTGGAGGTTTTTAAACAACATCAACCGATTTTAAAGCCATTCATGTTGGTAAAACAATCATAAACCATCCCCCAGTCACATGTCATCACCATTCATAAATAGCTTGTCTAAACTTACCATTCCCCAGTCATGTGTGGTTTATGGCATTGTTTTACCAACAATATATATATATATATATATGGATTTAAACAGCTACATACACCTACTAATCCACAGTTAGTGGGGTCTCAAAGTTAAAGTTAGCCATAGTTAATGGATGTTCATGCCATTTGGGAATGGTAAACATACCACCTATAAAAATTGTGATGACTGGGGGATTGTCTATGGTATTGTTTTACCCATTTTAAATCCATTTAAAAACCTATTAACTATGGGTTAAATAGTAGGTTTATACCCATATACCCATCATATACCCATCATATACCCATCATATACCCACCATATCCATAGTTCATGAGTTAATGGCTTTAAAAAACATCCATTTACCCATTACATATACCCATCATCCCTAGTGCTCCAAATACCATCGAAGGTGTAAACAGACTCCAATTTAAATAACTCCAAATACAGTCTCAGTCTCGGTGTTTGGAGCTGTTTCGGGAGTACCATAAATCAAAGATCGATTTTCCTATTAACAATAGATGGATAATGGATAATGGATATAATATAGATTTAATATATACCCTCTGGTTATTTAACCCCATGAACTCCGCTAGGTCACAGTGCGTTGCACCCATGCGGCGCCCACCACGCAGCCCTTGGGACACTCCGCGTCCGGCGGCAGCGGTGCGTCGGGTGGCGCCAGGCGACGGACGATCTGATCCTGAAATTCATGGCCAGGTGGAAGCGAAATCTGGTGATTTACTATACCTGGATAATGGATGTTAATGGATGGTTAATGGATGTTAATGGATGTTAATGGTTATATGATGGGATTATAACATATTATAAATATATGGAAAAAATGTTCCAAACCACCAACCAGTTGATTTACCTTGCGAAAAACAAGGGAATCATGGATTCTTTTTCCGAGAGTTTCGGGGTTCAAGCTGGAAAATGAGACTTAAAATTGATGAAATTAAGATGATGAACCGTGATCTTTCAAGAGATTTCTTGGTTATACCATGTCATACGCTGATTTTGGTTATACATTGTTACATCCATGGTTATACCCATGGTTGTATCCATGGCTTTACCCATACGTAGTTATAGTGTCGACAATGAACTGACAAAAACGGAGGTTTAACATGGTTCAGTCCCACAGGTAGCTGTGATTTTTTAGGAGCAACGTGAGTATATCACTAGCAACATCAAGGATAGGCCCCACAAAATTCGGGTTTTCTCAAGAACTCAGCTCAAAAACCATTCAAAATCTGGTTTTGAACTGTGGATTTGCTTAAGAAGTCACATTTGAGTGGTTGGAAAGTTGGAAAAAGTGGATTGGAAAAGTCATGGGAAAATGTGGATTCACCCCCGACCCAGGTGACCAGGGAGTGATTCATCCTGAAATCCTTGGTGATTCGGGGATTGGTCGCTCTGGTTAGGTCAACATGGAGAAAGGTATGAACACATCAACCGGTGTTTCAAAACATGTTCAATCAAACCCACAACGATCAAGTTGGACACATGTATATATATATAATATAATATAATAAAAATATAATATAATATCATATAAGATAATATAATATAATATATACATATTTATATATATATATACACCATAATTTTCTACATGACTATATCCCATTCTTCCTGAGGTCAAACCCCTTGTATATCCCATGGTTTTTAGCCATCGTCTAAACCCTCACAGCCCCTTTTCTCAGCTCCGGACCAGTAGAGCATCGCATTTTCCCTTGGGAGAGCTGGGTCTATGGCCATTTCTTTGGGGGGCTAATAATCACATCCCCCTATTGGTAAATGGCAATTGTATGGACCCAAATATCTGGGTAATGGCCATAATATTTCACCTGAATTAAGGCCATTTGGGGATGATTCCCCTTATTAACCATGATTTCCAGTGAGGTCGCAGTGAGGTCGTTATAATTTACCCAGAAATATGTGTAAATCATTTACAAAATCATGGTCTATGAAACAATGACAAACAATAATGAACACTATGACATTCTGCAATGATGATTCAAAGGTAAATATTGGATGTAGTTTTGACTATGGAGCTTTATTGAGGATGTGTTGACATTTGCCCCCAAAATGGGTTTGGGACAGCTTTTCGGTGTTCGAAACAATACATGAGCATGGGTTTTTATTCTGAACGTCTGGCCAAATAAACATGCTTTGAAGCAACCCAACTGTAGACAAAGTGCAACTTCCTTCAACAAACTAGCTTGATAGTTGGGTTTATGGGGGATACTGCAGATACCCCACTCCAGTTGGGGAGGTTTAATTACATATATAGCAAACTCAAGTAGCAGAATTTGGGGTCCGCCCATATTTGTAGATCAGCTGCTAGTCGTCGATATCTAATCGATAAATGGTGAATACGCTTCGGCAATCAAATGTGGCAATTAAAAATCCCCCATTCATACAATTATAACTATGGTTTATGGTACTTATAACAGTAGTTACTGGGGCTTATAAACCAACTTATATCTTGGGGGCCTCACATTGTAGACAGTTTCCCCATAAAAAAAAAAAAACTTCTAATCAGGGATTTTCCTATTGCCATGTTAGATTCCCCGAGGGAAATCCCATTCAATCATCATGAACATCCATATGGTCCATATCCTACAAAATTCCTATAATGCCCCTATAAAATCAATGTTTTTGTGGCTGAAACGGCTAAACCCCAATCTCTTTACCCTCTGGTAATTTAACATAGCTATTGAAAATGGCCATAGAAATAGTTGATTTACCCATAAAAAAATGGTGATGTTCCATCGTTTTTTGTAGGTTTACCAGAGGGTAACCAGCGCTTTTTCAACCCCCGCCTTGCCAGTGTGCAAGCCGATCCAACCCAACGGTAGCCGCACGGAACGATTTTCCACGTCCTGCATTTCCGCAGCCGTGATTTAACCTTAAGAAACATGGTGAGGAGCCATGGGATTTATAGCTGATTGATGTTAGCTAAGTTGGCGTAACTCCAACATCCATGGTTTTTGACATTTATGATACTCTTAGCTATAGTTAATAACTAATGGGGCTGTAAACTGTAAACTTGTATCTGGGAAGGCCCACTTTTTTGTTTCATGGGTTGTATAGTTATCTTTATAGATCAGGAAACCCTATATTAATGTCCTTTATTATCCTTTATTATATTATATCATGCATAGAAAACTACTTTCCTTGGTGTGTTGGACACTGCTCAAATGGTTCAGATCTGAAAAACGCTCTTCGGATGGTGCGCGGGGTTCACCTTTTTTGGACCCGACGAGAGCACATCCAGAATCTGTTTGATGTTTTCACCTCAAAACAGAGATACACTATGATACACTGGATTATTGGATGATTCATGGATTGTTGATGATTAATGGATTTGTGATGGGTAATTATTGCTTGACCCTCCGGTGTCAAACATGCCTTGCTGGAAAATACACACGATTTGTTTCCTTCGGTGAAGCATTCCTATTGAAAGCCCCCCATAGAAGTCGTGGATTTCCAGCAACTGGCCTGGACCCCACATCGACATCTTGAAGCCATGACGCATGAAAAAGAACCCACCAATCAGCTGCATTGACGAATATCTGGTTGGTGGTATACCTCGCCACCCCTCTGAAAATCATGGAGTTCGGACCAGTTGGGATGATGAAATTCCCAATATATATATATATATGGAAAATAAAAATCATGTTCCAAACCACCAACCAGTAGATGTTTATCATTGTGGCTCAATAAGCTTCATTAACCCTCGATACGCTGGCGTTTACCAAAAACAACGTATGGTTTTTACATGTTTTGGCCCAGTGTTCCAGATACAAACTGAGGCTCAAGGTGTAGACAAGCATATATATATATGGTATACCTAGACCCTCCAAGTACCCATTACCAGAATGGTATGTTTCACGATGTTTATCCCATCATGTTGGTACTTTTACTCATTACATCATTTATGGGTGCTTGGAGGGTCTAGAAGGTGGTGTCCCCCGGTGATAAGTTGGTTCATAAACCCCGGTCACTGTAGTTGTAATTACAATAGTTGTTAATAGTTATATTAGCTATACCGATACCAACTTAGAAAACTCAAAATCATACTAAACCCCATTCAACCCATAAAACACACAAATTTTGCTGCTAAGAAAACCCCACCATCTTGCGATTCCAAAGTGGGGAATCGCACCGGTCCTTGTAGCCATGCAGAATGGCCTCGGTGATGACGCTACCTTTCAGGGTGATGGCCATGCTGATGCTGCGGTCCTGGGAATATCTGGGATCTGGGAACGCAACGGCGCTGGGAACGGCGCACCAAGAGATGGCACGGCATGGCATTAGTAGCTTTGAATGGGTTTATTTTATGGGATAACCATCAACAATGAGATTATATATATATATACTAATAGCTGGTTATAATACCAATAATAGCTGGTTGCTGGTTTTTCGCCACCATCTTGAAAAATGATGGAGTTCGGACCAGTTGGGATGATGAAAATCCCAATATATGGAAAATAAAATTCATGTTCCAAACCACCAACCAGAAACTATAGATTGTTGTTGGCATTTAAACAATATCAACTTGACATCAAACCATTTTAAAGCCATTAAAAATGTTGGTTAATCAATAACTAAGCCATCCCCCAGATCACCATTTTTATAGGTGGCATGTTTACCATTCAAAAACAGTGGCATTCGATGATATTCAAAAACCTGGATTCAATCCGGGTGGGATAGTGATGGCTGGATGTAACAACGCTTGGATCAAAAAAAACCTAAGTTGTGAATTGCAATTCAATGGTGATCTCATTAATATCCCATTGAATCACTATAATTGCTATTGTAATGGGTGCCACTGGTAAACATTGAATTGACCAACGTCGCCATGCACTGCACACATCTGATTCTCTCCACTGGATCCAGGTCCTGAAGTTTTTCTACCCTCTGGTAGTTTACCAAAGTTCGCTACTGAAAATGGCCATAGATATGGCTGATTTACCTATCAAAAATGGTCATGTTCCATAGTTTGTTCTATGTTTACCAGAGGCTAATCTTGCGCCGCGGGATTGGATTGCCATATGCCTTGCACGATGGGGGATCGGCAGTGAAAAACCATGGATCGGACTAAGGCATATCCAATGACTTGACATTTGACACCATAAATAAATGGTGGTTTCCTTCCAGTCATGGGGTACCCCTTTATCGCTGGATGGTTTTTGTTATGGGAAAGCCTATTAATTAAAATTGATGGGATCAAACACCTATGAATCATCTCATCACCAGAGTTCCTTTAGATTTTGCTTGGTGAATAGTGGGTTTTTGCAGGGATCTCCTGGAAAAACAACACATGAACCAAGCCAATCACGAAGGTTTAGCCAGGTTTTCTGAATTTCTACGCTTAGAAAAAAACAAAAGGTACCTTACCTTTTTCAACAGGGAATTCTGCCGAAGCCAAATGCTGGGGGGCTTTTCCTATCTTTGTCTTTATCAATTGACAATTACTGTCCTGCATGACAAGCACATATTGAAGACTCAACTCGAACTTATGTCTGACAACACAATGGAAAGGTGTTTCAAACCAACGGCTGAACTTCGGCTCCTTATCTGGACTTCGCGCCTCTAGCGTTTGCTGCGACAGGAGTGGATTTTTGGAAGGTGGACCACCCGTCAGATGACTGTCTTTTCAAAGACAGACTTCTTGGGTCGAATGGGGTCTATCTTTCCAAAGTCTCTTAACTGAAAAAAAAAGACTGCAACACCGGAGATAAACTACACCCTATGCATCAGAGGCCTCCTTTTGTAAGGCCTCGACCTTGTTTGAAACGAAAGGCCTAGAATCGGGTCCCTCTATAGCCCTACCAAAATGCTTGCCTCCAGTGGCAATGATGGCCCAAAAGTTTCATCAAGAGATGTTCTTAGGCGTTTCTGGATTTCAATATGATACTGTAGAATAGAAAACAATGATTTATCAATGGACAAAATTGCAAAGTCAGAAATTTGATGTTTGGCTATTTCATGATGTCTGAAAAAGAAAAAAACAGGTAAGTGTCGTATATGTTTGAAAAAAACAAAAACATGAGCCGTGGAAAAACGGTGGAAAGGCCTTCAAATGCCGCAGATAAAGCGTATAATTATTAAAAAATGGAAAGGCCTAAATAAAGCATGGAAGGAGTTCTCCCAACAAAAAAGTTGTTTTTTGGTTGCGCTGGATATGGAATCACGGAACAAAACAAGATGAATCAGATTTGCAATTTTCTGATTCATGATCGACAGTGCTCAAGACCCAGTGTAGTGGAAGTACATATAGATCATTACCAACGGGGTTATTGTTGGTGTCCTATTGGAACTTATTGAAACAATCGTTAAGGGTTGATCTGATAGGTATATAATATATGAGACCATTTTTGGGGATATATAGATTTAAGGCCTTTGTGCCCCATTAAGGCCTTTGTCCAGAGGCCTCCTTTTGTAAGGCCTTGTGAGTTTCTGGGTACGGCATAGATAGAATAAACAAACAATAGTAAACTATCAACAAGTGCAACAACATCATTTGATCATAATATTAAAAAAAACAAAGAGTACCAAGTACCAACAAAAAAACGAAGACAGACTTTCGCCTACTTGGAACAAAGTCTTTTTTCGTGTGGTTCCCCTTGTATAGTACGCATCATTTGCATTCATTTGCGTCTTGACGTCGTGATGTCCCAGAAGCGGCCTTGTCTTCCGAGGCCACTTTTTGGCGTTTCGCGTGTGGCGGCATGGCGTTTCCGGGAAAATCTACAGAAAAGCAGGTGTGTTGTAGCTCAAATCTCGGCTTTTTCGTGTAGGTTTCCCTGAACTTAATCCTGGGCACGGTTCATCCAATACAAATTGCTACTGAAAATGGAGTCTTGTCAACAAAAACATAAAGATTTCACCACAAGATGGTGGAAAAATGATGTACTCCAGAAATGATGGTTCAATGGGTAAATTGATGGTAACGGAATCATTTAATTCCTTGATATTCCTTGAAATCTTTGTTTCTTGATGTTTATTGGGTATAGCCTCAGGAAGCAGCAGTTTATGAGTCTGAGTGATTATATCTAATCAACGACTTCAAGGCACACATTGTCGACTGGTACTGTTTAGAAACTGCCCCCCCTTGCTGGGCATCTTAGGTTTTGCATTGTTGGACCCATGTTTGGACCATTGAACAACAATTCGGAAATCTGGATGGCATTGACGCTGCTACTGAACCCTAGAGCAACAATATGCACAAGTCTGTTGACCTTTGTTGCAGGATGTTGCAGGTCCAGTTTGACCAAATATGGACGAATCGAAAAGCAAGGGCAGCTCTTTGAACCAATGGATGGTTTGCGATTGATGAAGAAACTTCTCAGGACTTCTCAGCACCAATGACATGCATCTCTGGATTAACAATATATTATCATAGTTATCATATAGGAATATATAGGAATATATAGGAATATATAGGAAACCAGAGTTCCTGCGGTAATTTACCACAGATTGTTTTTTTTTTCCAATTCTCGTATTCCATCGAGTTGTGCCCAGATCATCCAGACGAGACCATTGAAACATCCTCCGGTATCAAAATGTCGGCCAGAGGGCCATATCCTGTAGATTCCTGTAGACATCTGTAGAGCTTTGGAGCTCCGAAAACACCAGATTCTTGGGATACCTTGATCGAAATCATGGACTTCCACCAGCTTTGTTTTCAGACTTCATAAGCCATGGCATATGGGCTTAAATTACCCTCTGGTAATTTAACATAGCTATTGAAAATCACCATTTTTAATGAGTAAATCAGCTATAAATGGCAATTTTCAATAGCTATGTTAGTTTAGCAGAGGGTATCTTAAATTACTATCATCCCATATATTTTTTTTAAGATTCAAAAGCTGCGCCATCAAGGTGCCGCCCATAAGTTACCGACATTGAAAAGCCGGTAATTTTTCCCATCATCATTTCTGGTGAGGTCGCTGCAACCGGAAAAAAAAAACATGGCTGCCTAAATCATAGAAGACTTCCTGTGATATCATGGGATTTTGTTATGGGATAATCATCGAAAATGGGATTATATTAAGAATAGTGGTTATATTACCAATAATACTGGTTGGTGGTATACCTACCCCTCTGAAAAATATGAGGTCGTCAATTGGGGTTACTATTCCCAATACATGGAAAGTCATAAAATTCATGTTCCAAACCACCAACCAGATGAAGACGACTCTGACTCATTACTCCAAAGATTCAGAAAAGCTTCCATTCACCATTATTTCGTACATGTTCGTCTCTTTTCGGTTGCTATTTCATACAGAAAAAGCCAGACGTTGAAGCTGGCCGCCTGCAGAAAAGTTACTGTCCCGGTCCCATCCCACTGAAACCAAGGAGCGTATGCACAGGAAAAAGATTCCTCGGGCGATGGCTTGGAATTTCCCATGGAACATTTCCAGTGATTTACATGGGATAATAAGTAGGGTTAATCCACTTATAATTGGGGTGAACTAACCCATTTACTAAGTGGGATGAGCCACCAAGTAGTGATCCATCGAAATTCCAAGTGACTCAAGTTGCTGATGTTTTTTTTATCCTCGCTCCTAAACGCTGGATCGTCAAAGGATGTCAAAGGCACAGGCATCTCCAGGCATCTCCAGGAGGCAACAAATCAGGCCAAATCACCATGTGGTGGGTCAAAATTTGCTACCCCCAATGGAACGCCTAATGGACCTTAAGAGCCTCAACAGGTGACCAACCGTGGAAAGCCTGGGGACATCCTGGGGATGGGTAGGAAAGCCTGGAGGGTTTCGTTTGGTGGGAAAAACATCGAAGGAAATTCCGTAGATTGTCCATGGCTATGTTGGATTGCCGCTATTCTCCATATTCTCCATCTGCTAATGACTTATCTTCGGACCAAGAATGGCGGCTTGATATGCTCAATGAATTTGATCTGGTCATTTAAGGTTCATTCAAAATTCGTCCAACATCATCCTTTCGGCAAATTCTGTGACAACCTGGGTCCAGAGGGTGGCTTTCTATAAAGATAGGGTTTTTCCGGTATACCCCCAAACCCATATGCTCCATGTATGGAATATTTACCAACATTTGCCCCAACATTTGCCCTAAAAATCACCCAGTTTTGTAGGTAAATATACCAGCACCATGGTTCGCATATGGGAAATTTCATGGTCATGATTTTCCCCCAATATCTCATATCGTTTTCTCGCCTTGGTTTGTCGCTGTAAAATCCCCCTGAGCTTCTGGCAGAATATGTGACACCACCGCGGTTTTCCCCGTTCCAGGCGGTGCGATGCCAAAGACCAATTGGGGTCCTGAAAAAACAGGGTGAATTCCGTTGGTTCACCATGAACCGCTGGTGATTTTGCTCTATGTATACTATGTAGAAAGAAATCATAAACATATCTCCAAGGTTTTTTACGGGGATTTTGGGGGAAGTTTGCTGGTTTTTTAGAGGTTAAATCAAATTATATAAACACATTTCATCATTTATCCATATCCTGCAAAGTGGTGACCCCCAGTGATGTTTGTTGGTTTATAAACCCCAGTGATGTTTGTTGGTTTATAAACCATAGAATTCAGCCGCTTTTCTCAGGCAACTGAACGCTTTCGCTCGAACGGGGGCACCACATTGTGGCATATAAACATTAATAAATGTAAATGATAACACTTGATTCACAATGATTATAACACATAATTAACAGTTGGGATGATTATATTCACATTGATTTCCAACCTGAATATAATATGGATATGGATGGATATGGGATTTTTGGATCATCCCAGTGATATCCGTTTGATTTTTCCCCAAGATCCGACAAATGCCAGAGACGTTGAAGCTACGATGTAACGTTGAAGCTCTCAGCCAAAAAAAAGGTTGCAATTGTAGTTGTAATTGTAGTTGTAATCCCAGTTATAATCTGATCTATAGAATCTATATTGTAATTTATAGATACCCTCTGGTTATAACATAGCGAACTGGACAATGCTCCATTTATAGATGATTTTCCCAGCTAGAAACCTCCATTTATAAGGGATTGTTCATGGCTATGTTAGTCATAACCAGAGGGTATATCTTACTGAAACCTCAATATGGCTAGTGAACAAAACCATCGCGCTTCGGAGTGGGGCATCCCGGCATCACTTGATGGTTTTCAGTCACTAGAAACCATGGTCAATCTTTGATAGTCAACAACATCTAAGTTATGGTTAAGTTATGGTTAAGTTATGCTTATTTTCCATTGCTTGCAAAGAACTTAATTGGATTTTCCAGTCCCCGAAATCCGCTCGCTTAAATCATCCAGAAATGACCTGACAGCTCTGAGCTCTGCTCCTGGCTGCAACACTGCATCGATCATCAACTCCTGGATCTTGAAGGGTTTGAAGACCGTGGTGCGGTGCTTCTTCGCAAAACTGCCTCGGCGTTTTTTGTTGGATAACTTCCACCGGGATCCCGCGGTGGCCGGCATATGAGACATGAAGGAAGCATGGAACCAAGTTCAATTGACCACAAAATGATGGAAACACTAATATCAACACTTCATAATGTTCATAATTTACATATATAACCATTATTATTCCCAATGTATGGAAAGTCATAAAATTCATGTTCCAAACCACCAATCAGTATATATCCATAAAATGATTGAACATGGAATGGATCTGGATGGTCCTGAAATCATCTGAAATCCACATGCCCTTCCGCCCGAGTCAATCAGACTTTGATGTCAGCCTTGCTTAAGGTCAATGTTTCATGAACATATTTTGGACGAAATTTTTGACATAGTCCAAGATCAAGTCTGAGACACTCAGATTATAAAATGCTTCGTTGACCTTTTATTTTTGTGTCTGAAAATGGGCCAAATCCCCAAAAAATCGGTTTTTGACATGGGAAAATCATAGGATCCAAACCATTGGATTTTGAGGTACCAACAATGGTTCAAAGAATGGTGAAAAAACCACATTGTCGACTGTCATGATATGGCAGTGTGTCAAAACCAATAGTACCCCTGTAGTTCACATCAAAATGGCTGGGATTTATGGATGTTCATCCCCCTAAAAATGGTATTAATAGGTATTGATCCATACCCATATACCAACATGGTTTTTCATGATATTGGACTGATATCTATATCATTTTTTTCACAACATTGTCAAACATGTTCAAACGTTACTTCAACTTCAACGGTGTTCATCCATGAAAATGGGAAAATGATATTACAAACACCCATGTCAACGATGAAGTTTCACCATTTGCCATAGGTGATTGTACTATCATAGGTGAAACCATTGGTGAAAAGTTTGGCATATGCCATGGGTTTTCAAACATTGGTTGATTCAGCCATGTTTTTGTTGATCAACCAATGTATTTCACCCATGTTCAACCCATATCTCAATGGTCTTGTCATCACTTGCCACCCTACAAAAAAAAACGAGACGCATCTCTTGCCACCCGTGGTGACAAGGCTTATCCCGCAAGGTGGTGCCGCAAGCATCGCGGCACAGTTGCTATCAGAACTCCACTAACTGTTGAGGTTTTATATGGCTTTATAGTAGAGATATTGACATAGTTACTATGTGTTACTAATTACTATGTGTTACCATATGTGACTATCGTTTACAAACATCGTTTTCAAGCATGACGAAAAAACCCGGGTCTCCACCACACCGGTTCCTCCAAGGGTCTGCCAGCCAAGAGATGGGCGCCATTCTGCAGGTACCACAAGAGATCGAATTTCGCCTCAGCGGGATCATCCAAGCGGATCGTTGGCTAAGCCCATGAACTATACAAAGTGCTGCCCCCCAGTGATGTTTGTTGGTTGGTTTATAAACCCCATGAATACTGTAGTTTAATATCTACTATTTTTACCATAGTTAATTCAGCCGCTTTTCTCAGGCAACTGAACGCTTTCGCTCGAACGGGGGCACCACATTGTAGAATACATTAGTATAACAAAAAGGCTATAGACGACTATAGACATATCATGATGTATAATTATATATATATAATATTATATATCTACCATGAAAAATACGTAAGACCTGCACAGTCACTGATTTAAGTTGGGGAATCACATCGACGATGTCCCCATTTTGCTGGGGGGATCTCATATATAAATGGGGTACAATCAATGTTGCCAACCAAGTACTGTCCAGTTTCCATACACACAGAGTACATCAAATGCAATGCTCAAAAGGCGGGTCTCTGCAAAATCGATAACACTTATTACCCATTGTATCATTATCATTCCCATTTTATATCCCCAAAACTGCTAACTATCAAGGTTTCAAACAAATTCTCACTAAGTATATATATATAGTATATCATTCATACACCTATCTATCTATCTATCTATCTATCTATATATATATATCCATGTTTTTGTTATCCCCACCTTTTTGGGGTTTCACCAATCTTTACGTCCCAATCAACGTCCCCTCCCGTGAAAACACCGGACGAGATCTCCAAGCGACACCTGTGACGGAGCCTTCACGGAAGCGGCTTTGCAATGCCAGGGCCTCCTGGATGGGAAGCACGTCCTGGCGACGGCGAGTTTGTGGAGGATTTGCCGCAGAAATATTAGGGATGTTTGATGAGTGAGTTTGATGTGAATTTGATGTGAATTTAAGAGGATTCGAAATGATTTGAGTCCGAAGTACCTATATATATATTATATATAAATATCTTTGTATATGTATATGTATATTATGTATATATATATATATGTACAATGAAATATCAAATGAGATATTATGACTCCGTGAACACACTCGGAAACTTCATCACCAGTCCAAGGTCGGCCAAACCACTGCACCACAGACTGATTTGTTCTGCATAGCACTTGTTGCGCAATACATACATTCTCATGTTTAGACACTTTAGATCTGAAAAAATACATACATCTGCAACATACATTGTATTAGTCTATTAGTCTATATATCTAATCTGAAGATGCTAAAAGTGTTTGAGTCTTCTGTTTTTCCAGTTAAAAATTCAAAATATTTCAAAACATAAACACAAAATAAACTCGCATAATAATAAGACAACACAAAAACTTATATGATAGGAAAGGATGGATGGGTGGCAAGTTCAGAACATAATAATATCAATTATATCACAAGACTGAAAGTTAGAATGCTGCCAGGGCCACCAAAAAAAATCCATTGAAAGTTAGAATGCCACACCATAATTGTCTGAAAAAATCTACCAAAATTCTACCTTTCAGTCCGTATTATGCTGGTAAATGTGGATATATTGTGTTCAAAAATTGTTTGATCAAACTTGCCTACCTGTTGTGCCGGGGCCACCAAACCTTTATTTTTTGTAGGTTTGTAGGGTTATATAATGTCAACTATAGAGGTGTTATCAATATCACAGATTGTAAACAGCAAACAATAAGCACATCATCAAACCAATGATTTTTTTGAAAAGAAAGAATAACCATCAAAATGAAAACAACACGTAAGACCAAACATAATTTATGTTTGTGTTATATATTATCTATTGATATGTTGGATGTTGTTATGATTAACCATGACTGTTATGTATATGATTTTAGAATGTATGATTGTCATATGATGGTGTCACCTCAAAATGCACTTGTGTCTTTCTGCTTTCTCTTGAACACTTGGCATTTCAATCACTTTGTGAAGGGAATGTAGTAGAGCAGAGTAGCAGGTCATCAACTGGGTAGGGCAACACATGGGTACCACGAACAAGATCAACATCTATCCGGCCGCATTATAAGCACCATCAGCCACAATTCGGGGTTAATGATATTTACTAGTACATGTATATATGTGTATATTATATATATATATGTATGTATATACACATGTTCACATTTGTATATGGGGAAATTCCAATGATATATATATATATATTATAACTTATATAACTATATGTGTATATGTGTATGGGTAAATTACTATTAGTCACCAACCCTCCTTGACCCTGAATTTTTCACCACCCACGTGGACCGGCTTTCCCATCATGTGACTCTACCAACACAGTAAAAGTGACTGAGTCTGGATGTTTAGTGCTGTGAATTTATTCAGGGTTGTGAATAGTGTTTATACTATGTTTATACTATTCATACACAGCACTGTGACTTTACGGATGTTTAATTTTCCAAACCCAGAAAACAAGTCACAAGAGAGACCCATGTGAAATCCTAGGGAGACCCCATCTCTGTCTATCTATTTGGAGATCAGCTGGTTTAACATCAGCAATAGAATATCCCTCATATTGGTGATGATCTAATCTTCTATTGGTGATGTTAAACCAGGTGATGTTAAACCAGGGAATATCTATGAGGGAATAATCATCTGGTTGGACATTAATGATCTAATTCCCTCGTATTTGTCAAGTTCAGTGGCAGAGCCAGGGATTCACCATGGCCATACTCAACGTGCCTCGAAGGAGTTCTGCGGGAACTCATGCAAATACCTGGGCAAAGGCTTCGCAAATGTGCCAGGAAAAACATCTTGCACCATGGATGCTGCACGCCATGAATTCTGGCTAGACCATGTTCCACTTTCTTGTTCACATCCCCGTTGGGCCACCATGGGCCACCATGGGCCACCAAGTCATTGCTATTTTTACTACACTCTATATATCTATACTGGTTGGTGGTTTCAATTCCTCTGAAAAACCATGGAGTTCGTCAGTTGGGATGATGACATTCCCAATAATATATGGAAAGTCATAAAATTCCATGGTTCCAGTCACCACCAGCCAGTATATCATAGCTATTCGGTCCCCATCTAGCTATGGTGAAACCACCCCGACCGACCCCTGACGATGTCAAGGCCACTGTTTCTTTATGAGCCCGATGGCATCGGCCAAGGACTGACACATCTCGTAGTAGAGGTTCAAGTCGGGCACTTCCTTGAGGCATAGGCAGCTGAAGGCATCCAGAATGGGTGTTTTGCCAGCAAGGATGGTGATGTTATGGGATTTAATGGTGATGTTACGGGATTCACTTGTGATATAATAGTGATTTAGTGGGATTTACTGGCATTTAATGATGATGTTATGGAATTTCATGGTAATTTAATAGTGATTTAATGGGATCTAGTATGATTTGGTTGGCAAAGTCGGTACATTTTTCTCCGCCAACTGCTGACATAGCTGGGGTACCACCTTCCAGGATCATCCAGGATCCAGGATCCCATCAACCGAAGTGTAGTACTCACAGCCGTTCACATCATGGTGATTTGTGCAACAAGCGTGTAATAAGTGGGAGGTGTGCAAACATGAAAGGAAACAACAGCTTAAAGTTAGCTCTGTCTGTCTCTCTATTATAAATATGTATAATAAACACAATTATATACATATAACATCATATAACATAGTAAGTGAGGCTAAAACAAGATCTGATTGGTTCCTTCAACCCATCCCAAACATACTGAGAAAATAAAGGGGACTATTGTGAGAAACTCGGGGATCCGTGTGTCCTAATGTTTATCCTAAATGTGACTGAGGAAAAGAAACCAAACCAGAAACTACTAACTTTTCACTTCCCCCCCCAAAAAAAAACGAATGGCCCTAACCACATATCAAAACAAAGCTCGAAGACAAAAAACATGACCAAACTTTGGCTAAATATCCAAAAATATGGATACAAGCATAGCTCCCTTCACCGACCGCGAAATAGGCAAAACCCAGTGATATCCCCAAAATTTACCATCGAGGTTTCCTAAGTCATGGGGCTACCCTCAGTTCTCATCCATCTATAGGATTTTCCATGAAACCATCCAGCGATAAAGGGGTAGCCCCATTACCACAACGACGACGTTACGTTAACCCTGGGTCACGTCAAAACCTATTTGTTGCAAAAACTCATCGGATTGGGCACCAACCCCCCATGTTAGTGAAATCAACGAGTAAGTTAGCAATGTCAACCCTGGATTAATAAACCCCGTAAACGGCTGTTTAATTGGGAGGGTACCATAAAAAAGTATCAAATGACATGACTATTGGAGGAGTACCCCCCTAATTTTCATAAACCATGGTTTACCCCTCTGGTAAATTAACATAACTATGGAAAATCACAATTTTTCATGGGTAAATCCACTATAAATGGCCATTTTCAATAGCTATTTTGACATAACCAGAGGGTAATCCGGGGTTGACATTACCGGTTGAATGTTGATTCATCCCAGCGAGAGGTCGACAAAAATCATGAAGAATTCCACGTCTCGAAAACTGAGCTGCTTAAGCATCAACTCTCCCAGTAACTGTTAATGGCCATAAAAATAGTGGTTAACACAGTTAACACACCCATTAATAGTTGATACTTAACACCCATTAATTAATAGTTGTTCATACTTTTTTTTGACTGTTAAGTCTCAACCAGCTCATCCAGGCCTTCTTCTTCTTGGCGCTGTACTCCATCGCCATAGAGGTTCGCCTGACGGGCGCACCGCTAGTGGGGTGGGTGTAGAGGTTCAGCATATTTTGGCTAAGCTAGTAAGGTACTGGCTAAGCTAGTGGTTCTCCTTAACTAATTTCCCATTCTGACAATGTGATAACCATTTTCTTATATCGATGTTTGTTGATTGTTCAGTTTTACTAAGCGATCGCAGGAAAAAACATCTAACTTCCAATGGCTGTAAACCCATCATCTGCAGGAAAGCCATGGCTTCTAGCCCGATAAACCTCGATGTATAGCCCCAATTCCTGGTTAAAGAAATGGGGATACCTGGCCTGGTAAACGTTTACAAAAAACTATGGAGAAAAATCACCATGCTATTCATTGGAAAAATCCAGGAACTAAATCACCATGTTCGCTATTTTATGACATAACCAGAGGGTAGTAACTGTTATTGGCTTTCCGAGTTTACCACATGATCAACAAGCAAAATTGCACCCTGCGGTGCGATCAAGTCAAGGCGCCATAGCTTTTGGTGGGGGCGAACTACTGGGGGGTTTCCATAGTCATGGAGGTACCCCCTCCGCGAGCTGGCTGGATGGTGACTATTTCATGGAAAATCCGAGAATCAAATAGATGGATGAAAACTGAGGGTACCCCCATTTCAGGACACCTCCATATTTTCTATATGATTTGAGGGTGTTTTTTCTATAAGACCTCTAGAAAATATGGAGGTAATTTTTCTATCAAATTCCATTCTAGAAAATATCATTGATGGATGATTTGATGATATTTGATGGATATGTAAACCAGCTTGCAAGTAAAAACGGTGTTCTCTTAGAATGGGGCTCCCAAATCCCTATGTTCCTTATTGGAATTGTAGTTTGGGGGCATCCCCCAATTTTCAGACAAAGCCACATACCAGGTCATGTATGGGATAATTATCATATCAATGGGTGTTTCAATGAAGGATACCCCAGCTAGGGCCGCTAGGCTTGTTCAACCGTTCTTGCTAGTTCATCTCAGTCGTTGCCTCCAGATGTTTCCAGTATATATATAGAGTATATGCAATGTTTGCTGATGAACTCATTCACAGACCCAAAATTCTGACGAGTTTTCCCAACTTCTTTCCATGGAAGAAATGACCCAACTTGCCGCCACAAAATGGCCCCCGATTTTGGGGGTGAAACACACCATTTCCAGCCACTTTTTGCTGATAAGCTCAAGTTTCTACAGTTTCTTCCTCATTTTTCCTAACTCCCCATGTGATCGCCAAGGTGCATGATGTGCGCCAACTGAAACTCCCAAGGAGTCAGCCGTGGCATGTCCTTCTCATCGATCAGATTGACCCACCCCGTGGTGATGGACTTATTCTTGCCAGACCTCAATAGCATTGTGTCGTGGCGCGTTGTGCGATGGTAGATGATGGTAGCATGGTACTACTTTTGATGTATGTACTCTACAAAGGGGGGGCAATAAACCCCATAAACATGATGTGTGTTGGTTTATAACCTCAAATTTAACTATATATATATATATACACATACGTATATGATTATATGTGTATTAATATTGGGTGAAACAATGTCATCATGTTTACCATCCCCCAGTCATCATCATCACCTCCATGAATCTGGTCACCAGTAGGTGATTTACTTCGATGCGATTAACGATATAAAAGTATATAATTGCATGGATATATGGAATTTGTTGCATGATATTGATATTATATTATTATGTGATACATTATATGGGGTTATATTCATGATATTTCATGATATTCGATGTTTCTCATCATTTTGAGCCAAAAAATGAGGATCAACGATGAGATGCGCAATGATCAGATAGGAACTTCGGTCAGGATAGGTCACGAGTTGCCGCGCCAACGCATGGATCCCAACTTGGAGGACAATCTGAAAATAGGGCCGCTGGATGCATCTCCTATAGTTTGTTTTTGTGTCTTTAAGTGTTCTGATAAAAATAGCTAATATATCAATAATATATATATATATATATCATCTATTAGCTGAACAAAAAAAAAGTCAGACTAAACTCAACTCCAACCGGATGTGCATCCATCCGGTCCATCCGGTCCATCCGGTCCATCCGCATCCTCCCTTCCGAATGTCAGCTGAGCCACTCTCCGTAGATCATGTTCTTGATGAGATTCTGAACCTGGAAGGACTGGAAGGATGCGACTTCGATGCGACTTCAGGGATGCAACCAACAAAGATGGACATGAGAAATCAATATAACATATACCCGGCCTGCTAAACTAACATAGCTGTTGAAAATCACCATTTCTAGTGGGTAAATCGACTATTTCTATGGCCATGTTCATATTTTCAATAGCTATGTTAAATTACCAGAAAGTAACCAAGGGTTAAAATCATGTAAAATGAGACTAGGACTAGGATGTAATAGGGGATTTTAAGACTCAAAAATACTCGGTGGGAATTTAAGCTTTAAGCATTATGACATTATGAAAAAAAAAAACAAACATGTCTTTTTGACTTTGGACCAAATGCTTAGGATTTTCAGGATCACCTAATGCTTAGGATTGCAGGCTCGGAAAGGTCATACCATATTTCTTGGGACCATCTGTCATCACCCAAAATCCCAGTGGATGACCATGAAATGGTCCCATGGTGGGGATCTTTCCGTTAAAGTTATGGTAAGTTTACCCATGAAAAATGGTGGGTCTGTCCATTAAAAAATTGTGATTTTCCTATGGAAAATCCTATGGAAAATCCTGTGGAGTTTCCACAACCGTTTTGTTCCGTCCCAAACACCCAAAACCATGTCCCAGGGTCCTATCTGTTAACCGCCTCTGGTTGGTGGTTTTTCGCCACCCGTCTGAAAAAATATGAGTTCGTCAGTTGGGATGATGATTCTTCCCAACTGAATCAATATATGGAAAGTCATAAAAGTCATGTTCCAAACCACCGACCAGGCCTGTACCTTTTCCTTGGCGTTCAGCTGAACGGCGTCTTTCTTTTTCTTCTTGCTGTCCTGAAGCGGAAAAGGTGGCGGAGCGGCGAAAAAGACCTGGTCACGACCAGGCACAGAAACTGGGAATTTAAGAGGTTGCTATGGAAGATAGCCCATAGATTTAGATTCTTTACCATCATAGCTATGAAACATACTGATTTTACAGATATGATATATAGCCCATCCATGTATGATAGCCCATCTATGAAACATATTGATTTTACATAGCTATTGTTGATCATGTTTAATTTCTAGAGGGTATCTTTTCTGTTGGTGGAATCGTTCTCTATTTCTGGCTTACAATGCCCCAAATGATTTCAGTTTTTTTTCTGCGTGCTGTGCTATGAATTCAAGTTGATACCCTCCAGCAATTTACCATAGCTGTGGAAAATGGCACATATGCAACTGATTTACCTATTAGAACGGCAATTTTGATATATTTATTTTGATATCTATGCTTGTTTACCAGAGGGTATTGGTTCAAAGATGCAGCAACTTATAATTTCTTAGATATCTTTACACGGAAATCTTATCACAATATTGCCAACCATCAAGAAAGTATAAGACAACTTGCCTGAAAAAAGAACCAACAACAACCATTCACAGAAAAAAAACTGACGCACACTGACAGCCCATTTGACAAAGAATCACCCCAGCCGGCATCCTTCTTATCATCCTTCTTGTCCTTTTTCTTATCATCCTGCGAGCAGCAGGATGGCATGGGACAAAAAGGTGATTTTTCTGCCAGGGCGCCCGTCTATCCATGGCTCGTTGATGTCGAAAAAATATCAAATCCCATGGGGATATCGTCTCAATGAGGATTTTTTACCGTTTCTGGTATATAATTTAACATAGTTATGGATGGTTGCGAACTCCTGCATCAGTTGGTATGCCTATTGGGATTCCTATGAAACACTGTGGCTATCATGGGATTTTCTGGCGCAGGATTTTGCAACTGTTCAAAGTAGCCCTGGAAAATGGACCATTTATAGTTGGTTTACCTATCACAATGGTGATTTTCGATAGCTATGTTAGTTGACCAAAGGATGACATGTGGGTTTGCCTTCAAACATTCTATCTCAGACCATATTCCGAATCTACCGCTTCATCATCATCTTCCCTATTCAAAAGGCAATCTGGAGGGTGTACCGGCTTCCCCCCTTTTTCAGACACACCCAACTATCATATATCAAGGTGGTTGAGTATCTCACTAACCCGTATGCATATCTCACTAATCCACTATGTTTCAATTATATCCCATGATATTCATGATATATTCCAATTGCAATCGGACAGTCATATTTTTGTCCATCATGGTTGGTTAACAACCAGCTATAAGGTTGGTTAGATCATGTTAGATAAATATCCCATCATCTATCCGCAACTCCCACCAGCGTGCGTCCTCCCAGCTGTTTACCATCTCGCAACTGAAATTGGATGGTTTGCCCACTGAAAATCTGCGACTACCCTCTGGTAATTTAACATAGCCACATAGCTATTGAACATGGCCCATTTATAGTGGATTTGCCCATTGAAAATGATGATTTTCCATAACAAACTGTTAGTTTACCAGAGGGTAAATATTTAACCCATTGGGCAAATATTGGGGTTTATTGTTCGTGATCTCTCCACAAAAAAACTCCGCGGATGTGTCCTCTTTATCCTTTTTGTCCTTTTTATCTTTGTCCTTGTCCTTATCCTTTTTGTCTTTCTTATCTTCCTGCGATTTCGATCCGAAAAAACATAAAAAACAAAAAAGGAAGAGGGGTTGCCGGGTTGCCGCAAGTCGGGGGCGTAAAATATCGAATCTAGGTTTTCACACACGGACCACGCTGGGAATTCATTTTTAACATTTAAAACCGGGATGGGTACCAAAAAAAAGGAACAATTTATCAAGACTGCCCGTAGCATGTGGACCAGCAGACCCAGTGATATGTTCCTGGTGAAACATGTCGAATCCAACAGGATCCAGCTAATTCCTCTGTCGAATCTTGGCTCCAAGTTTCTACAGGATGGTGACCCCCAGTTATGTGTATTGTTGTTTTATAAACCCCATAAAAAAACATCCATAAAAACATCCATTAAAAACATCCATTAAAAACATCCATTAAAAACATCCATTAACATCCATTAACTAGTTCGTAATATCATGTTATTCATCTACCATAATCATCTGGTTGGTGGTTGAGCCACACCTCTGAAAAAATATGAAAGTCAATGGGAAGGATTATCCCATAGATTATGAAAAATAAAACATATCTGAAAGTCGGGTTGATGACATTCCCAATAGTCTGGAAAGTCATAAAATTCCATGGCTCCAGTCACCACCAACCAGTGATTATCAACCATTATTAACCATTATTAATCACTATTATTGGTATATAATCCCATTATAAAGATGATTATCCCATTATAATCCCATATAATACCCATATATTAATGGGGCTATTCATCAACCAATTCATCTACCAACGTTTCGTCATCCATCGTGTTTCGTCCCAAGTTTCCCCGCCGTGAAACCCGTCGTGGAAATCCATGGTGTTTCCCTGGCCTTCTCCTCCTTCTTCTTCATGGCGGGCATAAACCTGGCCGTGGTGCCGTGCCGGTGACCGCACCGCTGACCCCAAGCTATGGGAGTCCCAAAACATCAATGGGGGGGTGTGGTTTTACATGTAATTTCCCAATGACCCAGTATGTATATATGTATATATATATATAAATAATATAATATATCCAACATATGGACGTTTAACCGAAAATTGGAGGTAATGAATCATCCAAGCCATTAGACTTAATGACTTAGTATTGGAACGTATTGAATCCCATGGTTAAGAACCCCTCCATATGGTTATACACTATGTTATACGTATACCGTATATATACTATGTTATTTCCTCATCACTGTCGGTTTCCGGACGTGACACGCTATATGTCATCCCAAAAACATGCCATTGTGGAAACAAATCATGAGCACGTTCATCATCCCACCCTGCATAAGAATAACTGGTTGGTGGTTTCAACCCCTCTGAAAAATATTAGTCCATGGGAAGGATATATTGTGGAAAATAAAAAATGTTCCAAACCTAGATTCATCACAGCGTAGAGTAAATGATATGGGTTTAACCTGAAAACGTCTGTTTCCAAAATGGATGTTTTTTTTGTGGGAAAATCCATCCTACTAAAATGGATGATTTGGGGGTACCCATGGGTACCCCCATTTCAGGAAACATCTATCCAAGCTATCCAGGCAGCAAACATGGTGATGGGTCACAACTTCAACAAGCTTGGTGTAACTAGTGTCATTTTTCGGGAATTTCACCAACACTTTTTGTCACAAAATACGTCGAAAAACCCTCCAGTAAACAGTTACATGGCAACTGGAAAATCATCTAGAAATTCAGTGGATTTTCCATGTTTGATTACCAGACAAAACTGTCCAAAAACTGAACCAGGAGGCCTCTCTCTGTGATTTTTCAGCTAGAAACCTTCATTTATAGGGAATTGTCCAGCCAGCCACGTTTTTATTACCAAGGGTACTCTCCTATAAACTAACATGTGGAAAACCCCACCTTTTGTAGACTCTTTTCCTAGATGTTACATGATGTTCCACATTTTTTTCTATGTTTACCCCATTTTTCCCATAAGTTTAGTTCCATTTTTCCCATCAAACCCATGACTAACCCATCACTAACCCATCACGCCATAGCTAACGGCTTATCCAAGGATTCATCACGTTTGAAAACCCAACTTGGTGCGTCACCATCTTCCCATCCAAACAAGCCATGGAGTACTCACCCAGAACATCCTGCGGCTCTCAGCGTTTGACAAAACATCAGATGCCATGGTTGAAACCACCAGGGTTTGTTGATGTTGATCCATTTATAAAATTTATAGTTGATATATGTTGATGTTAATGTAATTTATAGATATTTATAGTTGATGTTGATGTTGATTCATGGTAATGGTTGAACAAACTACGGAAAAACTACATTTAAATCTACGAACTGGTATGAAATAATACTACCTCCGGGGCCGTTGTTTTTCTAGTCTGGCCCGCCCTCTACATATTTAAATGCCGTTACCATACCCATAGGATCCATGTATGGTATATATGCTAACATTTGGGGTATATTGATGGTAAATGTTAGCATATATACCATACATGGATCCTATGGGATAGTATAAACTATTTCTAGTTGAAGTTGGGGGAACTGACCAAGTTATCAGCACTGAAATAACTGCCATGCCACTTGGGAGATCACCATCGGTGATGGGTGGAACCAACAAAAACGATGCATCATTCTGTGTCATCAAACATGGCTCGCTTGAAAATCCCAAAATCCCCTATAAATGGATGTTTTAATGGAAAAAATCTAGGAAATTGTGGGAAAATATGGGTACATCCCCTTTTTGAAATGGAAGTCTTTTTGGGAAATTCAACTGTATATAAGGGATTTTCCATTGCCATAATTAGGCCATATTTTGTTGGAAGATCCTTTGCGGGCGTGGCATGGTGTGGCTCAAGACTGGAACTGTATGAAGGATTGGTTCCCAAAATACCGTTGTCCAATAAAACAAACAACAAATTAGTAGAGATATGTAGCGGGGAGACTCTAAAATGGCCATCTTAGTAAGGAAAATGAAACCCACATTTAAAAATCGAGTGGAGCCTGCAAAAGATTGTTTTTTGTGACATTGACATAACATGAAATAACTAGGTTTTGTCAAATGGTAGTAGGTATATCTGTAGTTAGATGGATTATAAACCAACAAACAAAACTGAGGAGGCCGAAAACAGTGTAGCCAGTTATTATCCCAGGAATATCTCAACATCCCGCAAACATCACATTTATATCACCAGATTCTTATGCAGTCCTTCCCTTTTGTAAACTACAAGGGATATACGTTGATGACAAGACCCCATCTGTCCACATGAAGTGCATTTCTTCGGATTAATAAAATCACCCTGGTTGATTAGGGAGTAGAACTACTATCGTACCCAATGATCACCTACTCATGGGGTAAAATCCGGGGTTGCCATTACTTACTGGTGCTAAACGTAGGCAATGGATGGGAATGGGGGTTGCTGGGATTATTATTGATAGTTATTATTGCCCATAGGATCCATGTATGGTATATATGCTAACATTGGGGGTATATTGATGGTAAATGTTACCATATATACCATACATGGATCCTATGGGTTGTGGATCATTCCCTCATTCCCTACGTTTAGCACGTCTGGCTGAATTCGAATGATTCCCAGCACCTGAAAAACTGGCCAGAACATCGGTATCATCCACGTCATCTATGAGTTAAGATTCAACAAAACTGGTTGGTGGTTTTTCGCAACTCCTATGAAAAAAGTTGGGATGATGACATTCCCAATATATGGAAAAATAAAATTAATGTTCCAAACCACCAACCAGAATGTCACACTCCCAATAAATCCCACCATACCATCCTAATCCAACCCCTGGTCTACCCAGTTTTTGATCTTCAAATTCCTGCCTTTGTTGGGAGATCAAGTTCAACCCGTGGCGGAAGTGATCCCTTTTGGAGGGTCCCAAAAGGGTTATCCTCCCCGGTACCCGGTTTTGTGAATGCTTTATGAAAGTGATGTTAAAAACCTGACATAGGTTTCAAAAGACCAGTCTGCATTTAAAATAATGTTGTCTATATAAATGGATTTAATGGAGGTCAATTGGTCTATAAGTAACTCCATTAAAATCAACCATTTATCGATAAAGAGTTTCATGGAAGTTATGTCAAACACCAAGCAAAATGCTGGCTGGTGGATGTTCACCCTTAGGCAAATTGCCTCGACATAGTATAGCCCAAAGTCAAGCTTGGCTTGAGAAGACAACAACAAAGAATTATATACATCAATTCTGGTTGGTGGTTTTTAACCATCTTGAAAAATATTAGTCAATGGGAAGGATTATCCCATACATTATGGAAAAATAAAATATGTTCCAAACCACCAACCAGAATTCTGGTATATTAGGACAAAAAAATACTTTTTTGATTGACCCATATCCTACCAAAAATTGTGTTCGGTGAATCCCCCATCATACCCTCAATCTGGCAATGGAACAGCCTCTATAATTGCATCTGGTTGGTGGTTTGGTATCGCCACCCCTCTGAAAAATCATGGACTTCGGACCAGTTGGGATGATGAAATTCCCAAGATCCGGAAAGTCATAACATTCATGGTCCAAACCATGAAGCAGTGTAATTATATGTAATTATGTTTCTAGCGTCACAAAACTGCCATACTGCCATCCCCGGACGTTTCCTCAACGTCTTGGATGCCATACTTGTCCATCTCCTGTGCTAGTTGCTGTGGTTGATCCTTCAACAAAAACACGACTGGTCAAACGGAATCTTCATCCGGATCGGAAATAAAAAAATGTTCCAAACCACCAACCAGCTATGGTTTTTGTTGGTGATATATCGAACTAGTATCCATGGGGGATATAAATTTATAGTCCAGTTTATAGTTAATGGTGGAAGATATACCCAAATGCTCCTTCTGGTGCTAAAAATGATGAATCCCAACATTTACCCTTGTCCAAAATCACCCAGTTTTGTAGGTCAATATACCAGCACCATGCTTCGCATAAAAAAAGGACGGGTAAGGTAAATAGGGAATATATATATATGCACCGGTCATAGATCTGAATATGGTCACGACCTAGCGGTCCCGCGGTCCCTTTTTGGCATCTTGACCAATTACAAGGCTGGGATAACTCATGAAGATGTCATTGTCTGGAAAAACATATCCTTTAGATATCCTTTAGATTAGATGAACAAAAACCTATTTCATATATATATATCTACTATATCATCCTATAACCTGATTCCAAATATGTTCTCACCATTTTCCTAGCCCAACCAGAGTTTTTGAAAACCATGGTCCAGAAGGTTGTGCGAGCCACAGTAAAGTGTTTGTTGGTTTATGTTTACCCATCTAACTGTAGATACTAGTATATCTACAAAATAGTCCCAACCGTTTACCCGCTTCTTTTCACAACGAACTCCACTCAATCTGCAGAAATTTCATGGTTTTCAGAACATCGACATAGATTAAAGTTGAGGCTATTTTCTGAAAACCATGATTAGTTGAGGCTTATTTTCAGAACAAACAGACAATGCCCTATGTTTTTTCCATGCTTAGTTGAGACTATTTTTTGCAGACCATTCAATAGCCACAAAAACCAAAAAATCCTAGGGATATAACCACTAAAAAAAATGGGGATATTCCCTGAAAATCCCTGAAACATAGGCCAAAAAATAGGAACAAAAAACCATGGTAGACGCCCCTCCATATTTTCATCGGTTCCTTTTTATAGGCCACCCTATTCACACCAACGATCGCCTCATCACTGAGTTCCGGCAGCTTGGACTTTGTCTCTTCCAACTTGGGTCGCACCACCCTGAAGGCGGCGGAACAACAGCCATCATTTATAAAGGGAGCCATCATAAGGCCATCTATGTCTACCATGTCTACCACTATTATGGGTTTAATGGGTTTAATGGGTTTAATATGAATCAATCAAATGATTGGTGAAAATAATATGATATAATATGTCGACAGACAAGTCTAGACGTCATCAATATGATTCAATATATAAATGTCTACCATTCACTTATTCAATTTTGTTTCATGCGATTTCCACAGAGACTGGCCTTAAGGAACTATCATTCGAACAGTCACCCACTGTCATGGTTTGTGATCACACTGATCGGCCTGAACCAGAGCCAGTTGGTGAAGGACAAGGCTGAAAAACTGCCGCGGTAATTCAGTTTGCTCTCCTGGCGCAAACTCGCGCACGCGGCAGTTCAAGGTGATTCAATGGTGATGTTTATGAACATATGGGTATGGATCAATACCTATTAATACCATTTTTAGTGGGATGAACATCCATTTACCAGCTATTTTGATGTTCACCAGGGGTACAAGGTTTTGACACACTGCCATATCAATGTGTGATATGAATGAACTATGGCTGAAACTACTCTCCCGTGTCATGACCGAATCCAAATGGTGGGTTTTTGATAGGGAAATCGTGGAAGAAAATGTTCGATGTTCACCAGAAATTTGACCAGTGCCAGTAACCATCAACCAATCATCATGCCCTGTATCCCAATGTTTGCACACTATTTGCATTGCATCAGTTTGCGGGATTTTGATAAACAATCACCAGACCGACCTAGTACTTATCAGAAATTCACATCCTGGATTACTTCATCCATGTTCCAGCATATATTTGGTTTCAAGTAGTTTCAATCCATTGTTTGCACCTTAAATCATGTTAAAACCTCATATGTCTAGCATTAGTTGGTTTCACTCCCATTTTTCTGCAACTAATCCCGACATGTCCAAACTCGTGTGCTTCAATCACCACGTCCAGTTGGGCATTGCTGGCTGGCTACGGGTGACCCCTTTGATAAGAGCAAATCGTGTGTCTTTTCATCGTATTGCTCCCATTCAAATGAATTGAACTGGTAAGAAATAACAGGTACATCCGAAATACCATCTAAAATTGGCGATCCATGTCTATTTTATAGATGAAATATAGGCACAATAGGCACCCTGCCGAAAAAAAAACAAGGTTTGCTGGGGTTGGCTGATGTTTTTCCAAATCAAAATGGCCTTAAACCGTGTTTCAGTGGCGTCTGGAGCATGATTTGGGCATTCTTCTGTGCCGAGTCTCAAAAGATCGCTGGAAAGGAAGTATAGTTACTGAGGAAAATATTTCTAGCAACCAAAAGAAGTAGTTATCAAAAAGGATGTTATATCAAAAGACGTAGTTATGTTATATATATTATGTTATGTTTTACTGCAAGCAATCAAGAAAGTAACAACCAAAATAATTTCCCACTTGGAACAATTTGCATCCGAAAGAAAAGAACTTTCGGTTGATTGTATGAACCATCCTATTTTCTCAACCGAATAGTGTAACTGTAACTCATTGGATCTCATCACGGGTTGGTTTAAGGGCATGAAAAATTAGAGAAAAGTTAGGCAAATCAAGCGATTTCTTGCAGATTTTCCCTTCAACTCGGAGAGTTTTCGCGCAATTCCAAGGATCAAGATGTGTACCCTCTGGTAAACTAACATAACTATGGAAAATCACCATTTTTAATGGGAAAACTCACTATAAATGGCCATGTTCAATAGCAAACTGTTAGTTTACCAGGCCGGGTAAAGCTTGGTTGGTAAAGGGCCATCGACATTGACATCACGATTATCCCTAAATATCCCGAAATATCCCGACATATTCACAATATATCACAATCATTAATTGATCTCGCAGTGATTGAAGACCCTTTTCATCATCGTGGTGAAAAATGGTGAAAACCTCTGTGTTTGAGGGCGCTGCTCTTCCATCATCATCTTCATATACATCTTTATGCATTAATTTTAAGTGACTCCCCTATGTTTTCCCAGCATGTCTCAACTCAACCTAAACATCAAAAAAAAGCAGCCTAGATTTTTTACTGGATCTTTGTTCAGCAAAAATCACTCCCACTCTCAATCCTCACATTTTTCCATCGATTTTCCTGACAGTTACCTACCATCAGCCCGGTCAGCCCAAGCCCAAGCCCAAGCGACATCGCTCCTGGAAGGCCAAGTTCACGGAGCTCCAATTTTTGGATTTCTCCACGGTGCCTACGGCCTCCTTATCCTCCTCCTCCTGCGTGCGTGGCGTGGTGCCGGGAGTTGGTGGTTGGGAAGAAAAACCAGGGGAATTCCCATGAAACATAAGGAGAACCTTCAGTTGGATGAAGAAATATCGATTAAATTAAATCGATGTTTTTTTTTGGGTTGATTTACAAAACTTGAAGGATGGCGTGCGACTTTTTTTGTGGGAGGTGTTTTATGTTTCATCAAATACTGTTTACCATTCATGAGGGATGGGTCACTACATGTGTTCGCCACTGCAGGTTTCAACGATCAGAGAACAACAGGTGTTTTTGTCATACGCCCATCACACGATGTGGTTGTTGATCATGCCCTAGCACGTTATTCCTTTGATCACATCCAATTATTGAAATTCCTCACCCCAAAATTGTTCGTCAAAAAAACAATGTTTATTCCCATAGGATCCATGTATATGCTATATATGGTAACATTTACCATCAATATACCCCAAATGTTAGCATATATACCATACATGGATCCTATGAGATTGGTAAGGTCATGTTTGTTTTCCAACGTTTTTTCGATTTTTATGGATCAAATCAACTAATTGTTATGTGGTCAATACCATAAATTGTTGTTCCTCTTGATATGGTGTTAATATCGCAAAACACATGTTCAGTCACAACTCCAAAACTATACATGTTTGTTCATGTTCCGTCATGTTCCGTCCCATTCTTTAAAACACACAATTTACATCAAAAGTGATGTGATATACGATTATAACTAAGATAAACTCAACGTGTTCAAATTTATGAGTAACATCTATTTCTTTCATGTTTTTGCTCCAATTGTTAAATGCCCTAGGGATCCAATCACACTCTGACAGTATGATTGGGGGTTCCAATCACATCCGCGAAACAAACCCTGCTATTGACCTTGGAATGCCATTCTCAGGACATGATTTGTATCCTTAGGGATCATCAGATCAAAGAAAAAAAACACCTTGCTTGAATTTCGGGTTGAAATCAAAAAAAATATGGTTCCAACTATTTCAACCAATCATATCCATTCATTCCAATGCTTCCCCAGTACTCCCGGTCCTGTTTCTTCCGCTGCGCATCTCTGGGATCCTCCTCGGCGTCACTGTCCGCGTCGCCTAGCGATTGATCGGATTTTCCGTGGGATTTAGTTCGCTAAGTTGCTTCCTTTCACTAGGTGAACGATTGGGTTTATAGTTTATTTGTAGATATGTTGACGTAGCTTATACAGTAGTACAACTTATAACAACTTATAACTGTACCTGGACCCAGATGCCAATCAATCAACAGATACTGGGTATAGTACCCAGCTATAATTGGGCGAACCAACCATATCGTGATTCAGCACTTGCAAAGTGGAGCTTCCCAGTTATAAATTGGTTGATGTTCACCCATCCATCTGTCGATATATCGACGCTGTAAGCCAACTTACATTTAGAATCATAGTATTACCCTCTGGTAAACAAACATAGCTATTGAACATGGCCATTTATAGTGGATTTACCCATTAAAAATTGTGATTTTCCATAGTAGGCGACTCCCCTTTGTAAGAATTATATGTTAGTTTACCAGAGGGTACATCTTTAGTTCCTATTCATATTTCAGTATTCCCAAAGGTGGAGGCAAGGATTTACCAACAAAATGTGCAAACTGCTTGGCTTACCACGAGATTTACCCGTTTGCTATTGAAAATGGTGATTTATAGTGGATTTGTCCATTAACAATGGTGATTTTCCAGTTCGTTATGTAAACGTTTACCAGATGGTAACTTAACCCTCAATCAGGGTCTATGGTTGGGATCATCAATTTGGGATGATGTTTCTTAGAACCACCAAACGATTGCCGCATGAACGCGTTTTTTTCGGCTGCAGGAATGGGATGGTTGATTGATGGTTGCAATCTTGCCCATTTGTGGTAAAATTGGGGATGGTTGCAATCAAACGTTTGGGTGGGATGGTTGCAAGTCTTCCTCCATGGCATCTTAAATCAACCTATGAACCTGCCGTGGTTTGCTTGCACTTATCAGCCTAGTCATAGGATCAAACAGAGGAAGTACAAGAGAATGTAGACATTAATAATGTCAACCCTGGATTAATAAATTCCTAGCCTGTTTAATTGGGAGGGTACCATAAAAAAAATATTAGATGAAATGACTATTGGAGGAGTACCCCATGGTTTATTCATCCGGGGTTGACATTATAAGCAAATACCACCAGTACCGCTATGTCGGAACCGAATTCTTCTGCAGGGCCATTGGCAATGGACCGGTTTTCCATGCCTGGATGTTTCGCTTGCTTGGGTCTCAACCCACCTTTAAACCGATCCATTTTGAGGTTGGACGTTTGAACATTTTTGAAATCAAACATTTCAAAAAAAACACGAAGCAGTTACATCTTGGATCATCTTAGTCATTTTCTAATAGCTGCTGGTAGGGTGACACTGGAATATCCCAAGAATTCTATCCATGAATGATTTCCCCACCGAACATGGGGATTTTCATGGATTTTGCAGATTTCCAAGCAGGTTTTTTCACCGAGACTCACCAGCTTTCGATGTCGAACTTCTAATTTTCATGTGCGTTGAGGTTAAAATCCCACCCATTTCCTCATCAATTCCACTTTTTTGGGGGTCAATCCATTTCTGCTGTTCATTTCATCAATACATGGAAGGAAAAAAACATGTTTTCGCTGAAAAAAAAATCCAGAAAAACCATCAATTAAAGACCTATTTTCTGTTGGTTTTTCTCCATTTTTCGGTGAAAACCCCCATTTTTCCCCATGGAACTCCAGCATTTCTACAGCCGCACGGTGCACGCAGCACCTCCTTCTGGCACTTCGCCGTCTCCCAGCAACGCCAACATCTCAGGGTCGTCTTCCTCCTGGAGGATGAGCGCTCCCAAGCAGTAGCTAAGTTGGTTTATATCATAGTTCACTTATACCGTATACCATCAATAAATATATGCTATATCAATTTTAAGTTGGTTTATTAACTATAGATAGATCACTATATTGGTTTATTAACTATGATATAGTATAAGCTACAGTAAGTGATATGCCAAGGCTTTCAATCCCTATGGTTTATAGGTGATATATCTATAGTTGATGAGGGTTATAAATCTATAGACCAGTTCATAGTTGATGGTGGAAGGTATACCCAAATGCTCCATGGTGCTGGAATATAAATCCCAACATTTGCCCATAAATTTACCCAGTTATGTAGGCAAATATACCGTTATACCAAGCAATTAAAAAGGGATATCATGATAACTTATGGACGTATCTGGGTGAATTATAATATTTCACCAACCTGAATTACGGCCATTTGGGGATCATTTCCCTTACTAACTATGATTATAGTTAGGGAGAACAGTGAGGTCGTTATAATTTACCCAAACGTATGGTTTAACAGTTTTCCACTAGCTATTTGGGATGGTGTGTGTATATCATGATGCCCATGAAGGACGTTCATGTTTTTTTTTTAGGGTTTGTGCTTGCCAACTTACAGCTGAAGGAACCTCACCCTTCTGTTCACTCCAAAATAGCTGGTATATGCTGGTATACATAAATGTAAATGATGGGATGATTGGGTGTTTCATATGGATGTTTTTTTACGCCCAAATTGATGCTGTTGATAGGTTTTGAATGGTTTTGAGACATCCCCGTATGTTGAATAAAACTACAAAACAAGGATAAATCACCAAGGATATCTTGAATTTTGACTTAAGAATCTTAAGAACACATGGTCAAACTAGTTCTGTGGTGATAAGTAATAAAAAGTGATTCCGTCCTAGACGTACAAAGGAGTTTTGACTAGCAACAATGGGACTGCAACTGTAGCACCATTGGATTTAGGAGAAAACTATGGAATACATCTCCTGGCACTTGAGATCACTTGAGTATGGCAAAGCAAAACCACCCAAAAATCAGGTGGATGTGGTGAACCCAAAAAGAAACCTCCAATTCGGTGATGGTTCACCCATTTCTGGTGAAATCGTTCCACAGTGACAGTCTCACACTGGACGTCGACATCAGCTCGATGATTCTCTTCCAAGGGATTCGGCTACACCACTTCGGCACAAGAAGGGCAGAGGCCCGGTATCCTGCAACATGCAAGCGTAAAGCCCAGAAAAAGGCTAGTGATCGCCTGCCTGCCTGTCTGCCTGTCTGCCTGCCTGTCTGCCTGCCTGTCTGCCTGCCTGCCTGTCTGCCTGCCTGCCTGCCTGTCTGTCTGTCTGTCTGTGCATAAAGAGGAAGAGAGTGAAGTAGCCATGAATGATCGAAAAATATCCATGTTTCTCGGTGGCTAACAGGATACCGGCCTATGCGTAAGATTGTGAAAGTGAGTATAAAAATATACAAAGGGGCTGTTGCCGTGACTCAGTGGATTATACTATCTATCTATCTATCTATCTATCTATCTATCTCTATCTCTATCTCTATCTCTATCTCTATTTATCTCTATCTCTATCTATCTCCATCTATCTCTATCTCTATCTATATCTATATCTATATCTAAATCTATCTATCTATCTATCTATCTATCTATCTCTATCTCTATCTCTATCTCTATCTCTATCTCTATCTCTATCTCTATCTATCTCCATCTATCTCTATCTCTATCTATATCTATATCTATCTCTATCTATCTATCTATCTATCTATCTCTATCTCTATCTCTATCTTATCTCTATCTCTATCTCTATCTCTATCTCTATCTCTATCTATCTCTATCTCTATCTATCTCTATCTATCTGTATCTCTCTCTATCTCTCTCTATCTCTCTCTATCTCTCTCTCTATCTATCTCTATCTATCTCTATCTATCTCTATCTATCTCTATCTATCTCTATCTATCTCTATCTACCTACCTATCTATCTATCTATCTATCTAGGTATATATATATATATATATATTTACTTGGCTGAACCAACTATTTCAAGTTATTAACATGTTAATTTCATATTATCCAAATTATCAAATATATCAACTAGTAATCTCCATGTTTGCTGCATCACAAGTTTCCACCATGTTTGATTGTTAAATCCCCAACTAGGGATTCTCATACCGGATAGTGATCATATGTGACAATCCCCAATTCGCTGGCTTGACCCCCGACCTAATCATGAACCAACCGGGGGAAGTTCAGAGGAGAAGGCCCCATCTCCTCTTCTTCTTCCTTTTGTTCCTTCACACCTGCAGCTTTGGCTCGCTCCATGAAGTACACCTGGCCGACACAAAAAACCGTGGTTCCCGTGGGAACAAAAAACGTTCGACCACAGATTTCTGTTATGTTAATAGTCAATACCGTTTCGAACTGAAAATCAGTACCCCAACAATTGATGTTTGCACCCCATTTTCAATAGTATTTTGAGGATCAAGGTAGGGAAAATAATGATAAACCGTGATAAACCCATAGAATCCCATAGATCTTAGGAATATCCACATTCTCAGAAACACCCAGGACCTTCTTCAGCTACGTTCACACAAGATATGTTCAAACTGTTTGATCCCCACCAAAAAAAACACAATTTGCAACGCAAACAGCGTTCCCCTTGTCTTTTTTGGGGGTGCATGTTAGATTTGAGAAGTGCATGATTCAAAGTCACCAGAAACCTATTCAATGCAGCTATCCTGGCCATTCCTAAAAAATATTAGTGAGCATAGAAAAATCGGCCTATTTTTAGGACTAATTATCACATTTTTGTTTAAAGAATATCACATAAAAACACACCATAAAAATCGGATCATTAAAAACACATCTTAAACAAACCTTATTTTTTCTTGGGTAAATCATCGAAGCTGTGGTTGCTCCACTGACGCTCTCCATGGAATTGATCAATACTGCTTGGTGGTTTTTCGCCAGCCACCCCACTGAAGAATCATGGGATTATATCATGGGATTTTGTTATGGGATAATCAGAAAAATAATGGGATTATATAATAATAGTGGTTGTAATACCAATCATAGCTGGTTGGTGGTTTTTCGCCACCCCTCTGAAAAATATTAGTCAGTGGGGATGATGACAATTCCCCATATAATATAGAAAATCATAAAATTCCATGGTTCCAAAGCACCAACCAGATTTACCATAGTTGTGTCATTTAGCAGGTTTCTTTAACAGTTTCACATAGTTTAATCAATCGTTGACTTATCTTACAGTTGTGACCACTTCATAGCAAGAGATAACTAAATTACAATTCATTGATGACGCTGAAAAGTTCGGCTACTTTGCGATAGTTAATTCCTCCTGAAAACTCTCATCTCCACTGACGTGCAATTCTAATTTAATGTCAACCCTGGATGAAAAAAAACAAACGGCTGTTTAATTGGCGGGGTACCATTTAAGTACTACATTGTCACTATTTGGGGGCTCCATACTGAATAAACCATGATTTATTCTGGGGTTGACATTTACCCACAAGGTGGTGCCCCCCAAACGTGACGTATGTTTATTGGTTAACAAAAAAACCATGAATACTAGTCAGTTCGATATATCACCAACAAAAACCATCGTGCGTTATAAATTGGTCTATTAAACCCCATGAATACTATAGATATATCACCATACATCGCCAACACAAACCATATCGTTAAATTGAAGTTATTTTTTTGGGGCACCAACTTAGCTATCGATTCCGACCACAGCGGCACCACCGAACGGGCCCTTCCCCGGCCCCGGAGGACCCCTTTGGACCTGGAGATTGCGATGCGTCTGACGCTCTTCCGCAGGCATGGCGGCCTGCGGGGAGAATGGTGTCACCTGACTTTTAACCATTGACATATGCTCCATGGTGCTGGAATAGTTACCATTTGAGAATGGCCCGATGATGTAGGTAAATATGGGATAGGGAATAGGGATTTAACTGATTTAACCATCAACAATTGGATACAATTGGGGGGTTGACCAACAATATAGGGATACAGTAGGGATAAAACTGGGAATATCATGGGGATTATAATAGGATTCAAGATGTTTAGCCTCCGGTAAGTCATGGGATATTCCCGCTAAAAAGATGTAATTGAATGGGATATTGATAGGGAATACACGGAAATACATATGTTATATATATATATAACCAACTATACTGGTAATAAAACAGTTGTTTGGGAAACCATGGCCCATTTAGTTCGATTATTTAGCTATTTTGAAATGTTGGTTTTCCAAAGCTATGTTGAATTGCAAGAGAGTATCATTGACATGATATAGATGAAGATTCTTGATTGTCATTGACATTCTACCGTACATGAGCATCACATTCATCATTGATAATGTGTTTCATGCATGATCAATGCACACATTTCATGGACATAGAATATAAGATTCAATATCATCTATCAATGCAACGAACTATGCATGAATAGCAATGGAACATCTATGTAATCAATGGATGACTGAAGGACAATAATGGAGCATGCTCGATAATTAATTGATGATGACTGTCGAATCATTGATATGACTCAGTACTAAACAAATGTAATAACTAAGAGCAATAACTATTATGATTCATTCAATACTACAATAATGATAATGAACCGAGGCATGGATATGTATTTGGATATACCATCTGGTTATTTAACACAGCCATGGAAAATCACAATTTTTAAGAACGGCAAACCATCTATTTCTATGGGTCACCTATACCATGGCTATGTTAAATAACCAGAGGGTAATCATAGATCATCATCTGGCTAAATGATCATATTTCACTCAGAATTGTGTCATAAAAGGGGATGATTCCCCGAGGGCCCTCCAAAAATCATTTCAGGTGAAGGCGGATGTTTTTTTTCCGTAACTTGAAGGGCCACATCTATTGGTAACAAGAATGGAAAGGAACATATGGAAACATGAATTACAGGTGTTGAAAAACAGTGCCAGATCGGGCGATTTCCCAAGTCATGGATCAGTCGGAGCAGTCATGGCTTTCACGACTTAATCGTATCATGACTTGGAGGATTTCAAATCGGGCACCCGTTTTTTTTTGGAACACCTCCATACTCCATTTGTGGTTACGATATGTTACGATTATGAATGAACTGCAGATTGCCACTATCCATGTCCCACTATCCTGCAGTCCCACTATCCTGCAGTCCCTGCTTAAAGGCTGGATTTCGCCGCTGAAACAACCGGCTTTCCGGTTGAACTAGACGACGGTTGGCCCGAGAGCGAAAAAGATGTTTTTCAAGCAGCTCTGAGGATGGTAGTCGTAAAAGATAGTCGGTGAATAGTTGGAGAATTTTATATGAGCTATGGAAAGATATGATGTGAAAAAGTAAGATTGATCAAGAAGAGAATATTTGGTAAAGGGCATCAGATGACATGTGTCTTGCAACCAGAGAGAGAGAAAGAGGGGGATAGAAAGAGAGAGAGAAAGAGAGAGAGAGAGAGAAAGAGAAAGCAAGAGAGAGAGAGAGAGAGAGAGAAAGAGAGAGAGAGAGAGAATGGCTATGTTAAACACCATTTTTAAAAAACTGCCAACGGGAAAACCGATAATTCATTCCTGGCCCGTCTCAACAGCTGGGTATATGAGTATTGATTCATCATAACATATATTGATTTATTAGATTTTATTAGTAAATTCATGTAAATTCATTGTGTTTCAAGCGTTGTTTTCTGTCTCCGTCTGCACTTTGTTATGAAGCAAATCAGGGCACTGTAGGCTTGGCGAGGACGACGGTGGCGATGGTGCTTCAAGAGTGGAACTGCAAGACATGTCGAGCCCCAGGGTGAACGCCGTCGATCAGCAAAAACTGACGAATTCCTGCAATTGAAGTATCAGAATTTGATGGATGAGCTTCAGGTGCTGCTCGTGGCAGACGAGGCATCCTTGGAAGTTGTCGAGGAAGCTGCCCGAGATATCATGGCCTCTTATCCACAGCCTCCCACGGACATCAGTGAAGAAGAACATTTGCGTGAACTGCAAGGATTAGTGCTGGAGTTTGGGGATTGGAAGTTGTGTGATTCCCGGGACAGACAGCACATGTTGATCTCAAGGTTTAGACTTCGGCTTCTGAATTTGGGATGCAATGAAAAGACGTGCAAGGAAGTTTCATTGCCTTATTTGGAGAATGAGCTGGAGAATCTGGAATCGCGTGGTCATTCATTCCGATTTGTTTCGAATTTGAGGTGCATTCTTCGGGATTTGAAAGCTTGGAGATTGCTCTGTGAAGGCAGACCCAGCACAGAAATGGATGATGATACTTTTTGGCGCAAAATGAGTTTTGAACCTCTGTCTCCAAGCGATTGTTTTGGAGCCCGTTGAAGGTGACATAGTAGGAATTGTCCGTGGCTCTGAGGATGGTAGTCGTAAAAGATAGTCGGTGAATAGTTGGTGAATTTTATATGAGCTATGGAAAGATATGGTGTGAAAAAGTAAGATTGATCAAGAAGAGAATATTTGGTAAAGGGCATCAGATGACATGTGTCTTGCAACCACAGAGAGAAAGAGGGGGCAGAGATAAAGAGAGAGAGAAAGAGAAAGAGAGAGAGAGAGAGAAAGAGAAAGCAAGAGAGAGAGAGAGAGAATGAAAGGGGGAGGTAGAAAGAAAACATGAAGAAATGTAATGTGAGCAACAAAAGTGCACAGGAGGCTCAGTGCCATGAGTCTGCGAATGACATGTGCTATCTCATTTTATTATGGTAATTCCCACACACATTGCGGAAAAAGGCGCGGCACCATCATTCCGTGAATGCGAAGAAACGCGACGCTTTTATACAGAGACGCTTTTACACACAGAATCGTTTACACATAAACACTTTTACACACAGACGCTTTCACACAGAGACGTTTTTCATGCACACACACAGACGCATTTCCACACAGAGACTTTTACACGAAAATACTTTAACACACAGACGCTTTTATACACAGACTCTTTTACACACATACACTTTTACATGCAGATGCCTTTTTACAGACGCACACACACTTTCACACACAAACGCTTTTACACACAGACGCTTTTGCACACAGACACAGACGCTTTTCCACACAGACCCTTTTACACACAGACGCTTTTACACACAAACACTTTTACACACATACGCTTTTACACACGGACGCTTTTACACGCAAACACTTTTACATACAGGCGCTTTTACACACAGACGCTTTTACACTCAGACACTTTTACACACAGACGCTTTTCCACAGAGACTTTTATTACACAGAGACGCTCACAAAGCGCGGCACCACTGGGTGACCTCAGTTGCAAACAAAGGTGCGCAAACATAGTTGCAATGGAAATGCTAAAAAATCGCAAAAGTGCACAAGACCAAGCTCAGTACCATGATCAACGCACAATCCAATGCAAGGCATCCGCTCTTTGAGATACAAAATAAGCTCGGCACCATGATGCCGTGGATGACCTCAGTTGCAAACAAAGGTGCGCAAACATAGTTGCAATGGAAATGCTACAAAATGCAAAAGTACACAAACACAGGCTCCGTACCATGGCATCCAAGAGAATCTAGAAGTCCGTGCAAGAATGCTTTGAATGATTCCACAATAACAAGTTCGATATCATGATGGCAAGGATGACACCTGTTTCACTGCAATTCTCCGATGTCCCTACAGGGTGGAAAAAATCTTTACAGACAAACAACAGTTGGCTACTGGTTTTGCATGTTCGTCACGAACAGTCTCTCCAGACGAACAGTGCTACAGATTAATTTGCACCAGGGCATCGAAGAAATCATCTGCGCAGCTGCAAACACAGATGGTGGTGCCTGCCTCCTTCCAATGGCACATTTTCTTCAAAACAACTGGCCAACCAGCTTCTACCAGATAGTGTCCGGTTTCTGGTTGCAAAGAATATTTTGGAGCCAATTCAGCGCTCCCAGGCACAAATGAAAGAATGTGTCGTAAAATTTGTTCGTCAAAGACATCCGCCCTTGCACGGATTCCGGATGCATTCCCTCCACGGTCTTTCTGGCAGAACACACTTACATATCCAAATACTTTATGCGACATGTTTGTGCACCAAAATTTTGTTTGTTGTTAACTGCTGTCATGTCCAACGATGTGGGCGCTGCCGCCGAGTATCTTTCAACACCAAGACCCATAATCAGTTGGCATCATCTCTTGCTTCTTCATTTGAAAACAGAATGTAATACAATGTGAAATCGAGCATGAGCTCATGCATCCAAGCTAGTGGCAAATGGCCCCAGAAATGGCGGCCCATTTCCGGAGGGCCGTTCATGTGCACTTGATCGTAGATGTACAATTCTCTCGAACCGGCGTCCTTCTAGTCATGAATAGATACCAACAGCGCATCGTTCAAATCAACTGAATTTGTTTGAAACGAAGTATATTGCAATCTCCCCGCAGCTGCAAAGCAATCGGCTGCCAGGCGCGACATGCTGTTAGTACAGGCTACAGAAGTATTAATTGAAAGCGACAGGTTTCGATATGTCCACTACAGCTTCACCTACAAACGTCACATCTCTTGTGGCGAAACGCATCTTGTCCATTCGTTCACATCTGAGCCAAGGAATGTACAACGCACAATCCAATGCGAAGCATCTGCTCTTTCATTTCGAAACTGAAAACACGACTCCTGAGTTTGACATACCAAATAAGCTCTCTACCATGATGCCGTGGATGACCTCAGTTGCAAACAAAGGTGCGCAAACATAGTTGCAATGGAAACGCTTCAAAATTGCACAAGTGCACAAACAAAGGCTCAGTACCATGGTATCCAAAAAACAACAAGTGAACGCAGTGAATGATTCCA